GTAGTTGTACAGAAATGTTTCCTGTCTAAGCAGGACAATTAAGATTTATTGTGGCATCCTTCTGTTTACACTGCAATGAGGAGTTGTGCAGCATGTCTTTATTGAGCATTAAAGGAACATACACTAAATGCACACTCACTCACACACACACACACACACACACACACACACACACACACACACACACACACACACACACACCAAGCACACACTACAATGTGTCTGTACAATTTGACAAAAACAGCTTAATGGCTAATCCTGTTTTACAGCACACACACATACAGAAGGTCATGGCGAATGGAAACATTGTCCGCTGTATGGTAGGATGTCGATACCATAATCTGATTGGCCTAGTTGATGGATAGACGGTTTGGTTGACCTATCACAGATAACTGAATTATTGCCCCCACATACTCACCTTTCTGTCATTCTGTCTGCCTCCCTCTGCCTCTTTAGTCTGCCTCTCTTCCTCTCATCCATCCTCCTCTTCTCTCACTCTCTCATCTTTTCTCTCTCTTTGCTCTCCAGTGGCTAACCAGATTAGCCGTGCCCCTTATGGATTGTGCCCTTTATGCGTCTGTATGAACGGAAGAAAAGGAGGCAGAGAAGTGTATCTGTGTGTGTGCTTGTGTCAGGGTGAGCTGTTCCTACCAGATGTTTTTCTCTGTTTTATTCTTCTGAGCGCCGCACTGTCTGCCTGTCACCGGCAGATACACAGCCTGGGAGTGTGTGTCCATGTGTGTGTGTGTTCGAGAGGGAGGATAATCTTTTTTAGATTAATTACTTCCGCATAAGGCGCTTTCACACCGGAGTACTTTTCCCCGTACTTTTCCCTTGTGGTTCCGATAGTTCCTGGGATTTTGCGTTCACACCAAAAAGAGAACTTAGTTCATGAGAACTTTTCTCCCTTTTTAGTCCCTGCTAGAGAGCAGGTACTTTCCTGGGGAGAAAAAAGTTCCAATTTCTGATTGGTTGGGCGAATTGCAAACCACGCCCCGTAAAACTCGTAAAAGCCGCCATTGTATTTGCTGGCATTAGCATTAGCATTAGCCCCGCGCACCAACAGAGAGAGAATAACTTATGGCAACACAAAAAAAAACATTGGAGCGGTGGAGATGAGGAGGTGTCGGCGTTCGGGCGATTTACTCGGAAGGCTTCAGTAGAAGCTGCTGGGAGTCCCAGGAGCTTCTACTGAAGCCAGTCCCCAACTCCGGGGACTTCTGGCCGGGGACTTCGGGTGGCAGTATACACCGTGAAGTGGTTTGCGGCCTGCCAGTACATCCAAAGCAGAAGAAGAAGAAGTGACGTCAGCGGCTTCATTTGCGTAATCTTCCCTCAGGGAACTTATTCTGGTGTGAACACTCTTAGTTCCATGGGGGTACTAAGTGCTGGGAACTAAGTACGGCAAAGTACTTGGTGTGAAATGAATGAATGAATAATGATTATAAATACAATGAATTTTCCAGGGTCTGAAGCAGAGATAAAAAGAGAAGAAAGGTATTTAATGTTAAAATCTTGCCTCCTTAGATACTTCTTTGCCAATGAGGCAACCTGGATGGCCTTGAATTGAAATGAGAGGTTAGAGCGACACAGTCAAGAAGCAAAAACTATTTTCAGACAGCTTTCTGAGAAGCCCATTCAGGTGCAGAATTCTCAGCCCAAAAATCAACTCGCCTTTCAACTTGTCTGTCTTTCAAACTGTGCAAATCCTCCGTATTATTATTCATGTCCTTCCCTCTACTGTCAAGCTTCTCGAGTGTGGGGAAAAACACTTCCAAATCACAGTGTGTATGATAATCACATCATTAAGAACAACAAATTAAAGCGTGGTTCTTTTATCAATGAATCCTAAAGTTGTACTGCGTTGTCAGCTGCTGAAAATCCAACTGAAATAACCACAATTCTAACCCTTCGTTGTTAGAGGTTACACACTGAAACCACAGCTACCATTTCTAGACGGTGGCCACATGATGACTGATTCCCATGGCCCAACATATGTGTGTATGCCTAATGATATTTTGACAATATTTCATCATGCTGAGAAAGATGTTTGTTTAGCTGGACCCACTTTGGCCTCACATCAGCCTTAACAGCAAATACTAACACAGCGTATCCAACACTAACATGGCCTTTAAACTTTAATAACACGTTTTTACTACTGAACATGGATCATTAAGAAAAATAGATTTTAAATGTTAAATGGTCAGCATTTTAAATGGCTAGTCACACCAGGAAATATTATCTTAGAATAATAAGGACATTTTATGCTCCAAATATCTGGAAATATCTTGTAAAGCCCTTTGAATTTCCTTGTGTTGAAAGTAGGGGTGTAACGGTTCACAAACATTTCGGTTCGGTACGTACCTCGGTTTTTTGGTCACGGTTCGGTTCGGTACGTTTTCGGTACAGCAGAATTTTTTTTCACAAAACATATATATATATTTTTTTATTATTATCAAACTGTGAATAATGTATTCACTCAAATAAATACAAAATATAATAAAATAAACATTAAGGTGCAGCATTTCGATGAACTGAAATAATCTGTATTTGAACTTTACTGTACTAGTACTCACAAAACACAAACTATTAGTTTTGGGTTTTTAATTATTATTAAACTGTGAATATTCACTCAAATAAATACAAAATATAATAAAATGAACATTAAGGTGCAGCATTTCGATGAACTGAAATAATCTGTATTTGAACTGTACTGTACTAGCACCTAAGCAGCCAGTTTGACATTAGGACTTGCTTGTTATTGTATTTTCATGTTTTTTTAAAGAAAGATGAACTTGTCCACATTGCTTGCTGAAAGGGCAGATCTGCTGGCACTAACAATGTCTCCTGCTGTGGAGAAAACCCTCTCGCTAGGGACAGAGGTAGCAGATACAGCCAAGTAGCGCTTTGCTAACATTGCAACATAAGGATATTTGGCGTTTGTAATAGCTTTGGCTCGGTCTGATCTTTTTGCGAGTGGTGGAGGCTTAAATGCTAGTGGGAGTTGGGTTTGCACTTCAGTCTTTTTTCTTTTGGTACTGGTGATATTCACGTTCGGGTGATGCCTTTTCAAAAGAGTGTGCAAGTTTGATGTATTGCCAGCCGCGTAACCAATTTTAGTTGAACAATGCCGACAAACAGCTTTGGTTCGGTCCACCTGTCTTTGTCCTTCATCCTTGTACGTAACTGCAAAACCAAAATGTTCCCAAACCGGAGACTTCAATGATGCTGGAGGATTTTCGAGCTCAACTTTATCTGCGTTCGCCATACATTTTTCACAGTTCCTCAAATTACTGACTACATTTGAACGCATCCCTCTGACCAGCTCTCATAGCATGCCTCTCATCCAATGACGACTTGCTCGCTCTATGACGCGTTGAACCCAATGTGAGCAAATTACTCTGAATGCTGCGACGCAGCACCTGAGATTACTTCCAAAAAGTTATTCACGTTCTCAATTTTTTACGTTTAACGTTATATTCGTTCGGTACACTTCGGTACACACCTGTACCGAACCGAAGGGCCCGTACCGAATAATTTCGGTACGGGTACGTGTACCGTTACACCCCTAGTTGAAAGGTGATAAATAAACTTGCCTTGCCTATATTCTGCATTAGTTAGACTAACACCTGAATTAGACCCTGATTACATAGTTCTTTGGTTATGTTTAGCTAACTCTATTAGCCTGTGGAGATATTTTGGTCACTTTTCTGACACATGGAAGCAGTGTTTCTTCAGCTTCAGGTTCAGCTGCTTCTTCCCAGGGACGGGGCTTTGAGTCTGGAGAGACCTGGCTGGCCCTCTGTCCCAAACCCCTGGCCCTCTATCAGTGCATGTCCATGGGAAAACAGGGAAGCGAAGGGGGAGGGGCTGAGATGGATGGATGGATTGATGGATAGAGCTATACTGTATATATCGGTATTCAAAAATATAATAAAATGTACTTCAGAGGACAAGGAATCATCTTAATATAGAATACTTTCCTTTTTGATTACACAGATTGTCTTGATCTCATTAAAAAAAAAGAGAAAAGAGATGAGGGATGATTAGGTGGATGATACATTTTTTGTACATCTCTGATGGTCAGAAAGTTACATAATTCCTCTCTGCCTCGAAGACATTTCAGGACATTTCCCAGGACCCTCTTAGGCTCGGGTCATCGCTGTGACAACATTCTCTGAGGGACCCTGTAGTAGAAGACAAGCTTGTGTATACATGCACACACGCATGCATTCCTGCCTTCAGATATTAGCCCCTTCGGGCAGGAAGAGAGCCGCTTTGATTAAATAATCCAAATGCTTTGATTGTTTGCACGATTATAACTTAGACAAATACATGTTCAAACATGAATAATCACACACATGCACAGATACACACACGCAAAGCAGAAGCCACGTTAACAGTGTTCTCACAAGTCACATCCAGGGTCTTTATTGTTGACATGGGCATAATACATTTCATGATTGTGAATGATGTGTTTTAGTGCCAGTTGCTCTAAATAACCAACCTATCTAATAGGAATGTTTAATTGAATAATGTTGATATTACTATTGGTGTTCTCTCATTTGTTAAGTGTCTGTATAGGAATCAGAATCCAAGTAGGTTTACACATACGAGACATTTTCTTTGGTATAAATGGTGCATATAAAGAAACACAAAATAATATGTTTTTTTGTTTTTTAAGAAAGGAACACCAAATGGTAATATTATAAAAGCTATTTTGAAAACTTTTTTTATAGACTATTGTTACAAATAAAGACACTATTTACACAAAATAAATATGGAAATGAAATGAAATTATATGTGACAAATACTTTATCCAAGTGGAGTGCTGTGTAGATTTAAAAAGGTAGTATACTCACAGGCAAAAGATGTTCACCCTATGATCTTCCTATAATGTCCTCTCTTTCATCTACTGTCGTATTATTTGATTTTGCATGCCCTGCAAGGCTCCTGCTCAGACAAACATATGGACCTGTTTTGTTTGTGTGTCTCTATAGGAGCGTGTGGAGTATCTTTTCCTCATCATTTTCACGGTGGAGGCTTTCCTGAAGGTAATAGCCTACGGCCTGCTCTTCCACCCCAACGCCTACCTGAGGAACGGCTGGAATCTGCTCGACTTCATCATCGTAGTTGTAGGGTGAGTGGACGCAAACACACTGAAGTATTAAGAGCTGTGAAATGTTGTTTTAATGTCACTCGTAGTGATACCATGTAGTTTGAATGAGGGAATTATAAAAATAGCGAGTCCTGTGCAATTATATTTCACTGTCCCTCTCCAGGGTTTGTAACAGCACTACCTGACACATCTTTCAAGATCACCACATCACTGGCAAATTAATCATCGTACCTTGGTATAATTACTGTCAACAAATGAAACTACGGCCAAGACAATTGGCAGCCTCTGTTTAATAGCAGAAGTACTCACTGCTAGTATCTTTCAGAAATAAGACCATATTTCCCATGAACACCTTGATTTGCTGTAGTAGACAAGAGAGAATACTATACTCTTGTCCTTGCCTACACTTGTTGACTAAAGCTTTGTTCATTTGTTCACCTCTACTTTTGATACAACATATTTGCTAAATTCAAACTGCTGGCACACGCAAATTCAGAGAGGCTGATAGAGAAAAGATGTGGCCTTGTTTTCTACAGGAATAATACTTTTCTATCATTGAATGTGGTATTTATTTGGGCTATTAATAGTAAAATACCATGATACATAACTGCCTTTAAAACGCATTGCCATAACACAATCTTCCTTCACAGAGAGTGTATTAAAGCCGCAGTAAACTCTGGTCTTCGGTGTATTGGTGAGGGCTAAACTGATTAGCTTGTAAGATGCTGATAGCAAAGCTTCGCTCTGTTTTTCTTTATCTGCAACTCAGCAACATAGCCCATCTGCTAAACCCTCTGTGCCTGTGCGCAAGTGTGTGTGTGTGTGTGTGTGTGTGTGTGTGTGTGTGTGTGTGTGTGTGTGTGTGTGTGTGTGTGTGTGTGTGTGTGTGTGTGTGTGTGTGTGTGTGTGTGTGTGCAAGGATGTGTGTGAGTGAGTGTGCCCTGCCTGTCAGCTGTGCTTTGTGTACAGTGTTGTGTGTGGGTAAGGGCATAATAGCCAGTGGACCTGACAGTAACATTAATGCTATAAAAATGGTCTAATTGACCGTGTGTATGTGTGTATCCGTTTGTGTATGTGCAAGAGAGAGATTGCAAGAAAGCACCCCACAGCCTGAAGGAATTCTCCACCACGCACACTCACACACACACACACACACACACACACACACACACACACACACACACACCACACACACACACACACACACACACACACACACACACCACACACACACACACACCACACACTCAGTGATGCTTGTTCATCGCCAGTCAAGTGTGCACTCACATTAGCCACCTCTAAATGAACATGGTTGGCTTCACCCCAAAGACACACACACACACACACACACACACACACACACACACACACACACACACACACACACACACACACACACACACACACACACACACACACACACACACACACACACCTGTAAATAAATGGTCTTTTAGCTCACAAACCCTGCCACAGTAAGGTCAGGAGGTCAGCTGCAGCTCTGGAGTTGGCAGCTTCAGTGTTAATTTGAGTGTTCTTGCCCAAGGACACTTTAGGAGTGTTTGTTACTTTTAGGGAGGATAATCCTGAATATCCTCTCTAGACTTTTCTAGAGTTTTTACTTCTTTCTATTTCACATGGCTTGATTAAAATATTATTCTGAAGAGTTCAAAATTACACGTTTGAAATGTTGACTTCAAATACAAGCTTCGGCATGAGCTGGAATCCAGTAAGATCTAATATACTGTAAAGGCATGATATTTAAGAGTGTAGTTCTTTGCCAGATTCCCTGCTTATGGTGCACCTGTCAACAGTACTTACTGTTGTAAGCTGTGTGTCAGGAGTCTGCAGTGATAAGACCAACACAAAGTTACCTGTTCTTCAATATAAAGGCAGCATGACTTTTCATGTTGAAAGACAGAAACCAGAGTTCCCATACAGTTTCCTCTGTGATTAAACTCAAAAAGTGATCTCTGTCAGTGATCACTGTGTATTCCCTAACATAATTCAAGCAGTTTTATTTGTCAAAACCTAAGTATTCGTTAGCTGGAGGGGTAGTGGACTAGATAATTATAATATACTTCTGAAAAAAGCCTTCATTTTTCATTTTGGAGACCTATTTGATCAATTAGATACGGTACAAAAAGCTGTAAGATCATCACAAAATAGACAGTAAATGGAGTTAAATCCTGAGGCTAAATAAATGCATCCAAGTATTACTATAACATAGTTAAATCAGTTGATTCATTTATCTTGCAAAAGTCACTGGCTCCGGCCTATCACATTTTATATTGATTTCCTTTGCTTCCATTGCTTTTTTTTATTTAACATATTATTTGTAATATATATGTGAAGGCTTTGGATTTGATCAGAAAAAAGGGACATTTAAAAACATGGCTAAAGAAACAACTTCACTTTTTGATGACACTCGCAATAGGATACTAAAAGCAATAGATAAATATAAGTTGCTGGCCTAATATAAGTTTTGAATGATTAAAAGCTGAAATCAGTAGTATAGTATTACATTACATTACATTACATTACATTGCATTTAGCTGACGCTTTTGTCCAAAGCGACTTACAATAAGTACATTCGACCAGGAAGACACAACCTTGAAGAAAACAGAATCATATAAGTATATCAGGTTTCATAGAGCCAAACATTTCAAGTGCTACTCAACTGGCTTTAGGTAATCCAGTCCTTTATTGGTATAAAAGTGCTTCGTTAATCGTTCTAACGCTCGAAGTGGAGTCGAAAGAGATGAGTTTTCAGTTTGCGCCGGAAGCTGTGCAAGCTATCTGCCGTCCTGATGTCAATGGGGAGCTCATTCCACCATCTTGGAGCCAGGACAGCAAACCCACGTATAGTAGTATTTTGACTACTATGAAACCACACATAGCCTGTTATCTTTCTGAATGTACACAGCTTCTGCTATCTTTAGCTGTGGATGTACTCAAACCATTATATTGTGCTACACTCAAAGGCTCTAATTATCATTTAACACCCCACCATGGCAAAAACATGCACTGTGAAACGCTGGTGGTGCAAAACTGTGGATCCTCCATCGTTTTCCGTACTCTGTTTCAAAGGAGAATTAATCAAATTGAGAGGGAGGTAGTGCGAAATATAAAATATAAATGTTTGTAACTGTAAAACTGTCTGAAACTGTGCTGTTACCATTCTTGGGCCAGGACTCTCTTGAAAAAGAGATTTTTAATCTCAATGAGACCTATCCTGGTTAAATAAAGGTAAAATAAAAATAATAAAATAAAGGCAGAGCGAGGGGGAGAGGGAGAGAGGGCGATATGTTTTGAGAGGTCTTTTCAAGTGGCCATTTCATTGGTGCTAATTGATAATCCTCCATGACTAACGCACTGCTGACTGGCCTTTGAGCCACGCTAGCTGGAAAATTGTACTGTACGGTGATTTCTAACGGATCTCAGAGAGACAAGAGAGGAGAGAGAGATAAGCTCAGCTGGATGGGTTTAACTGAGGTTATCACAGGGGATAGAAGCCAACATGCAGAGCTGTTCTCAAATCTTGTAGTAAGTAAAAGTAGAAGTACCAGGGTGTACTCGGTTACAAGTAAAAGTCCTATATTCAAAATGTTACTCAAGTAAAAGTTCAAAGGTTTTGGCATCTAAATATAATTAAAGTAACAAAAGTAAAAGGAGTCATTGTGCAAATTGGTCCATTTCAGAATAATATATATGATATGTTTTAATTATAAATATTGATGCATTGCGTGTTTATCAAAGCTGGTAAAGGTGTAACTCATTTCAACTAATTGTAAATGTAATCCAGGTGTATCTAAAGTATTCTTTAAGTGTTGATCATAATGTTTATCATTAATCTATATCTGCAAAGTAACTAAAGGTACTCTGGAGGTAGTGGAGTAGAAGTACAAAGTAGCATCAAATCAGACAGTACTTAAATAAATGTACTTAGTTACTTAATACCACTGCCAACCTGTTTAGCGCCTTTATAGAAGAGTGTGCTTGCATCATTATGTTATTCTGCGTACTTTGTCTATGTACTGTTTGATATGTAGGCAATAATGTAATATTTGAATAGCGCATTTATGGGACTCAAAGTCGCCTAACATGTAAACATAACGGCCCTATGTGATTAGTTGGACATCTTATTCCCTTAACATTTATTTGCTGCTGCTATCACAGCTTCCACTTGTCTTGGAAAGCTTTCCACAACATTTTTGGATTTGATCCCATATACTTAGGAAAGCATTTCCTTCTTCCCTTTCACATTACTTATGTCATCATGTGACCCTTTTGGGGGTTGCCAAACGCATGACGCAGCAAAGATTTCCTGTAATTGGAACTTATGGCCTATACACCATCCCATTCTTATCAGCCCCAAACTAGACTTATTGGTGAATTCATAGAAGCTAATAGCTATCAAAAGCACATCATAATAAACGAAAAAAAACTCAGACAAAAGGAATTCCGTTGTTTTCTTTACTGGAACATGTTTAGCAGTACAAACAAAATAAACGACAAATAAACCAACATCAACATGATGTTGGTTTATTTTTTGTTATTTTCTAAAGTGCCTGCCATTGCCTTTATTTGGAGATGCGCTATGCGCGCACAATGTATTTATTGCAATGCTGCCATTATTAAATACAGGCTACAGCTTGTATTAATAATAGCAGCATTGCAATAAATATTATTATAGCAATTTATTTATTGCAATGCTATTAATAATACAGGCTGTAGCCTGTATTATTAATAATAGCAGCATTGCAATAAATAAATTGTGCGCGCATCTTCAAATAAAGTGTGTAGCGTGCTGCAGCAGCAGTCTGCTCTGCACGCAGGCTTCCTCCAAGTTTACAGTAAAACAAACTGGTGGTGTGACCAATGGACATTTACAATTGTTAATACTATTACTATTATTAGCATTAGTCTATATTTTGGTTGAAACTAAGCCAGAAAAAAATAAATAAAACATAAATAATAATAAAAAAATATACAAATAAAATCGATTTTTAAAAATAATATTCGATTATGGAGACTGTAACGATTAATCAAATAATCGAATAATCGCTGGCATCCCTAATATGCACCTGCTTTAAGTACAAGATAGATTACAATGGAGAAACAGGGGAGGTCGTGTGACATCACAGATGTACGTGTGTTATAATCATTGTGACAGTGCTATGTGCACACACTGATTTATAAACACATTGTAGGTGTCTCTCTTCACTACAGACACTCACAGTGTTCTGTCCATTCATTCAAGTCGAGCGCCTCACATTTCCTTATCAGTGAGGGGACAGATAAAACACTTTTTATTATTGTGATAGAGAGTTTACTAATTAAGTTGTTTTTATTTTCTACTGTTATGTTTTCTCCCGGAAGCACATTTGATTTTGTGTGCAGATGTCTGTACCGCTGCTTCTGCTTTAAAATGTTGGACACAAAGTAGTTTGATGTCAACATTTACAACACTTTTGCTGTTTTATAGATTATGATGAAGATGATGTACTTGGTTCAGTTTAGTATTGACAGCTGTAGCAGCAGAGGAATAGTGAAAAGGAGGTAATTATGACAACAACTGCAGATATTCATCACTGTCATATGTCCTGTAACTCTTTTAATGTTCTCCCCTATCTTAGATATTCTCTAGAATGTGGAAATGGGATGTCCACCTGACGATGATGCCTATTGAAGTCCCTGCTTCTTGTCTTGCAGGTTATTCAGTGCGATCTTGGAGCAGGCCACAAAAGGCGACGGGGCCACTCCTATTGGAGGAAAGGCAGCGGGCTTCGATGTCAAGGCTCTGAGGGCCTTCAGAGTACTCAGACCCCTCAGACTGGTCTCTGGAGTACCCAGTAAGTACTGAGAGAAAGGGAATAAAATAAAAAAGACAAAAAAGAAAAGAGAGTAAAAAAATGCTTCTCTGAGGACCAGGTGTGAATGGTGATTGGATGAGGTGGGGGATAAATGAAACACAGATTGGAGCTGATATTGCCCTCAGAGGCACACACACAGTGACACACATAAATCCACACACACTCCTCTTATCAGGTGCTCAGACCGTAGTGGCAGTGGATGAGTTGTCTGTCAGCCTGTCTGTGTCAGTGACTTCAGGAATCAATAATCCAACAGGACAGAAGACAGGAAAAGGATGTCGTGGATGAAAGCCGAGCGCTGTTTGCACCTGTGTGATTGTGTGTGTCATCTCTTGTGATTACAGTAGCAGGCAAACCCACAGCTTGCTAGTGTACATCACACACTATTTTTGTTCTGGTAAAAAGCTGCATGCTCCATTTGCTATAGACTTTACAAAAAGGAATTATCTGTACATTAACTATGTAATAAAGCTGTTTACTTAAATCTGTATATGATCCAAGCATATCATGTCATGACCAAACCAATTATTTTGAACCAAATAAATAAAAATAAGCTCACATTTTATTCTCCAAAGATAATTGTGACCAAAAGTTAATATTTGGAGGATAAAATGTGTGTACATTTTACTGTTACACAACAATAAGCCTCCTTAACAGAATGTAATCAGCGTATCTGTGAGTTATTAGTATGCAGTACTCTAAGCCTTTTTATATGACAATAAGGCTTTCATAATTAACAATACTGCGTGTGTCAAGACTCTTTAATTTAAATACATTCTGATTTCCCTTAAATAAGGTTGTGTTCACCCTTTATGTGTTCTCAGCAGTTCCTCTGTGTGTGTGTGCTGCAGGTTTACAGGTAGTGTTGAACTCCATAATCAAAGCCATGGTTCCTCTGCTCCACATCGCCCTGCTGGTCCTCTTCGTCATCATCATCTATGCCATCATCGGCCTGGAGCTCTTCATGGGCAAGATGCACAAGACCTGCGCTCATGAGCAAACAGGTACACACACGCATACACACCGGAGACTGAGGGGCGCAGGGAGAGAATATATAGACGATTGCGCACTGATGCACAGATTCAAATACAAACATGCATGGTCAAACACATACACTCTCATACCACACCTGAATGGTCAAATACGATTTGAAGCGAATACTCAACTGTGTGTGAAAGCACACTTCAGATAGCATATATTCACATTTCAACCCAAGAGATGGACATACAGGTGCAAACGTAACGCCACAAACCTTTCAAACTCAAATAAAACACATCAGTTAGACACCACCTATACTGTATGCCATCAAAGCAGAGAGAGTATGAATAATTTGGGTGGTAATTGAAACAGCAGCTGCCATAAACGATGAAAACCATTTTCAGTAAAGGTCCCTATGTATACATGGACTTAAGTGTTGCTCTTGTGATGTTATAGGTCCCATGAGAGGCATTAGCTTTGCCTGGGTTAGTGCTAGTGGAATACTGTGATGTCCTATACATCACCCTGGGGGACATTGATCCTTGTTATGGCTGCTCTACAGTCCACTGTGTCCTTGTTTAACCCCAGTTCAAGGAAATATTGCTTTTTTTTTCTTTTAGATACATTATTTATAGATTACCTTGAAAGATTTAGTAGAATTGCAAAGGAGGAGTTATTTTATACTCCCTCTTGGTGTATTGCATAGTGTGAGGTGACTTACGGTTGGATCACTTCCAACAAGTGAGGGGGCATGAGACCCTCACTGAGGAGTCATCAGTACAAAAGATGAGCAACTATATAAGAAGATTTTTATAAAAAGTTCATGGTACAATATAGGGATGGGAACGATTAATCGAATATTCAAAATTATTCAGGTTTTCGGATAATTATTCAGGTTTCGAATATGAGTTATGAATATTTTTATGAATTATTATAATTTTTTGGGAGGGGCGCCTAAGTTGATTACATATTATCAAATTGAATAATTCAATGTATACGACAGTGCCATAGCTAAATGTGTTGGGTCTAAAGGTGTGTTTTGCTCCGCTCACCGGTCCCTCACAGCGGGCAGAGCTGCAGGTCTCTCTCTCTCTCGCGTCCGGTTATACTTCACTCGCGTTTATGTCCAAATCCATCAGATCTAGCTAGTTCTAGCCAATGATATGGCTGCTGCCCCTCCCTACACGCAGACTCAAACCTCATCTTATGCCCAAATGCGGCCCAAATGCGGCGCAGCCGTTGCGAGGTTCCGGCGCTAACAGTTCATGAGCGTGCTCCCCCGCCCCCTGTCAACACTCGCTGCTTGGCAACCGTGTGTGGCGGCAAAGTACATAGACATTTTGACAGGAGAGATTTAGTTTTGCCGGTATTCAACATATTTTACCAGTCATAGTCCGGTAATTATTTACACTCTAAGAAGAGTCCTACACAACAGACATGGCGTCAAAAAGGAGTAATGTGTGGAAATATTTCGACCAGGTTAGTGAGTGCGGTGTAGAGTGCAAACTATATCAAATTAAACTTATATATACATACTACACCTTGCTATACCCGCAACCTCCGTTCCAGCTGAGAGGGTCTTCTCTACAGCTGGCCTGATTGTGAATCGCCTCCGCACCGGCATCTCCCCTGAGCATGTAGACATGCTCATATTTTTAAACAAGAATGAGTAGCCTATTGAATAGCTGCATTCTGTGCATAGGCCCTGTTATAGGTTTTTTATGTTTTAAGCATGAAAGCTGTAGGACTATAGCTGTCAAACTGTGATCACCAGTTCAATACATTTGACAAATTCGACTTGGTTTCTATACTTATTTGAACATGTATTTATTTATTTCCAACATTTTTAGATTTTTTTTATATAGGATATGTACATTTCGGTTAACCGGCTAACCGTTTTTTGGGGGGTCGAATATTCGAATATACATTAGCTTTCAAATTCCCATCCCTAGTACAATATGGAAATTCCACAATAAATCACTTCCTGTTGAGAAATGAACAGATATAGAAGTTGAACCAAAGTTGTGTTATTTAATGAAGAGTACAAGCATTCAACAGAATCTATTCCAGCTGGAAGGACGAATGTCTACAGCACTCGCAGAAGAATCACAAGTCATGTATACAGAGAAACAGGGAACAAAGGGGGACAAGCAACAAAGTAACTGACATTACAACCTACCAAATGGAAAAACAAAGGGACATAAGCCATGTTAATTATAACATGAAACATCTGTATGATCATTTGCCTGACAATGGTCACAGTGGCACCCTTCAGTCTGTTGAACAAGTTTACAAAGAACTGAATTACTCTTTAATTATACATTTCCATTATAATAACCATCTTTCTCTTCCTCTTATGTCTTTTGTCACAGGCAACTTTATGGAAAAAAAGCCGGCACCATGTGCGCCTGAGGGAGCTTACGGTCGAAATTGTACGCACAATGGAACCCACTGTAAGGTGGGGTGGGAGGGCCCGAACGACGGCATCACTAACTTTGACAACTTTGCCTTCGCCATGTTGACGGTGTTCCAGTGTATAACCATGGAGGGCTGGACGGAAGTGCTGTACTGGGTGAGACGGACACCACAACAGTGTCTTAGTGTGTGTGTGTTGTGTGTGTGTGTGTGTGTGTGTGTGTGTGTGTGTGTGTGTGTGTGTGTGTGTGTGTGTGTGTGTGTGTGTGTGTGTGTGTGTGTGTGTGTGTGTGTGTGTGTGTGTGTGTGTGTGTGTGTGTGTGTGTGTGTGTGTGTGTGTGTTTGTGAAAAGAGTACCATCTGCTCAGTGTGTGTTGTCACTGTACTGTATCTGTTACATCAATGCCACATGAGCGCTTTTGAAAAATTGATATAAAAAATAACACTTCAGGAATGAAGGCAGGTATGAACACAATAAGACACACGCACATTGCGTTTGTGAGCGTGTTAGCTCATATCTCGGAATAAATCGATTCCGACAATACACTGTAATTGAAGGCGCCGATTCATTTGGAACGTGTGCAGAATCCTGAATCTTGATTCAAGTGAAAACACACACACACACACACACACACACACACACACACACACACACACACACACACACACACACACATCCAGCCAGCGAGGCGTATGAACACACACAAACTGTCCCTCCCTCAGTGAATGGGCAGAAGCAGGCAGCAGCCCTGTCCAGCTAAATAAACCAAAGGATTAGTCTGTGCTGTTAATCAATGTTCAGGAGGGTTCCATCTGACTCCACATGTGCTGGATTTCTTAGAATTGTATTCAGTCCTGGAGGTTTGGCTCTACACCCAGATTATTATTTATTGATGTCCCAATAACTGGTGGTAAGGGCTCAAAGACTTGAACCTGAGTGTTTTTTTCAGATATTTATATTTTGTATGTGATGTTGCCACTACTACCCTGTGTAACATAAGCGCTGTTATACCATAAGCCATGTGTAACATCAGGTTAAAAAACATCCTTTGTAACATTAGTCAATATGTCACTATCACGTAACGTTGCTGATTGGCAATATGTCAACTTTGAAAGAGATTTTCAACAATTGCCTATATCAAGTCGTTATAAGATAAAATAATATAAGATAGACCTTTATTGATCTCCTTAGGGAAATGCAGACCTATTGCAGTAACACAGTGAAACACAGGACAGTACAGATAGAGTTCACACAAGGATAAAAATAATACAAATAAGATGACATTTGTAAGGCACAGTTTCAATTTACAATCAGAGCAACGATGTTATAAAAAATAATCTCTTGAATCCCCACTCTGCTGATGTCCACCTGCTGAGTATGTAGATTTTAAAGCCTCATTACAACCAGTTTGCAGTCTGTTTTCCTTAGATCTTATATAGAATTATCTTTAAACAATTTGGTACAGTTGTAGATATGATTTATATTGTGATATTAAATATAATACAATACAATGTGAAACGGAACATAATGCGGTGATATAGCTGCACACAGACTTTTAAAAGGGAGCTATTAATGTTAAAAGTGTTTTAAATAAAATGTTCATACTCTTTAATAAATGTTCACTCACCTAGCTTCAACGTTAATCTATTGCTAGCAGAAAGTTCAAATGTTTTATCATTTCAAAGCTCTTTTCTCTAAAGGCTGTGTCTCACTGCGAGTGTTACAGATGAATACTGTCTATTAGGATTGTGAAAACAACTCTATAACCAAATGTCCAGTGGGCAATAACATTGTGCTAATTTCCATTCATTTGGTAGCCTCAATTTGCACTTCTAATGTGTGATGATTATATTCAGGTCACAGAGCTCAGCATCCCTTTCTCTGAAATTGAAATAATGATGTTATCTCAGAAGATTATTTAACAACACTTAAAGCATTTATGACCGTATTTTGTTTCCGTTATCCTAAAGGACTCTTTTCCATCTCGATGAATGAATAATAAGTCCACTTCACAAAGAATGATTCTTATCCAGTATCTAGAGTTTTCACACGATGTACTAATCCTAAGTAGGATTCTAGCCAGAAGATACATGTTTCTGCTTGCTATGTGTGTTTTGGTAAGTATGAACATCTTACAAAATAATCAAAAATATGTCAAATTAGGATCATATTGTCAATAGAGAGTTTTAAAATACCTTCAAACCTTTGTTAACATGTGGTGAATGACATCCTAGGTTTCTGTAAGATCACTAGTGATTTAGCTTTCAGAGAAACTGATTTTAAGCTCTGTGATGAAAATAATACATATCGTAAGAGGGACAAGGTGGGGCTAGCCATCACAATATTAAAGGATACAATTACTTATTAGATAAGTAAATCTCTAAAGAAATTAATTTCCAATGGAATAATGTGTTACAGTACACTGGTAAGATCTGGGAAAGTTTTTTTTTTTAGCTCTGTCTGTTTGGTTACTTATCTCAGAATTTTTTTTGGTAGTCTCTGTGTGTGTTTGTGTATGTGTGTGCGTGCAAGTTCCTTTTCTGTGTGTATATTTACACACGGAGCTTACTCTACACCCCTGCTGTAACTGCCCTGTCTGCTGCCACCTCCTGTGTACACACACACCACACACCACACACCACACACACACCACACACACACACACACAACACACCACCACACACACCACACACACACACACACACACACACACACACACACACACACACACACACACACACACACACACACACACACACACACACACACACACCACACACACACACACACACACACACCACACACACACACACACACACACCACACACACACACACACACACACACAATTCATTTTTAGAGCGCTTGGGAATCCAGCTGCCTTGATAATGAATGGGACCTATTTGTCCAGAGTCCGTATGATTATGGGAAAAATACTTAGACAACACCAAACCTTTTGTGTTGGGCCATGCGTTTCCATAGTTTTAATTGTCTCACATTTTCAGGACTATAGATTAATGACATCCAACATCTGCTGTCATAGCAACCCTCGTTTCTTCTGTTGTCTCGTTCTGTTCAACATGTGTCCATGTGACAGCCCCTTAATTTATTTAATTGATACACATGCAGTTGTCAGGGTTGAGAGAGGCAAGCAGGACCCAAATGCAGATTAACAGAAAATACCTTTATTTCAAGGTTTAAAGACAGAACTCTTCCCAGTGAACACAGTCCAACAACAACAAGGAACTAACAGAAACTAAATGCACACATGACTAATCAAACAAACAAGAGACAGGTGAGGAGGGAGGAGAAAACACAGGGGCACCAGGTGAACACAATCGGGTAATCAGGGAGGGAAAACAGACAGAAACCAACAGGCAAAACAGGAGGTGAACACTTTTCAAAAATAAAACAGGAAACCAAAGACAGAAAAAGACAAGACAAAACACAACACAGACAGATCGTGACAGTACCCCCCCCCCCTCAAGGGACGGATCCCAGATGTCCCAAAAAAAGTCCAACAGGGTGGGTGGAGGGGGTCTGGAGGACGGGCTTGGGCTGACAGCCCAGGGGCACAGCGGAGGACCCGGAAGGGGTCTCAGGCGGACGGCCCGGGGGCAAGGCAGAGATCAAGGATGGGGTCTCGGGCGGCCGGCCCGGGGGCAAGGCAGAGTTCAAAAAGGGGGAATCGGGCGGACGGCCCGGGGGCAAGGCAGAGTTCAAGGATGGGGTCTCGGGCGGACGGCCCGGGGGCAAGGCAGAGTTAAAAAAGGGGGATTCAGGCGGCCCGGGGGCAAGGCAGAGTTCAAAAAGGGGGATTCGGGCGGCCCAGGGGCAAGGCAGAGTCCAAGGCGGGGCGAAGGCCAAACAGCTCCGGAGGCCCGGGCAGGACCCGGTGCCGGCCGAACAGGAACCGGAGCTGGTGGGACAGGCTTCGGTAGGATCCCCCACGGAAGAGGACCAGGAGTTGGCAGGACCCCCGGCGAGACAGGTGATGGTGGGGCCTCCAACGGAACAGGACAAGGGGTTGGCAGGACCCCCGGCAGAAGAGTTGACGGCGGGACCCCCAGAGGAACAGGACATAGGATTGGCAGGACCCCCGGCAGGAGAGTAGTCGGCGGGACCCCCAACGGGACAGGACACAGGGTTGGCAGGACCCCCGGCAGAAGAGCAGTCGGCGGGACCCCCAACGGGACAGGACATAGGGTTGGCAGGACCCCCGGCAGGAGAGTAGTCGGCGGGACCTCCAACAGGACTGACATGGAGCCGGCAGGACCCCCAGCGGAACCTCCATCGGCACAGGACATAGGGTTGGCAGGACCTCCAGCGGAACCTCCAACAGCACGGACTGGCAGGACCCCCGGCAGAAGAGTAGTCGGCGGGGCCTCCAACAGCACAGGACATAGGGTTGGCAAGACCCCCGGCAGAGGAGTAGTCGGCGGGGCCTCCAACGGGACAGGACATGGAGTTGGCAGGACCCCCAGCGGAACCTCCAACGGACCAGGACATTGGGTAGGGACTTGAGACGTGACTCGAGAGGGGACTTGAGAGGAGACTCGAGAGGAGACTCGAGAGGGGAACCAAGGGGGAACTAGAGAGGGGAACCGAGAGGGGAACCGAGAGGGGACTAGAGGAGGGACTAGAGGAGGGACTAGACAAGGGATTAGACGAGGGACTTGAGAAGGGAACTCGAGAGGTGACTAGAAAGGTGACTCGAGAGGTGACTCGAGAGGGAACTCGAGAGGGGACTCGAGAGGGGACTTGAGAAGAAACTGGAGAGGGGACTCGAGAGGGAACTAGAGAAGGGACTTGAGAAGGGACTCGGGAAGGGACCAGAGAAGGGACTCGGGAAGGGACTAGATAAGTGACTAGAGAGGGGACTCGAGAGGGAGCTGGAGGGGTGACTTGAGAGGGGACTCGAGAGAAGACTTGAGAGGGAACTCGAGAGGTGACTTGAGAGGGAACTCGAGAGGTGACTTGAGAGGGAACTCGAGAGGTGACTTGAAAGGAGGCTTGAGAAGGGACTCGAGAGGTGACTTGAAAGGAGGCTTGAGAAGGGACTCGAGAGGTGACTTGAGAGTGGACTCGAGAGGTGACTTGAAAGGAGGCTTGAGAGGGGACTCGAGAGGTGACTTGAGAGGGGACTCGAGGGGGGACTTGAGAGGGGACTCGAGAGGGAGCTGGAGATGTGGCTTGAGAGGGGACTTGAGAAGGAACTTGAGAGGAGACTTGAGACTGTCGGTTCGCCAACAGAACACGGGGGGCTGGAGTCGGCCGGAATGCCGACAGGACACGGGGAGCTGGCGTCGGCCGGTACGCCGACAGGACACGGGGAGCTGGCGTCGGCCGGAGACGAGGGGCTGCTGGGGCCAGGACTGAGGCTGGAACCATGGCTGCTGGGGCTGGAACCATGGCTGCTGGGGCCTGTACTGGAGCCGGAACCATGGCTGCTGGGGCTGGAACCATGGCTGCTGGGGCCAGAACTGGGGCCGGAATGGCTGCTGGGGCTTGTACTGGAGCCGGAACCATGGCTGCTGGGGCCAGAACTGGGGCAGGAACCATGGCTGCTGGGGCCAAAACTGGGGCTGGAACCATGGCTGCTGGGGCCTGTACTGGAGCCCAAAGCATGGCTTCTGGGGCTAGGGCTGCTAGCTTGGACCTGCGACTCCTTCTCTCAAGAGCCTTTTGGAGGCTCCGTGGACCTCCAAAAGCCAGACGAGTTCCAGAGAATGGCTCCTGGACAGGAGCAGGAACACACCGAGGCGTACGGCGCCAGGTTGGGAGTTGGGAGGCAGGGTGCTAGCATGCCTGGGACTAGCAGGCCGGGAATCACACACCGAGAGGAAGTCCAAAATCCAGCCAGGTAAGAATTTCACTAAACCTGGCTTCTCCATAGCCATCTGGTGTGCCTCAGCCAGAGCAGCCTCTCGCTGCTGAACTCCAGACGCTCCCCTCCACTTATCAGAGCAGCCAGCCAAAGAAAAAGAAAAACTGAGTAATTCCAACTCAAAAGGATCTGCTGGGCCATCCTTGGTTAGTTCCTTCTGTCAGGGTTGAGAGAGGCAAGCAGGACCCAAATGCAGATTAACAGAAAATACCTTTATTTCAAGGTTTAAAGACAGAACTCTTCCCAGTGAACACAGTCCAACAACAACAAGGAACTAACAAAGACTAACATAAAACACAGAACCTAAATGCACCCATGACTAATCAAACAAGGAGGGAGGAGAAAACACAGGGGCACCAGGTGAACACAATCGGGTAATCAGGGAGGGAAAACAGACAGAAACCAACAGGCAAAACAGGAGGTGAACACTTTTAAAAAATAAAACAAGAAACCAAAGACATAAAAAGACAAGACAAAACACAACACAGACAGACCGTGACAGCAGTAGATCACTTATAACAGCGTGTCATTGTTTTTATGGACAAATGTATAGCATTAAGACTCATTGTCAATTAAGGGCAATCCACCTCTCCAAGATAGGGCTCAGGATTGTTATTGAGTTACAAAAGCTGTTAAGTGTTGTTTAGTATCTGCTTGATTGTGGTTGGTCCAGCCTGTGCTCTCTAACACCAGACACCAGGGTGTATACACACACTTTATCACACAACACTGCCACTCCTGCTTGGCCATATCTTCCTACTGCTCTTTTTAACATGCACTGCTCTTTCCTTTTTCCTTCCTGTCACCTTTTCCTACCTTGATTCCTTCTCTTACACACTTTCTGTCCTTTACCTCTACTGCCCCCTCATTCGTTCTCTCTATGTACCTTACCCATTGTCCTCACCCCTCTCTTCCTTCCCTCCCCATTGTCCTTCCTCCACCACCTTCTCCCTGTTAACCGCTCTCTTCTCTCCTTCTGTTTCTCTCCCATGTCTCTCGTCTCTCAGATGCAGGATGCTATGGGCTATGAGCTGCCATGGGTCTATTTTGTCTCTCTCGTCATCTTCGGCTCCTTTTTCGTTCTCAATCTCGTTCTGGGGGTGTTGAGCGGGTAAGAGGTTGTGCTGTGGTCATGTGTGTACAAAAGTCTGTATGTGAGTTGTTTGTGATGAGGGTGTACGGTGCAAAGTGTTTAATATGTGATTATTGACCGTGCAACAAGACTCCCTGGAACAGACATTTGAAGTGCAATTTGTGATTGATTTGGAGGATCCATTGAACCACTAAATAGTGGAATAGAATGGAAATAATTCATGGTTATCCACTATAAAAGCACACCACTTATTGGGCATTATTATGGTTATTATGATTATTTGTGTTATTAGTTGAAGTTGGCAGTATTATTTAAGGTAAACATGATTTTCTTCTAAATATAACGTCACATAAACTCTACTCTCTTAACATTTTGATTATATATAATATCCTTCTTTGGAGACCATAGTAGTAATAAGCTGCGTAGTTCAACTGCTGTATGAATCCAGAATCCAATGCTGTAAACTGAACATGCTACAGCCTTTAATACTGTAATCCCTGTCATCACCATTTCAATGGGAGACTACTACACACTGAAGGGATTTATACAAGAGTTGCAACACTTGGCTAAAGAGTCAAGGTGGGCTATACGTGAACATTCCGTCCCAAATATTAGTAATAAAAGTAGTCTTATTAGCATTGATTTGGAGATTATTTGGTACATTCAATTGAAGCCATCAAATGCAAATTAGTGGAGGGGGATTCAGGCAGTCTCACATCAGCAGTCTTCCAGTACAAGTAGAGCTAGATCTCTTCTTGTAAAGATCTTAATCCTCTACAGTCGAGGAAAGATGAACTGACTGAACTGAGCACAATCTCCAGCTCTCTCCAGCTTCACTCGGTCCTTTGTCAGAAGCCTTACAGAGAGACACATTCACACATAAGCACTTGCTGGACTCTTCTTCTGAACAGTTTTTTTTTCCAAGGCTCAGTTTTAAGATACCCCTTTTCCTCCTTAATGAGATGACTGCATAAACAGATCCGCCATGTTTGTTTACATGTGTTGGTTATCGTCACACATGTTTGTCTCATGTGCTTATCAGCATCTGCTTACATTGTTTGTGTATGTGCAGCGTGTGTGTATTTGTATGGAGGCGTGTGTATGTTTTGTTTCACTAAATGCTGCTCCAGCAGCTGGGTGCCGTTTTACCCCGCTCTGTCAAGTCACACTGTTTTAGTACAAGCACCACCCGGCCTGTAGGGACACACTGGGGTATTAATGATTCGCCCCTCAGGTCAGTTATAGAGATGGAACTTAAAAAAGCTTGCACAACAGGGAAATCACAACAGGCAAAAAAGGTTTTTCTGAGGACAGAGTGAAGTCTGAAAGGAAACATGGCATTAAAAATGGAAATTATAGGATGGATGCCTGCACTAAATAGGGACTATAATTCTTGGGTAAATTTGAGTTAAAGTCAGCAGGATAACTATAACTGCCATAACAATATCAATTAAATAATAGCAATAATAATCATTATAATATTTTACACCTCAAATTTGATTTAAAAATGAAAGTTTTTTTTAATTAAATCTAAGACTCTTTTTTGTGGCTTTTTATAATAAAATTCCTTCTTTTTTTTGCATCAAGAGAGAATAAGCTGTCATGATGACAGTCATAATGTCTAATCCATGGGAGTCTTGCTGCACTGTCTTCAAGTGTCCAAAATGCCTTCTCTTCACAGGGTTTTAAATGAACTCTTTTCGGGGGATGTAAGCTTGTAACCTTCCCTTACATGCCCTCACCTGATGGTGTTTAAAGTTGAATACAGCCGGTCAGATACGCTGCCATGTGGCCCATTAAGTGACTCTGACAAATACTATAAATGCATTATCCCAGCAGGGATCCTGCAGAAGGATACAGTTCCATCTGTTGGGAACTTTCACTGAGGATCTAACCCCTTCCCTCTGCCCCTCCTCCCTTCCCTCCTAACCTCCCTTACTGCTCTCTACTCGGCTTCTTTTCCTCCCTCCATCTTTACCTGTCTCCTCACACCCTTCTCCCTTGCATTCCTCCTTTGTCTCCCCTCCTGTGTCCCACGCCTCCGTCTCTCCACCAGGTGAATGACGCAGTAGGTTACAGTTGGCCCTGGGTGTATTTTGTCACCTTAATCATCATCGGATCCTTCTTTGTGCTAAACTTGGTTCTGGGGGTATTGAGCGGGTAAGGGCAAGGTCAAAGGTCACTTGAGACTAACTTCTTTCCCTCTCCTTCACACTGTCCTTCTTAGAGAGCTTTGCTGTCTGTTTTTCCTGCTTCTGAAAGGAAATGGTGTTGTGGTTTTTTAAACTGGTAAAGGTATGTATTTTCAAGAAACAAAATACATACCAGCACACAAAAGGGAAATGCAACATGAATTCATTTCATCTACGATTATGTCCAATATGTTTTAAGAACTACATGTATGTGGATTTCGCAGTACCACAATTATTTTTCCAACCACCCCAATATTGTGAATGCAATATCTCTGTCTTAGTCTTAAGTATAAACTGATTAGTAGTCAAAATGAAATGTCACTGTGATCTTGTAAACATGTTTTGGACATACCTTAGAAATGGACTTGCTTCTTGTAATTTCACGATTTCAGGAGTATCTAACAAAATAAAATGATGAATTAATGGCAATCTGGACATACATGGATTTAAACCGCGACAAGTGGGTGAAGTCATTAATGCCATAAGCAGGTATTTTCTAATGTGATTTATAGAAGAAACAGAGCTTAGTGTGTGGTTAAGATGAACTTAAGAAGTGAAGTGTCTCACCCCTGACTGACTGACCTGTATCTGACTCTCGATACCCACAGTGATGTGGTAAAAATAATAGAGGTCTTTCTGGTCCAAACAGCTTGGGGGGTTTGGCTGTCTGACTCTTTGTCTGACTTCTGACTAATGATGCTGTCATCACACTACACAGCCTGACCTTTTACCAACTGCTTCCTCCATGCAGTGTGTGTGGGTCTCAGATTGGCATAATAACTAATGGCCAAACAGGAAGAAGGAGAGCGACGGGCACAGAGACAGAAACATGGGGTGTGACGGTGTTTGTCTGTATTTGATGTAATGTGTTAATAGAAAGAAAGAAGCATGAGGCTGTCTGAGAGAGAATGAGGGGACACATGAAGAAAATCCATTACGGGGAAAAAGAGAGATGTTGAGAATAGTAAATTGAGAGTGATCACTGAGAATTCTGCTCTCACAAACACACACATAGTATACTACACACTGACACACACAACCACAGATCAATAAGATTGGGTCTAATGTTATGACAAGCACAACTGTAGCAGTTTGTCCTAATGCTCATTGATCTGCCTTTTGTGTATGTGACTGTGTTGTCTGTAGTTGTGATTTATTCAATCATTCTACCAAATTTCACACAGAAAACACACTGACAGGCTCACACACATTCTCTGATTCTGTTCCAAGCAATAGACTGACTATAGGAATCTATGAAAATAGACACATACCATTATGGATCCTGTGATGCTCTCCAGGGAACGTGTTTGGATACTGTAAGTGTGAAACTTCCATAGCTGCAAAGCCCCACTTAAAGGGGACCTATCATGCAAAATGCACTTTTGTACGTCTTTTATACATGAATATGTGTCCCCGGTGTGTCAGGGAACTCACCAAGTGTCAGAAAACACAACCCTTTCTCATTTCCTCCATACCCAAATCTCTAAAAACGGGGCTGCAACGGATCTGATACAGACTGATACAGATTTGAAATATCTCTGACGTCAGAAACGAGAAGCTCCGCCTATATGGGCAACTCCCCACCAATCAGGAGGAGACGGCCATTGCCGTTCGAAAGCGCTGGAGACGCTGTAGTACATATGCCAGGCCTGTAGGTGGCGCTGTAGTCTGCCACAAAAGCAGCGAAGAAGACTTCTCACAGATTCAGCCCTTGCAAAAACAGGGCTTAAGGCCCAATCCCAAACCACTCCCTCGACCCTACCCCTCCGTGACGGAGTGAACTCCGTCTGTAGCCACACTCGCAGCTCAACGAGGCTCCCTCCTGTCAGATGGAGGGAGTAAATACAGCAGCAAGCTTTGGGACGGCCTCCCCTCTCTCCGGCAGAAACAGGAAATGCCGTAACTGTATGTAACAACAGTTTCAAATCAGCATTTGAATTTTTTTTAAATTAATGACTCAAATAAAACTCCAAACATCTTTAATTTTAAACCTGATGTTTATAAGCTTCTTAGTTTTTGCAACAGTCTGTAAATATACACAACTTTATAATAAAATGCACACATTTACCTTTTTCTAGACTAAACACAGGTATGATCCTAAGTTAAAAACATATGAGGTTATCATGAGGTTGTCAGTGGATGTTTGCTGGAACTACTTGTAAACAGCGTGTTTCCTGACGGACACACACAGCGTTGAGACCGGTCAGGTAGAGACCGGTCTCAAGTCAGCACCGATGCAGACTCGCTGTTTGAGGGCTTGACACTCGTTGGTTTGGAACAGCACTTAATGTGGCGGACCCTCCGCACGAACGCGCAAACGGAGTGGTAGTGTGTAGGGGTAGGGTGTACGGGGCGGTTTGGGATTGGGCCAAAAAAGAGCAAATATAGCGAAATGAGGCATGGCTAAAATGCACGATCTGTTTGGTATTTTGAAAAAAGAACTTTGCAGACATGTTTTATATAGGTATGGCCCTATAATATATTATTCAAATATAGCATGATAGGTCCACTTTAAATAAACATTATGGAGTGTGTATTTGCACCCGGGAGAAAATAGCTACACAACAGGTATTCAGCTATTTGCACATAACTGTATTAGGTTAGTTGAAATCATTAATATGAAGTTGAACCTAATATTTAGAATTGAAACTTTATAGTATTGCTACCAACTTACCTTATACAAGTATGTGTAGTTTGTTGACCTAATACATTTAATTAAAGTCAACGTTACAGTTTTTTCAGTGTAGTCACTCGGGTGCAAATAGTATCTGCCATTATTGTAATGTATTATCTAACATTATTAAAACACATACTGTGTATGGCATACGCAGCTTACTTTTCCGTGATTTCCAAACCCAAGATGACATGGTGTGAGATAACTGACCATCAGGGAACTCCACTGACTGTATCTTATTTAAAATAAGAAGCAGGGAGGCTCTTGCAATGTCAATGGACCTTGGAGTGTGTATCCGTACACATTTTAGCTGAAAATGTTCTCAAGCCTCTCAGCTCCTGTCAGCTCTCCTCCCGATGAATTATTTGGCTCCAAGCTGACTTTGACCTTCCCCGAATGCGCCGATTAATCAAATGTTCTTTAATTCTTTCTTTCTTCCTCCTGACACCTGGAAGTAATTTCACCAGGTTTCATCATATAATTTAAATATTTCACACTCTCCTAACATCAATTTTAGTTGTCTTAAATCAACTTTGCTTATGTCCTCTGTGTCCACATCACATCCAAAATCCTGACAAACCCTAAAAATCTGGCATCATTCTATATCAATAAGAATTTTTAAAAAGATAACCAGATTGCTCCATAATTAGTAGCTAAAGGACTTTAAACACTTAGTTTTTGTTAAGTCTACTTTTACACACTTCAATCATTTTATTTTCTACATAAAGAATTGCAAATGCTGCATAAAAAGGTAGCTAAAGCATCAAATAAATATTTCAGTTAACCTATCTATCGTCATTCCAACCTAAAAAACCTCTGGGTCGTGACGGAAAGAGATGTCAGAGGTGAGGGGCTCGGTGGAGCGGGACGCCCTCGCTGCAGACCCAATTCTCCTCCAATTTGACGGGAGCAGGCTTAAGGCACTGCAGCTGGGGGGGAGACCCTGGGATGCACTGCACAAACTCGCAGCAGGCACGGGAGCACCTGGGGCCCTGGGACAGCAACACTTATAAGACTAATCAGCAAAGATCGTTATGACTAAATTCAATCTTTATATATATTTGTTTAGATAAAAGAAATCTTTATGAACTTATAACAATGGGATAAAGCAATGCACTTATATGACACTAGCCTAAATGTGTGAGGGATCCTCTATTAATAGACAACAACTCTTGTCTACTCATCAGCAATGTTTGGCTGCAGGTGATACTTTCAGAATAAAAGCATCCTGACTCAGCTTAAAGTAACTGACACTTACTGTAAGGGAAATTTGTTAAGTGTTTTTTTCAAAACCCTCTCCTCCTCTAAGTTAATCAAACTAGCACTCATCCACACTTGGTCAGTCATTCGGGGTGTCTCAATTCACATTCTCACAGTGCACCAGGCTTAATTATTAGAATACGGCTTCATCAACTCCGACACTTTGTAAATCAGTGGGAACAAATAGATAGATAGTCAATGATAGGGTATAAACAGTGTATTACTGATGTGATCAAATCCAACTGCAGCTTATTTGACGTTGTGTGTTTATGCAGTTACACGTTATTATATGTTACAATGTCTACCATCTTTTAAACAGAACTGATTGGAACTGTATATCTCTTGGCTGCTTAACAATATATCTGTATGAATTGGATTTTCTGAGCTGTGAATCCAGCTCTCTGTCTGTCTGGGCGTGCTTCATCTGTATTAGCATACTAACACTGTATCTCCTTGGCAGAGCTTGTTTCTCTTCACATATTTTTTCTCTATTTAGCAGGTTTTCCCTCCTTCCTGTCCTGACACACTGAATAATGTTCTGTATTATCACAGCATTGTCACATGATTTGCACTTCAGTTTAGATTTTCAGATTCTTTTTTCTCTCCCTCTGTCACTGTTTCCTTTCTATCCCTCTTTCTATCCCCCAAACCCCTCCATCCTGTTTCCCTCCTCCCAGAGAGTTTTCCAAGGAGAGAGAGAAGGCCAAAGCACGTGGTGACTTCCAGAAACTCAGAGAAAAACAGCAGCTAGAGGAGGACCTCAAGGTAGGCGGTTCTTTCTCTGCATGTTTCATTGGGGCTGCAAGAGTCTTTGTCTGCAACTAAGATTCAATGTTAATTACTGCCAGGTAACCATAGAAATCAAATCAAACTTGATTTAAATACATTTTAATAGGTAACACATTCTTTACAGATCGATGGAGGAGGATACAAGAGTAAATCAAAGAGACAGCCAAGTGTATGCATTAAGATTAATTTAAAAATAATAACATTAATTAACATTAAGAATAAAAAAAGATGCGGTCTGTTGTTGTTACTAATATATGTCCTTAAATCATCTCAGTTTTTAGTATAAGAATAGGGAACATTGAGAAACATAATGAAGGCCATAACATTTGATAGAAACAATGTTTGTTTTGTTGATAAGCACTGCTAACCAGCCAGTGTTTTCTTTGCTTGTGTGTTCATATGTGTGGTGAATATAGGGCTATTTAGACTGGATCACTCAGGCTGAAGACATTGACCCAGAGAATGAAGAGGAGGGCATGGACGATGACAAACCTAGAAACCGTGAGTACTACAGTGTGTGTGTTTAACGGTCAAATATGCCAAGGGCGAGAGTCGATCTATTTACTTCCTGCAGTTCGCCTTGGGATGTGTGTGTGTGTGTGTGTGTGATTTATGAATTGTTGTGTGGTAGTAGTGGCAGTTAAGATTTCTGTTTCTATTGTGTTTATATCTGAGGATATAAGAAGGTGTGAGGTTAACTGCGCACGTGTTTGTGTCAGATTTAGGGTTTAGTCTGTATGTCTTGAGCTCACTGCAGTCTCATCGTTATTGAAGTGAGTGACTGATGGAGCGGCTGACAGACAGAGGGGATGTTAATATTGTCTGCTGCTTTGGCTAAGAACCCTCCCGAGGCTCAAAACCTGTTTAGATATGAGTGGAATGTGTCAGACTGCAGCTAATAGCCTCTGGACACACACACACACACACACACACACACACACACACACACACACACACACACACACACACACACACACACACACACACACACACACACACACACATACACACACACACACACACACACACACACACACACACACACACAGGGACACACACAAGCACACACACTGTAGGTATACACTCTTTTGTGACAGAAATGTTCACACACAAATTACGCAGCCACACATGGTACAAGTCTCCCCAGGAGTAAGGTTTGTTTCTTGGGGAGGGAGAGTTCAGAAGTGGCCTCTTTTGACCTGGAGGTTTGATCTCAGAGAAGATAGATCGAAAAAGAGAGAGGGATAATGCGAAAGAGAGGCAGCGGTTTGACACAATGCCTGTACTATGTCTGAGCAAGCATTGTTCAGTATGTGCTGTGAACTCTGTTATAACTGCTTGGAGCTCCGTTTCCTCACATCGATGATGAATCAATGAGTGATGTGGACTAAATATGCAGAGGTGGCTGCGGCTCATTCTGAGAGACACTGACTCGGCAAGGGAAGAAGATAATAATAAAAAAATGATGATCTAATCTTTCAGTTAGGCTCAAGACATTACTATGGTTGAATGAGCAATGACCCAATTTACATGAAATAAGGCACAGCACTCCTGTGGCTAATCCGTAACAAATCTTCTTGTTTTCACCTGTTAGCGCCGTGCTGCTCTGGGACAATCAGTGTGGCAGAACACATCAGCAGTGTGTGGCGCATTAACAAACAAACAAATACAGTATGTGGCCCCAATTGGGCACACTATTTTTAAATGTCACATCACACAATTAGTGCCTCTTAGATTCATATTGTTTTTGTTCTAGATCACTGACATAATGTGCTATGTCAAGACAAGCCCAAGTTAGTTGTAGTCTGCAGTTAGTTTGTCTCGTGCGAGATTAAATCCATTACAATTATTAAACAGAATACATTTTTCCGATGACACCATGATTGATACATGTGATCAGAAGTTATCCACCTCAAAGATCAATCATCCCTCTGTTTGTGAAGGTAACAAAAAAAAACTTGCTCTCTTATGGCTACAGTCTCGCCACCTCCTCTATGGGATGGATCCTCCTTTGGGAAGATGAATGAGGGCAGTGTGTGTCTGTTGCCCATGGAGCACACACACACACACACACACACACACACACACACACACACACACACACACACACACACACACACACACAGATATGGAGAATGGAAGAGAGGATTGCAAAGAGAGAGACATGAGAGGGAGAATAGATGTTGAGATAAAAATGGGATATAAATATTGTGTGTGTGTGTGTGTGTGTGTGTGTGTGTGTGTGTGTGTGTGTGTGTGTGTGTGTGTGTGTGTGTGTGTGTGTGACAGTACCTGGGAGAAGAACAAGTCATAGTACTTGACCACACACTCGTACAGAGACCACACACACCTTTCTACCTGTCTATCAATCATCCCATCTTCACATGATAGGCTACAGAGGCAACATATTGATTTATGTTTATGAATAGTGTGCTCACATGAAGACAAATCACTGTGTGTGTGTGTGTGTGTGTGTGTGTGTGTGTGTGTGTGTGTGTGTGTGTGTGTGTGGTGTGTGTGTGTGTGTGTGTGTGTGTGTGTGTGTGTGTGTGTGGGGGGGGGGGGGGTTGTTTCAGGTAAGAGAGTAGTCGATGTATTTCACTATATTGATTTTCACAGGTTTTAGTAACAGCATGAGTGAGTTTGCAGGGGTCAAAAGCTTCTAAAACATTTCAGCTATCCTTTCTCAGTCTGCAATCCTGACTGACACACATACACACTCAACTGTGATGTGATATGAATGTTGTGTTAGTGCTTTATTTATTTATGTGTATATATATCATGATGTGTTTTCGCTGCAGTATGCACATTTGCGTGTTTTGCCTGTAGTCTCATGCATACTGCATGTGCATGTCTGTGTGTGTGTTGCATGTGCTCACCCTCTGCCATCTTGTCCTTGCATGCCACCCTCTTGTCTTGGCTTCCTGCTGCTGTTGTCTGGCAGGAGTGTCCCCCGCCCACCTGGGGGAGAACAGCAGTAAGCTGGCCTGGCTCAGCCCCTCTGCTGACCCTCAGGATCAGGATGGTATGTGTGCATCTCTGTACATGTTTCCATGAGTATTCAGTCGTGATCATGGTTGTGTTCGTCTTTCATAGTACGACTGCTTAGGAGAAAGGGCGGTGGTCAACATACCTCCTTAAGAGCATACTGAGGAGTAAAATACTTCAGGTACCTTGTTTATCTGTTAGTTTAGTTTATTTGTTTATATTGTCGTGGACAGTCCCCATTGATCCACTGTCACAAAAAACTGTAAATGGGGCAGCTTTAGCCAACATGGCTAATTTCCCAGTTATAAAACTACATTTCAATTATGCCCACTCCATTTCTTGGTGATAATCATGGAGAGTATATACTGTAAGATGGAAGTGTAGCTTTATTTTGCTAATCTAAAAATGTTTTCAATAGATTTCATATGTTGCCTCTTAAAAAAGTGTCAGCATACTTCAAACCATTCTGTCATGGTCTTTTTTTCCGTCTCCACTAATGTAGGTAGTATGAGAAAAATAAAGCCAATTTTGAACATTAAAGCATGTAAACATGTCACAGTAGAGGCACTAAATACTGATATGGACCTAAAATGAAGAATAATACGGCCCCTTTAAAGTCTTTGGCCTTTATAAAGGTCAATTAGTAAATTACAAGATACATTTTTGATTGTGTTTTAATGGCACGAGTAGATTGGCTGTGTTTGCTGTTTGACATTGTCGTAATAGATCATAAAAAGCTTTTTTATTTTAGAATGTCATTTCTGTTTGCACGTGTAGCTTAGCATGTTTTTGTCTTTAAATGTCCTGTTTTTTCACTTGAAATATGAAACCTACTTGTGAGGATTGATTTGTATGTGTGCGCTCCTTGGATGTAAATGTTTGTGTACCGGATGTTTACTATATTTAATGCTTCATATCTCTGAATGCAGTTGTATTTATTCTACAGATAGATAGATAAATAGAAGGATACTTTATTGATCCTACATTGGGAACTTCTTGTGTTACATGAGCAGCACAGTACACATTGACTCACTCAAAGGATATTGCTTTTACAGTATGCTTGGACAATCATATGTAAATCACTTGAAAAGAATGAGCTGAACCCAACAATATAAATATCTCGGTACAGAGGAGCGAGCTGAGGAATGTTCTGGTTCACAATGATGCAAATACTATGAGAGGAAGGGCTGAAGTGGACAGCAAACAATGGCTTTTGTGAAGGCCAAGAGGAAGGAGATTATGATGGAGAAATATATTGTACGTAGTGCTGCAGATTGAAAAGAGCACTGCAACCTGCTTTTGAATGTTGACACTCGAAAAACACGAGTACTTCCACTTTCCCTCTCTCTTTCTCCATGGTCATTTCTCTTTACCATAGAGAATCTGGCAATGAAACAGACTAAATGGTACAAAACAGAAAAAGGTAGTCATATTTTTTGTCCAAAATGATATTAATAGAATGATGTAATGAGGTGTTTTCTTTGCAGAAGCGTTCATGGTTCCTTCCAATAGGTTGTGCATGTCATCAGAGGCGCTATGATTAAATGTGATTATGTGTTTTTAAATATGAAGTTTGTGTGCATTTCTGTATTTGTGCTGATTGTAAGTGCTATTTGTGTGTGTATCCATGTGTGTGTGTGTGTGTGTTTGTGTTGTTGAGCCGTGCTCTCTATCCCCAGGTAAAAGCCGCTTTCATTCTCTGCGTGGAGCCGTGAAGAGAAATGCGGCTTTCATTCGTAAGGCGTGTGCGTCTGTCTGCATGGTTCAACACTAGTTAAACATTGACTGGAAACGTTATTTTAGACATGCAAGCGAACCGCACCTCCTCTCCTCATCCTCTCCTCTTCTCCTGCATTGTACTAGGAACCGTTGGTTTTTTTTTCAGTGGCTGCCTCTTTAACTGTAAATAAGTTTATTCTCATTGTCTTACTGTACCCCTTTTGTTCACCTCAAACAATTACCCTATATCGAAGCCATATATAAAAAATACCGTCGCAGTGGAGACTTGGTCTTTTGCCAATCATTTTCCATCCTGCTGCCAACATTGTATGTCTTCATTGCATTAAAACCTTGACCGTGTTTCATGGCCCTTAACTTCAAATCACCTATAATCGAAAAAGACAAAAACTATCACTACAGGGGGAAAAGGACATGAGGAGAAAACTTAATTTCTGTATTGAGATGCAGCCACCGTTTTCCTTTCTAGGTTTGTAGGAGAGAAACTGTTCGCATCTGCCTGAAAAAAAATAAACAGGAGGACAATGTCATCACATGAAACAATTCAAGTGCGGTTTACACACCGTACATGACGACAAACACATTTGTGATGCCACAGTCCTCTTCTTGTTGTTTTAAATTCCTTTCCCTAAAATCCCCCTGCCCTGTCGTTAGCCATGCTAGCTCTGATTGTCAAGGACAATACAGAAATAGCTACCAAATTTGAATTTTAGCCTTTTTATAATTGTCACCCAGCACTTGTCATATTGTTGAGTATAAATGTAAGATACTGTTCATCTACTGATAAGTGCATGCTTACTAGCAGTTCACTAGTTAATTGAATCCCCATATAATGTGACAATTGCCTAGTGTGCAAAAAGAGAGACTAAAATTCAAAATATAAGATTATTGTTATAAATAGACTGCATGATAATCCTCAAAATATTATGTTATATTTGGTACAGGATAGTAAATATGAATTCACTGTCATTTTTGGGTTTGTTTTTAAACATTTGATCAACTAAAATGTCTGGAAATTACCAGATGGTGTCATTGACGAATAATATCTGGCTCAAACGCTATTTTAGTATGTTCACTCAAATCTGTTCTGTAGCCTACACTAGAGCAGCGGTCCCCAACCTTTTTTGCGTCACGGACCGGTTTCATGTAAGAAAATATTTTTGCGGACCGGCCTTCAAGTTGTGGGGGGATAAATATGACGAAATAAAATAATACGACCTGTGTTCCTGTTTAACTGGTTATTGTGTTAACTGGCTAGCTATTTTCCATTGGGTTGAATGTTGCAATCAAACACACCACAAAGGCATATAATTGCAACAACAACAAAAACGTGTCTACGGCAAAAGTCCAAACAACTCACAGACTGCACCGGGCGCTGACGTAGGCGCCCTGTGACCATCAGATTTGACGACGCTGATTGGCTGAAATTATGTTTTGGCGGCATAGTTTAAAGATAGCAACAGTTGGCTTCTGCTGCACTTGCTGCACTCTCCAGAAGAAAAGAGGGCCCTCAGTGACAAGAAAAAACAGCTTTTCCATAGGAACAAATTACTGTAGGTCTCTGTACTGTAGGTCTCACTATACTGTATGTATGCGCTCAACTTTATTACTACGCGGCGGCGGTGTATAGCCAAATCACAGCCCCACCCTTGAGCAACCACACAATTTCACTACATATCTTACTTTTGTAACTCTCGATGTTTGTGACAAATAGAACTCCTCGTGTAGGCTACTTGTACAGCCAGTCAGTCATATTTTGGCATTAAGTGGGGTGCTGTTCTGAGGTTTTGATTGATATTACCTAGGTCTTCTTTGATTTGATTTGGAGCAATCTGCGGAGCCGTTACGTACGTCACTATATCCGAAATACGTCACTATACCCAAGTAAACAATGGAAAAAGAGAAATCTCCAACGAGGCGTTCTGGGGCAGCATAGACAGGTCTTTTCTGTGTTAGAGTTGTACTCGCTACAGGGTGTACTTTGAGGGTTTGTGACTCTGCACACCGTTTACATGCAGAAAAAGTTACATAACACACAAGGGGACGGGTAATAACCAGAAAAGCATGACATGGGACCTTTAAATAAACAAAATATTGGCTTTCAGAATATTAAACTTTTATTTCCAAAATCACACGATAAATACATGTTTGAAGCTTGTAGGGAAGATGACAGGCACCTCTCACTCGTCAAAGTCTTGGCTTTCAGAATATTAAACTTGTTTCGGCAAATTCAGATGATAAATACAACTTTGAAGCTTGTAACGGCATAATTACAAGCGGAGAACTGAGTAACTTAACGTCACAGCAGGCATAACAACAGCCGATGTTTCTTGTGAGTGTTTTCCCCGGGAAACAAACACAATACACACAAACGCAAAAATACACACACACTCGCAAGCTTCCCGCAGACCAGTAATCCAAACGAAAATCACAGCGTTATGACGTTCCATAGTCCAGACTGCTCTCGCGCTCAGTGTTGCCAGATGGGCGGTTTTCCATGAGTTGGGCTGGTTCAGAGAAAAGGTATCACTGTAATAACTCACAGCACGCAAAAATGTAAACGTCTTTCAGACTGATAATCAATAAATCAATCAAATATTTTTGTATAATATTTTTATAAAATAAATGTTTATAATATTTTTATAAAATATTTTTGTATTCAATCTTTCTCTGCGGCCTGGTACCAAATGACCGGTCCGCGGACCGGTGGTTGGGGACCACTGCACTAGCGGACACACACACCTTTTTTTTTTTTTCAAAAGACTACTTCAGTGAAGGATTTTGTCCTCATCAAGTTCAATACCTTTTTGTTGGCCCGCTTATTTTCAATGCTTTTATTTAATATATTTTCTCATTCACACATGCCAACATTGGTTAGAGTTAATGAATTCCTATTTTGCCTTGAAAACGTGTCTTTCTTATAACTCTCCCTCCATTTATCTCCCTCCCATGCTCCTTGATCCTTCCTTAGTTTTTTTTTCATCTCGTTCCTCCTCTCTGTGTCTCAAGTCTTTAGGGTTTACTCTAACAATAGGTATTAAACTAGTTCAGAGCTCCATTGAGGAGAAGGCACAGGGCTGGTTATATATTTGAAAGGCTTTAGCCTCGAGAGACACTCAAGGGCCCCGAGTGCTTTTAACTAAGTAGCATAGCAGCAGGTGGCACGTGGCGAAGTGAGAAACATTGAGCGTGTTCACAGCAGAGGCCTTAATGTTCACTGAGACCGTCCTGATCTCCACAGCAGAATTCATCCATCACAAGGCATTCGGCAAAGCACGCTGTTCACTCAATGAGCTTACTTTAATGTATTATGCTAGCTAAGTGCTTACAAGCAGCACTGAAGAAACTGAAATGTTGCTTTTAATTAAATGTATCATGTCAACATATTTCACATTACTGTATTTGGTTAGTTGAAAGCAATAATATTAATTAATACTAAATATTAGGTTCAAGTTAATATTATTGCTTTCAACTAACCTAATACAGTTATGTGCGATGTGTTGACATAATACATTTAGTTAAAGTCAAGGTTTCAGTGTTTTTATTGAGCTCTTGATATAAAACACCATTTTATTTTTGCAATATGTATGCATTAGGGCCAATGTCAGGGTTCAAATTGTGTTTTGAAAGCGATGTTATATACAAGAGCCCAGGCATGATTACATAGCAAGCTCTTTATGTCTTAGACCATTTTGGAATTACTAAAAAAAGTAAAGTCGAGATTGGATAATGCCGTTTTGAAAAAGCGCTCTCATCTTAAGTACCGATCAAGTCCCTTGGTTTTGTGTTTAAAGCCGTTTTGCAAGAGTGGGTCTGGCTTTATTTAACGGGGGATATCTTCCTTTAATACAAGACGCATTGAGATTCCTATCAGTATCTGACTGTTGTACCCACAGGGTGATACAATAAGTGTTTGAGGTGACAGTGAGGGGAGTGCAGCTTATTACCGCAGGCGAGCAAAGACTGACAGAAGCAATACAAAGCAATGTATCAGTCCCTCAAACAGCAATTCCCACATTTATCCTATTTTTCCTCTCCTTCCATCTACACCTCCCATGATGCTTCCATCCCTCCCTCCCTACTACCACTTGTTATCTTACTCTATTCTCCTTCTTTATCCTCCTAACACTTTTCCATCCTTAACTAACAATTCAAATGACTTCTGTTCTTTCTCTACCACCTCCATCTCCCCCGGTATTCATCCTTCCATGTTTATGCACCATGACACCTGTCTTTAATTAAGGACAAAGTGACACATTCGCAGTCTCCAAACTAAGAAAGCTTGGGCTCACTGAGCTTCCCACCTGTTTGCAAACTCCCACAAAAAAAACATCTTCAAAAGTTTATTAATTTTCAGATGTTTGCATTGACATAAATCCTGCCAAATCTCTCACCGCTTGATTGCAGTTTAGATAGATGACTGTATAAAAAGCATTTACAGTTTTTCTCAAAACCTTGGCTGCAATTAAGCTTCGACATCCTCCGGGAAGTTTGCAGACCGAAGACCAAGCGTGTTTTTCTTTCAATCTCCATGAGCTATTAAATCACAAAAGGCTTTTTTAATGATTTAGCTCACATAGAGTTAAGCAATCCTTCAGCTTAAAAGTTGAAATCCTTCCTAATAGCTGTTGCAGAGGTTGTTTCCCAGGATCCCTTAGCAGTACATATTGTTAGTTTCTAATGAGTTAGGCAATCAGTGCAAATATTTACATTTTACTTTTGTGAAAGATCACTTTTTACTCTTATAGAAAAAAATGTGTTCACATTGTGGGACTTAAAATAGTGCAGCTCCTCACTAGATAGGAATGAATGCACTTTATAGCCTTTTAAGTGTGTGTAGTACTATATATGTAAAGGTGACTGAACATTTGGAGTCCTCAAGGTTTAGATATAATAATGTATAAAAAACCAGCATACAATATAGCGTGTTGATTCATCTTTCTCTTTTTTCTTCCCTTTCTGTCTCTTCCTCGTGCTCTGCTCCTCGGTCTCTCAGTGAGCATGCCAGCCAGTGAGAATGAATCCGTCAACACAGATAACGCCCCCGGGGGAGACGTGGAGGGGGAGACCTGCTGTACCCGGCTAGCGTAAGTACCTCACCCTCTCTCATACACACCCTCTTCTCCTTCTCTTATCCCCCAGCTCTCATGGTCACCGTCTGTCCGTCCCAAGACTGACCTCCATCCTGCCTCTCTCCTCAATAAGCACTTTAGTGTTAGACAAGGTAAGAGAGGCCAGTCCTGGCTCCGTCCTTCACTGAGGTCACCAGGGCGGACCTCATCAAGCTCAAAGAGGTTTGGAAGAATCCCGACAATGGGGCTGGTTAGAGGAGAGCAGAGTGAAAGGAAATGACTCTTCTTTCTCTACCTCCGAATAATCTGTGACCTTCATTAGACTATGAGGAATTAAACCTTCTCTAAACCACAGTGCCTTATATTTGCTTTTATTATTCTAAAAATAAACAACATCCCAATTTCAACATTTGTTTTGCGCTCATATTTAAGAAGTTGACCCTCATTAGGGACTCATTAAAAATTCCAAAAACATTTCATGGTTCATCTCATCTAAATGTAATCCAGTTTTATTTCCCTTTCTTCTCTCCGTCTGTTTCTGCTCACCCTCACCTTTTGTGTTGGCTGGTGAAGTGCCCCCCCCTCCCCTGTGGGAGCTCACGAACAGCTGACTCACCCGCCCCTGCTCCCCCCCTCTCCTTCATTTTTTACATTATTCAACATGTGTGTTGCTTTCTTTCTTAGACTGAAGGCCACGCAGGAGCATGACCCTGGCGGGCCCACTTTACCACTTCAGCAAACACACCTACACACAAACTGCTCTGAGATCAGAGCAGAATAGAAGTGAATAGAGAGAGTTAATGTGCAGTAAGACATAGACATTTAAAATGGAATGGTTGTGAAATAAAACTAAATCAACAACACTGGAGGCACACTATTGTTTATCTATACTCTCGCTGTCCATCTGTTACTTTGTCTTTGTTATGTTGTTTGTGTTTGTCCCGTCAGACCAAAACAACTCAAAACAAAGAAGGCATCATATCTGTGTCTTCCTGAGCTGACACAACCTCGGCTCATAATGCCAAATAAATGTTAAATTGAAGCCATCATAATTGCTCCATTATTTCCTTATAGTTCCTTTTCTTTCTATTGACTTATTGCTGCAGCTCGAGATAGCACTACATCTTGCGTGCATTAAAGATTCATATTTAGAAAAAGATAAAGCACAAAATGCTTTTTCGTATTTGTGTACTATAAAAGCTGTCATGCATCAAATCTAAAACAGCTGCACAATAATTCCTCATTTGGTTTTTTAAATAAAAGCGTATTAAATTCTAGCATCCATCTCCTTTCTCTTGTCCACGAGGAGCTTTAAAATAATGACTCCTGAACTCTTCGTGAAATCAGTGACTCTCAGTCAGACTGTCCCAAACCAAACGAGTAGGAAACCTTGCCAGGACTGGAAATACGAGTCTTCATCTTTTCTCTGCGAGACTGCAACAGGTTGGACTAGCAGCAGCGAGTGTCTCTTCACATTGCCGTAGACATAGTCCTCGGGGTTGGAGCTACTTGGACGCCTGCTGATCTCCATAATGGAGACGGGCACACGGAGGGGAGAGACGCGTGTACTGTCAGCCTCCATATCCAGCCAGTCAGTCATTTTATCCTCCGTTCAGTCAGGCAGTGAGTCACTTCATTGCTTTGGTCCGTCAATTCATCTGCTGCTACAGACCGAGTCAGGACACTCATCTCACTGAAAGGTCATTACAGTGTGTGACGCTCTTGTTATTTACTTATTTATATGAATACAAGCACTACAATACCATTTAAATGTAACAAAAGGAGCCATAAATACACAAACCAGTACAAATCTGATCTCCGTATTCACCAAACATAAGTGCTTTTTTGTGCATAAGGTTTTGTTATCCTTAAACAACCCTTGCCTGAAAGAGGAACATCAGTTTATACCATCATATTATATATTAAGCCCACATGGTCAGATCATGGTATTTAAATATGAACAGATATCATTTGATATGTCAATCTGAATTTCTACAGCAGGATTTCCTCTTTCTCTTCTCTCTTCTCCTCTCCTCTTCTTTATATTCTTTGCTGTATAATGGTTCAATCATAACAAGGCACACGTTTCCATAGGTTCCTTTTCAAAGTTATGAGTATTTTTATAAACGTGGGACATCTTTAACCTTGTCTATTTGCACTCAACTGTCTCGCCAGCTTGTGTCTATTTTGGGAGCTTTATTCCTCTGAACTGCCCATATTTACTTTGGGCAAACTTACTTACTTTTTATGACATCTTTTTCATTTGGAAAATCTTTGAAGTGGACACAGAATACATTATTATGGTACATCATTGAGGGCAATATTTCATAACACTACACATTTACTGAATGTAACTATATGGGTTGTTTTTGACACTCACTTATTTGCTTGTGTAACATCAAACCATGAGATCAGTGTCCTACAACCGAGGCAGCATTAAACAGCAACAATACTGGCGTCCTCTCCTTGCCCTATCCCTCAACGTGTCCTTCATCCTTTCCTCACCCTCGTCCTCTCCTTTCCTCCCCTGTCCTCCTCCTTTCCTCCCCCTGTTCCTCCCCTTCCTGCCCCTCCTCTCCTCTCCTTTCCTCTGTCTCCGTTCCTCCCCTCTCCTCTCCTCTCCTCTCCTCTGTCTACTTCCACCTTTCCTCCCCCTCCCCGCTCTTCTAGTCTCCTCTTCCTCTGTCCTCCTTTCTACACCCTCACCTCCTCCCCTCCCCTCCCCCTCTCCTCTCCTCTGTCTCCGTTCCCTCCCCTCCCCACTCCTCTCTTCTCCTCTCCTCCTTCCCTCATCTGTCTCCACTCCCCTCCCCTTCCCCTCCCTCCCCTCCCCTCCCCTCCCCTCCCCTCCCCTCCCCTCCCCTCCCCCTCCCTCTCTCCTCTCCTCATGTCCTCCTTCCTCCCCTTTCCTCGCCTCTCCTCGCCTTCGCTTCTGTCTCCTTTCCTCCCCTTCCCCTCTCCTCTGTTCTCCTTTCCCGTCCCCTCCCCCTCCCCGGTCCCCTACCCCACTCCCCCTGCTCCGCCCCTCTTGGCTCCATTTCCTCCCCTTTCCTCTCCTCTTTTCTTCTCCGTCCAGATCAAATCTTCCATAATCTCTTGTCTTCCGTACTCTGTATGTTTTGTTGTTACAGTGGTGAACAATCTACAGACATTTGTCTATTTATAAGTTATGTTTTTTCACACCAGGAGTGATTGGAGGAAATCCAAACGTAAAGCTTTTATTGTTCACTTGACTGGATGCCACTGTATGTGTTTGCTTGGGGTGATTTGATTCAAAAAAATTGATTTTACAAATGTCAATTCAAGATCAAATATCCCTCTCCAAACACCCCTTCCATGTTGTGTACCTGTCTATATGTGTGTTATGTGTGTGTATAATTCCATTCTGTTTTCTGTGTTCCAGAAATAGGATCTCCAAATCCAAGTTCAGGTTAGTACATGTTGTTTACCATAGTCCCTTAATCCACCTTCTCTAATGTCTCTTCTGCTGTGGTACTTATATTATCCCCAAATTCCTAAAACAGACATTTTCCAACCTATATTAAAATACCAAGAGGTGTTTTGTCCTCTTTAGAGACAGAAACATGTTCATATTGGCAACGTTTTGTAACTAAGGTTCTTTTGAAGAGCCTCAAAAGATGTTTCAAAAATAACATCACAGACATTAAAGGGACATGTGTCTTTCTGTAACAATGCATGTCCGCTTGTTCTGTTGCTGTGAGTCGTGTCTCATGTAACATTCAGTGTGTGCATCATGGCCAAAGCCGCTGTGTGCCATAAGTGACTCTAAATAGCTCACACACACTCAAACAGAAGAAACATGAATTTTGTATAAGCAGGGAATAATTACACTTCCTGGTTAGCTGTGTTCATATGCTGACAAATCTCTGGTGCTGCAGGGGGACAATAGAGAAAGGGGTCAAGTACAAATCATCAATATACTCATATACTCTCAAACAAGGAAAAGACAGATAATTGATTTGGGCAGTTGTGGTATGGATCCATTACGTGGCTATGGATAAAAGCTGTTTGGTTGGATAGATGTTCTTACTTAAGTGGCTGTGAAAGCGTGTAGTGCAATCCTTTATCTTAGCAATATCAGAATTGTTGTCATTTTCCTTTTTGGCCACTAACTAAGGTCTGGAAAAATGTCAGTTGTTCGAACAAGTGTAGGTATTAAATTAAGTGGACCCTTGAGTGGACGTGAAGCTGGCAATTATTCAAATCAATAAAGTGTATTTATTAGAGGGCAGAAAAAGAGCACATTAGCTTAAAATGCTCATGTTCAGATGTCTAAATAGAAGACATAATAGAGTTTTAAAACTGATGATCTTTCCTTATAGTTGAATTACAATATAGCACACATCCGTCTAAATTTGAGCCTCCAATCATTTCCTCAGGATAAGCAGTTGTTCTTTTCCCCTCTAATGGTGCATATCTCCTTCTGGTGTGAATCGTCTTTGAGGGTGACTAACATTTCCTGCTCTCAAACAGACAACCACCGACCAAGGAGTGATGTCATCACTACGCTGCAGACAGACTAACTGACTCTTTCTTTGTTTTCTCTCTCCTCTGCTGTTTTTTTCCCACTCTCTTCTTCACTTGTTAATTTTTAACATTTATTTTTTCCTTATTTCTTCTTTCATGGGCCCGTGATCTTCCTCTTTATTTCCTCCGTTGTTCATTACTGCCTCTCTGCTGTTTTCCCACTTCCCTTCTCATCACTACGTCTCCTCTCTCCCATATTTTCTCACCTCTCCATCTCTCTCTCAATCTGCGCTTCTTCCTCCTCAGTCGATACTCTCGGAGGTGGAACAGGCAGTGTAGGAGGAAGTGCCGGGCAGCGGTCAAATCGCAGGTTTTCTATTGGCTGGTCATCTTCCTGGTTTTCCTCAACACTCTTACCATCGCCTCTGAACATCACCAGCAGCCTCAGTGGTTAACTGATGTACAAGGTACGTAAGCACATACATACACCCTATTTGTTGTGTTTGTAGCTACATTATTTTTCCTTTTCCACTAATCTTCCTTTGCTGTCCCTTTTTATTCTGTTCCCTATTTCCTTGTTCTAACCTGGTTCTAACCCCTTCCTCCTTTTTTTTATCTCCTTTCTTGCCTCCTCTGTAGACATTGCCAACAAGGTGTTGCTAGCACTCTTCACTGGCGAGATGCTGTTAAAGATGTACAGTTTGGGTCTGCAGGTCGGTGGCTCACAGCATTATTTTTCTAAAAAAGAAGTTCTATGTGAAAATATTTGTTATACATTCAAAGACTTTCAAGAGAAACTCCTCCCTCCACTACTTTCCGCTTAAAGTTTTACTTCTGTCTTAAATCTCCACAGGCGTACTTTGTTTCGCTCTTCAATCGCTTCGACAGCTTTGTAGTTTGTGGCGGCATTCTTGAAACCATTCTGGTGGAAACCAAGGTTATGTCTCCTCTGGGCATCTCTGTGCTACGTTGCGTACGCTTGCTGCGAATCTTCAAAATAACCAGGTTAGTATAGACATGTGTTGTCGTTCCCTCTGGTGGTCTTGGTCTTCAATGTCACTTTTCCTGTCCACTTTAAACATGTGACTTACTGGTCTATACAGGTCATGTGAGTACTTGCCAACACGGATCAAAAACAGACCAAAGTGAACCATGTTGTACTTGCCCTGATGAAGGCCTCGTTTATTTTGACTTGTACTAAACCTGACGTCTGTGCCCCCCCCCCCCCCCCAGATACTGGAACTCTCTGTCCAACCTGGTGGCGTCCCTGCTGAACTCTGTGCGCTCCATCGCTTCCCTGCTGCTTCTGCTCTTCCTCTTCATCATCATCTTTTCCCTGCTGGGCATGCAGCTCTTCGGGGGGAAATTCAACTTTGACGAGACCCGACGCAGCACCTTTGACAACTTCCCCCAGTCTCTGCTCACCGTGTTTCAGGTGAGGCAGATGTCTCTATTTGCTTCTTGTTTCCCTCCCGTGTTTTCTTTTGTTCTCATCTTGTCCTGACTTGAAATGATGAACTTTGACACCTACATTTCTACAGTACAGAAAGTCATTTCATTTTAGATTTTGATTTAGATTCAACTTTAAAGTCATTGAGTACAACGAAATGCAGTTTGCATACAACCAGAAAGTGCAAAGAGTAGTCAAATGCATGAGGTTTCAATAAATACACAATTCAGATCAATGTACTTAGTTATGTATAAATATGAATAAATGTCTTTTGATAAGGTGCAGATTCAGACCATATACATATAAGGTGCAGGGTTTAGGCATATGTAAGTTAGATACTCTAATCTAGTTTGTATTACAATTGAATTAGATAAATAACTGTGAAAGGGGTGAGACTTTTAATGCTTTTCTTCTTCATAACTTTATTTCTTTTTTTTCTGAATCCACAGATCCTAACAGGAGAGGACTGGAACTCTGTGATGTATGATGGTATCATGGCGTACGGTGGACCGTCCTTCCCCGGCATGCTGGTCTGCATCTACTTCATCATCCTCTTCATCTGCGGAAACTGTATCCTGAGATAAAATACGTACATTACATAGCAGCATGTATCATGTGGATCTGAAGGCAATTGGTGTACAATCAAAGGTCTGGAGCAAAGATTGACAGCCAAATTGTGTTTCTGATTCTGTTCAACTGCATCCCATCAAACAGATAACAATGTGGCTGATGTGATTTGAATGAAATCCAAACCCTCTTTAGGATGCAGGATGCGGGTGTGTTTTGCATGGGGATACAGTCATGAAGCCAGAACTGTTTGCTGGAGGTCAAAGAAGCTCTGCTCAGGCAGCTGGGACTTCAGTGTCTTTCAGATGCAGAAAGGTTACTCTTAATTTACTCAGCCGGCCAGGATTGCTTGCTATCATCCACACTGATGATCTGTTAGTTCAGCAACATCCTTAGCTTCACCGTTCTGAACAGACATCCTACTGAATGTCTTCTTGGCCATCGCTGTTGACAATCTAGCAGACGCTGAGAGCCTGACATCTGCCCAGAAAGAAGAGGAAGAGGAGAAGGAGAGGAAAAAACTGGCCAGGTAAGAAAGACAGGTGGACAGTTATCTGGGGAGAAGAAACAGAAGTTCTTCTTGCATGTGACACCTGGAAAGGTAGGATAGGATTCAAGGGCGGTGATACTCGAGCCTTGAAATTAAAGTACTAACAATGATTTGCAATCAGAGTCATTATGGTTTTAAGTCAGGCTGACATTTTATCTGCTTTGCTTTTGTGTCGAAACCATTTTTATTGGGTAATTTAAGCGTCTCATTGCTGACAAAGGCAATTTGTCAGCAATGTTAATGTGACATTTTAGTGCAGCTGAGGAAAATAGCTTCGACAAATCATTACATGTCTTCTTTTTGGTTGCAACCTCTATTGATCTTAGGAAAAACATTTGCCTGCTCACTATCTGTTTGGTTTGATATCAGCACAGCTAGGGGTGGGCGATATTGAAAAATATAATATCACAATATTTTTCAAGCAGTATCACGATAGACGATATTTATCACGATATTTTATGGTTGTTTTTCAAGTTACTTAACAGTACAACCACCTACAAGGTAACACAAACTAAAATAAAAAGGAGTAACAGACCAAAATACCATCAAGCTGGTTTTGATTCTGCAGTGAATCCCTGAATGAACAATTCAACAGGAATGTTGATATGGCTTCCTCAGTGTTCAAGTAGGTAGGCCTACACCCTACAACAAACGTTAACACTGGTTTCTTCACCAAGTAAAGTGCACTCTCTTGCTAAATAAAATATTCAAGGCACAGTTTCTCAGTATAAAAATTCACTTTGTTTTAGGTAGCACTAGCAGTGATGTAACATCAATATGCATGAAAAGGAGAGTAAACATAACTAAGTTAAACATAAAACATCAATGAGGAAAAGTCAGTGCCAAACAATTAAAATGTAAACTTTAGACTTGAAGTGCAATCAAAGACTTTAGCATAACTGAACATCTGTTTCAAAAGGGAAACACAATATAAATACCTTATTGATAAAATAAAATATAAGCCAACAGAATCAACCAAGACAATAAATGAAGTGCAATACTGTCTGAATCCTGACAGCTTGGTTTTTACTAACCGTTGTCAGTATGTAGTTACTTCGGCATCATTTTGAAACGTGTATTACAATTAAATCACGGTAAATTAGGTTAATTTTGTCGTAGTTGGTTTCCACCACAGTATTTACATGGATACATATAAGCCCCGCCCCCTCTCCAGCTCGTCCTGTTTGAATGACAGGAGTAAACACAGCTGACAGCCGCGGTGAAAATCTAGCGGTTAGGGTGAGAATATTCGCATCGCGTCCGTTGTGAACGCAGCATAACGCAGTTCAGAAACCACTGTTCTGACGCTTTTAAAAGCAACTTCGAGATGTTAACAGTATCAGGGGCACGCAGGCCATGGTGGCCGTAGGACGTACAATTTGGGGCTTCACGGCCAGACCGACCGTCATGGCCGCCGTGAAAATCCTACCCTGGTGCACTATGAACTGCACTATCACTATAGATATGATATCTCTGAAAAGGCATATCGTGGAGACCTAATATCGTCTCCACGATATATATCGTCATATCGCCCAACCCTAAGCACAGCCACCCCCTGGGATTGAAATACTCCCCCTCATTACAAAAATCTAAGTGTTTTTTTGTTGTTCTCCTGGTCTTAATCTAGATGTGATTCATTACACATTAGTGGATTAAAATGGGGCTAACATTGCTAAGGTTAGGACAGGGGAAAGCTGTTAATATTCTGTCTTTCAAGGTTGGCCATCCCAGAAAAGCGTCTAGCCAACGAGAAGCTGCCCCTGGAGGAGAAGAAGAAGGAGAAGAAGAAGAAGAAGAAGGAGATAGAGCTGAAGTCCATCACTTCCGATGGAGAGGCCAACACTGCCACAAAGGTACAGAAACACACATACAGACTAGAGTATCTGCAGTCTTCAATTATCTAAAAGTGTTGTTAGAGAAATTAATGAACTTGTTACTGAATGCAATGCTCTCCCCCTGCAGATTAGCATAGGTGACTACTGTGGAGATGAGAGTGAGGAGAAGAACCCATATCCTGCCAACGACTACATAGGTAACACATGGTTGTCATGAAAACTTGCCAAAAACTCTACAGGTCTATGTGTCCAATAAATAAATATTCTCATCTCAAACATCTTAAAAAAGTAGTTTTCATCCCATATGAATAATTACATATTTTAATTTCACACTGCTTCATATATATATCAAAAATGCTGTCTTGGGTCCCATTGTTATATGAATAGAAACTTGGTACCAAGAACCTGTGAATATAAGTAGCTGCTTAACAACACTTTTTAAAGTACTTTATTGAATTTTGATTCAGTCCAATTGTTCCTTTGGATCCTTTGCTACCTCTGCTAAGGCAACAATACCCCCTGTCAGCATTTTATTTATTCTGACTGTTATCCTTTTCCTTCCTCTCATCAGGAGACGATGAGGAGGAGGAGCCTGAGATGCCGGTGGGTCCGAGGCCGAGACCACTCTCCGACATTCAGTTGAAGGAGAAGGCCATTCCCATGCCTGAGGCCCGCGCTTTCTTCGTCTTTGGTCACGATAACAAGTAAGAGCAGGCTGTGGTTCTGCAGTCAGCCGACCTGCCTTTCTCCCCCCCACAGTGTCTATTCCCATCTCTGTCATGTTCTGATCATATCAAATGTTCTATACATTTTGTAGCATGAGAATGAAATATGTTTGAATTCACTTTGTTTTTCAGATTCAGGGTTCTGTGCCATAAGATAGTCAACCACAACATCTTCACCAACCTCATCCTCTTCTTCATCCTGCTGAGCAGCATCAGTCTGGCCGCAGAGGACCCGGTCAAGAATGACTCCTTCAGAAACCAGGTAACACACACCATAAAAGAACATGAATGTAAGGGTATAGAATAAACACAAAGAAAACACTATAGTCATCATTAGTTGCCCATCAAAATGAATTCTGTACTAAATGGGTTATAGCCGAGAGCAACATATAGAGGAAGCAGAGCTTATTGTGACTGGCTGGTACACTTAATGACATTTCTTCCAGAGTACTACTGTGATTAGCTTCATGTTAGGAAGATGTGAACCTGTTAATCTTTAAGACCATTGCAGCTGTGTACACTTAAAGCGCAACACTATAATCTTATATATAAATGTTATTAAGGGTTAATTGGTGTAATTTGTAAGCTGTAGACCAATGTGAAGAATGAGCACTGTTCCTGTTTTTGTGTATTGTTTATTCTCTCAGTGAGCAAGATGCCCTAAAGATCTGTTGTATTGTATTTTATTTGGCTATTGTATAGTTTCTGTATACAAATCTACCTCAATTAACCTTAGCATGAAACTTTAATGGAATTATACTTCCTGTTTTTCAGTTTACGCTCTATTCACTCGTAGAATTTGAGTCTAATCGAACCTCATTACCTTAGAGCTGAACCTCATCATTATTAATTCAGTATGTGGTGAAGTCATCCAGGACGATGCTACAGTTAACCATTAGTTCAGCTGTAACTCTGAAGAACTGCACTTTATCACGTTTCTGTCTATGTTTCATGCTATGGTACCTCTAAACAAAAAGCTGTTATTGTGTTTGTCTTTTGCAGATCCTAGGATATGCAGATCATGTTTTCACTGGACTCTTCACCATTGAGATCATTCTTAAGGTAGTATAGAAAGTTTATGATGCATCATATTTGGGACGTATCATCTGCAAGTTGTACATGTGATTGATTTGCTTTAATTGAATGTGATCCCAATCTTTTATAAAGTAGACTTATAATAAAATAATAGAAGTATGTTTCCTCTGCAGTAAACCCGTTGTTAAAGAAAGTAAACACCATGCATGTATTATGTAATGCCTGCTCAGAGATAAAGGTCAAAAGCACTTATTCAATTGTTTATTTTATTTGTACACCAGTGGTGGATAGTAACAAAGTACATTTACTCAAGAGCTGTACTTAAGTAGAATTTTGAGGTACTTCTACTTTACCTGAGTATTTTCCTCCTTATATACACTTTGACATATATTTACAGGTTAAGACACCCAGCAGCAGTATATCGAGTATTTCAATAAGCTCTACATTCACAAGCTGTGATAAAAACAGATAATATCATGATAGTTACCCGGTAACTCAATATATATACAGGATTCTGAATTGGGCCATTACGGGTGCTAAGGGGTACTTTTACTAATAAGTGTAACTTGATGCCGATACTTTAGTACTTTTACTTAAGTAAGATTTTGAAAGCAGGACTTTTACTTTTAACAGTATATTTACAATGTATTATATCTACTTTTATTCAAAATGTACGTTTACTCAACTGTGCTTGTATCCTTCTTTAAAATATGAACTTTGACCCCTACAGATGACAGCCTATGGGGCCGTCCTCCATAAAGGTTCATTCTGTAGAAACTATTTCAATATTCTGGACCTGGTGGTTGTCAGTGTGTCCCTCATCTCCTCTGGAATACAGTGAGTGCAGCCTAACGTCTCCTGATGCATGCTTTATACTGTCGTCCCATTTGAAATATAAGCTGCTTTAGCCTTTCAGTCCAAGTAGTGTGCACTGATACATCTAACATTATGTGGCAGCAGTTCCAAGCGACATCATCAGGGAAGCTTACAATATCATCAAACATCCATTTGGGTGGCTTCATGTTCAAAAGCTGGACCAGTCAGTCAGATAATGACAAGTGCATGAGACACTGGTCCTTTCCAAGAAGACACAAATCAAGCTGTAAAGTGGGAACAAAAATGTGTTAATGTAAATTGCCCCATGCTTCACACTTCTCTCTGTTCTCTAACAAGTTCACACTTCATTACTCCCAATTCCTTTCTCTCTTTGTGATGTTTACTAAATGTGTTCTCTGCTTCTTGTTCTTGAAATGCTGTGATATTTCTGATGTTTAATATGCTATGCTACACTCTCTGTCTCTAATGCTTAATAGACATGACTTCTCGACGTAAGTCCACATTAGTCCGCACTAATAACCCCCTTAACAGACCTTCACCTTAACTGTGTAAAACTGTCACTCTTTTGCTTTTGGTATTTCTATGGTCTTGGAGAGTTTTAGTCAAAGCAAGAAAATAAACTCCAGAGTGCAATCTGTGATGTTATCATCAGGCGTAGGTTATTGGGGTTACACTGTATTGATCATAAATGGAAAAACACAAGATTGTGCTTCGTCACACTTTCAGGTCTTATCAGCAACATTTGTTTTGAGCCAAAGATTGCCTTTTCTGGGGGGCGCCCCCTGGGTCCTGTTATATTGTACTCAGCTGTCATGTCCAATAAATGTCAATATGATTATTTATCACATATATTTTGGGGCAGCGCAAACTCAGTTACCATACATTTGGATAAACGGAACTCTCTGGGCTGTAGAAATGACACCATAATGCTGAAATCTCAGTTGTTTTTGCCTGTTAAAATCGTGAGTGTGTGGGATTTTTTCTGGGTATATCACAGTCAGATTAATTGTGAAGGTGCTGGTAGTGTCTACTACCGCCTCAGTGCATTTATTTCAACCCAATATAGAAGTATCCCCTGTGGATATACTGTATATCTGTATCCTTTTTTTTAAATGTCCATTTAAGTATCTGCGCAAATAGAAGTAATTTTGTAGAAAAACAGCATGGAAATTGCAAAAGTTTATCAAGGCTTTTGTTAGTTAAAATGCAGAAAACCACATACAGAAAGCGTGATGTGTTTCTGCTCTGTGTGATATTGTGTGTGGACAGCATGTAATATGTCCAACATTAGTTCACACGAAAGAACAGTGTGTCCGATATGTAACACCTTACTTCCTATCTCTGGACGGAAACTGCATGTTTGCTTTCTTAGGAAACGATTTAAAAATCAGGTGGCTTGCACAGCTATATTCAGGATAAACAGAAATGTGATCCAGGCACAAGGAAGGAAACAAGCCTTTATTTGAGTGAATAAATCATTAAAATGCCATCATATACTGATGTAGGACTTGCTCAGGGCTATTGTTGAACAACATTCATTAGTAGTTATATTCATTTTATATTCTAAAGACATGTTTGAAATTGAGTTGAAGTTTGTACTATCACTACAGGATATCTCCACAGCTGGTTTGACTGTGATATGTTGCTGATGAAATCCTGCTCAACATGAGCTCCCTTTAACTCCCTTTAATCGTTACCTTCCTGTGTGAACTGTTCAACAGGTCTTTCCTTTTTTTATTTTAAAGTATACAGAGAATAATGTCACTCCCTTTATACCACTCCTTTAACCCTCTTAAAACGTCACTCCCTTAAAAGTATAAATTGACATTTTGAATACACTTTTTTCCTTTGTGACACTTTGGGAAAAAGTTTTTGCATTTTGTTCATCGGTGAACTGAACATCCTGAAGGTTTTTCGCTTGTTTCAGAGCTGTTGACGTCATATAGTAATAATGAAGACCAAGTTCAGATGAACAATGGACCAATGCTCAAGCTTTTTCCAAATATCTATTGTAAAATTCAAAATGTCAATGTATGCATTTGATTCTTTTGGTTGAAATGTTCAAACCTCTTCCTTCACTCCACTTCCTTTGAAAGGTCACACTGTTTGGCATTTGGCTTTAACTGACACTCTTACAGCACAATAACTCTGTTTGCCTGTACATGTCTGTGTGTTGCTTTATCTGTGTTAAACATGTGTGTGTTTGATACATAAACACTTTTTCTATATTGTTCCTACTATTGTGCACATGTTATGTTATTTTCCTCATTCATCAACACGTACAAACCCATAATGTCAGTCAATATATGATATGTTTGTTAGTAGAATGAACTAAACCTGACTATAATCCAGTATTTTTATTTGGCCACCTGATTTCTGCTAGATCAAATAAAGTGCACTGCTTCCAATGCCCTAATAGAAATCAGAGATACTATTCAGCGTTTTGTTGTAAGTCATTTTAAACATGTTTCATTGCTTTTTTAAGCATACATTCTGTAAAGGTAATGTTTAAAAACAAAACACACACATATTATTACTGACTTTGCAGAATTGAAGGCGACCTTTACCTGTTTCTAAAGACAGTCATTATAGTTTTGTGTCATACTTCTCGTTGTGTTTCAGTTCACTTTTATCGGATCATTTTGGTTTCTTTAACTTGTGTGTTTATTGACCTTTTCTTCAGTTTGTGCTGAAAAAATGCTTTTAAAACTTATTTTGCAAATATGTCTTCATGTGTGTAAAAATGTGTGTTTCATCAGTTAACCTGGAGCATAGTTAACCCCATGTGTGTTTCAGGTCCAGTGCCATTAACGTGGTGAAGATCCTGAGGGTCCTGCGGGTGCTCAGACCACTGAGGGCCATCAACAGAGCCAAAGGACTAAAGGTTAAAACACTCACACGTATATCAAAAACACATAATACACACATACTCTCTTCTTAACAAATAAATACACATTATTGTACTTCACTATCATTATGGGTGTGTTTTACAGCATGTAGTGCAGTGCGTGTTTGTGGCAATCCGGACCATCGGCAACATCGTCATCGTCACCACGCTGCTCCAGTTCATGTTTGCCTGCATTGGAGTACAACTCTTTAAGGTAAAGTGGAAAGGAGGGAAAGAAGAAGGACAAGCTTCGTAATCAGGTTAATTTAAATACTAAATCTCTATGTTTTCCCCTCAGGGCAAGTTCTTCACCTGTACTGACAGCTCCAAACAAACGTATGCAGAGTGCAGGTGAGAGGTCCCTCCTGCACGCAAGCTGCTCGAACTCTACCTTATAGAATGACTACTTGATAATACATGTGGATGTGTGTGTGCGTGTCTGCTTGTGTCCACAGGGGTTCCTACATTATGTATAAGGACGGTGATGTGGGGAAGCCTGAAAGAGCCCTGAGACTGTGGGAGAACAGCGACTTCAACTTCGACAATGTCCTGCAAGGCATGATGGCTCTGTTTGCTGTGTCTACCTTCGAGGGCTGGCCAGAGTGCGTGTCGTAAAACTAAAAATGCATTTATATATATATATATATATCCTGACCTGCATACTGTTTCTACACAGTGTGTTTATTTATTTTTGTGACCAACTTTTTATTCTTTTCTAGTAGCACTCACGGAGGGACACATATACAGATACAAGTTATGTACAATAATACAAAGAGAAAGAGAACAAATAATAAAAGGAGATGTATAGGGAGTCCCTTGGCCACGACAACCATCCCTCCCCCCCTCTTGCCATGTCACACAAATCATACATAATGCTGGTTAGCAATAGTCTAAGTTCATCTGTTACACACATGTTTGCATAACAGTTCATAACCAATACTCGTCTTTTTTAACTAAGTTGACATTGAGTCCTGTCCCAATCATCTTTCAATACATCAAGGCAGCTCTTTTAATAGCCTGTAGTGTTTCTCCTTTAGCATTGTTAACAGAAGTGATTGACAGCTCTGAGTAGTATGTCCTGATAGGAAGATATCAGTTGCTTGATACATATAGTATGTTGGGGTTTCCTGCAGAGTGTATTTTATACTCATTAAAACGGTGCACTGGAGTCCTTTTCTCTCCTGCAATCTCCATCTTCCTCCTTTCCTTCAATGATTCGTCCCTCCTTCCCTGCCCTCCCTCAGGTTATTGTACCGAGCCATAGACTCTCACACCGAGGACGTTGGGCCCATCTACAACTACCGCGTGGTCATCTCCATCTTCTTCATCATCTACATCATCATCATCGCCTTCTTCATGATGAACATCTTCGTCGGTTTCGTCATTGTCACATTCCAGGAGCAAGGAGAGCAAGAGTATAAGAACTGTGAGCTGGATAAGAACCAGGTACTGTCTCTGTCTGTCTTTTATTACTTACTTCCATTTACTGCCAGATAGATGTGTGTTTTCAGGGTGAAGTAGAAGGAGAGTGACTATTTTGGCTGGAGTGGGAAAGTCATTTTGCAATTCACAAGGCACAAAGGAGAGTGAATGTATGCCCTGCAGTGGGGGGGAGATATGGGAAGCTGAACCTGAGTTTTAAGGGCTGAACCACTCCAGGAGAGCAGCCAGGAGGGAAGTACAGCAGCTCAGAAAGAAGATGAGACTAAAGCTTAATGAAGGAGCCAGGCCAAGTCCCTGCAGCTGGGTTTCCTGTGATGATTCAAGAACATGGACATTCACACAGAGCAGGGAACAGAAGTCTGGGCTGGAAAGAGCTTTTTCAGACTGCCAAAAGACAATTCTGCAGCTCTTCCTCCAGGGTGGTCTGAGCACAGAGAGGGGGAGTGATGAGAAACAGGCGAAATGTTTCTGTATGCTCACGTGTTTGTGTGTGTGTCACAGCGTCAGTGTGTGGAGTACGCTTTGAAGGCACGTCCATTGCGGCGCTACATCCCCAAGAACCCCTACCAGTATAAGGTGTGGTATGTGGTCAACTCCACCTACTTTGAGTACCTGATGTTCACACTCATCCTTCTCAACACCATCTGTCTGGCCATGCAGGTGAGTCTCTCTCTCTCTCTCACACACACACACACACACACACACACACACACACACACACACACACACACACACACACACACACACACACACACACACACACAAATCCCCCTTTCTTTTTAACGAGTCATTTATGTGTCTTTGCAGCATCATGGACAGACAAAAGGCTTCAATGATGCCATGAACATCCTCAACATGCTCTTCACTGGACTCTTCACTGTGGAGATGATCCTAAAACTGATCGCCTTCAAACCCAGGGTAAGTCCACCTCTCTAGCTATGACATAGAAAATAACAGTCTAGTAGATGCAGTAAAGTAGAGAAATAAAAAGTATCTGCTGCATTTAGTATGTTAATCAAACAAAGTTGTACTACTAATCATGACAACCTATGGATATAATAAAGTAGTCTAATGCTGTACATTTGAGGTTTTGCATTAGAAATAACTGCTCACTGATGTTGAGCTGTATGTTCCTAATCCGCATGTAATTTCCTCCAGACGATAATTATCGTGTCATGGATCTAAAACATGATTAGTGGACGGCATCATGTGGCTTTTAATCTCACTGCTCCCTTGTTTTCCTGCTGTTGTTGCTATGAAGCTGTGTGGGTTTATTGGTCCAATGTTAGAACGTCCTGGTGCATCAGCTATTTAAACAGTAACAGATGGGAACGCTTCATCCTATTACTGCAGGGTTAGTGGAAAATCCTTGAACTGAATCAATAGACAAAACTGTTTGATATCATATTTTCACCCTGCTCTCTACTGTTACACAGCACATAATGCTAATCAAAAGATGAGTGTAAGAAACGTTGCAGTTATTGCTTGACTTTTTACAGATAATGATTAGCCAAACTGACATAAACACATAAAGGCTCTGTGCTTCAGCTCACTGACTGCTTTAATAGAACGAGACGTGAAATATGAAGTTCAATTAAACAGCCTGCTGAGAGTCATTTTCTTTTTTTTTAACCTTATCCTTCAACATAATTGGCAACGGTGCCGGTGTCACTTTGACTCATTATGCGCATTATAAACAGTGCGTTATAACCAAATTCTGAACTTTTCATTCCAAATACTCCATGTTTTATGCATTCATTCATTATTTCTAGTCAGTTATGGAATTAATTTGAATTTGCATTTATTATTTATGTGAAGTTAATTGCTCAAAGTTATTTGTTGGCATTAATGAATGTCATTTATGAACAAATCCATTATCTGGGAGCCCTTGGATTTCTCACTACTTATTAAAACGTAATTATATGTAGTTTTTCTAGTTAGCTATTAAATCAACATTATGTTGTACAAAATGTGTTCTTTTATCAAGATTTATTAAGATGAATCAAATAATATTATCTTTTTATAATAACATCAAAAGATGATGGATGTACTTCATGCATGTCTTGCAGTGTTTTCATGCACAGGCGGCTCCAGCTGGAATAACCAATTATGTGCAGGAGAACTTTTAAGGCTTGGGAAATGACCTCATGCTGCGCTGCATTACAGTATGTGTGAACTATAAGTTCATGTTAACGCTAATTATGGCTTACTCAATTGAGTTTTTAGTGGAAAATACAAAAACTGATACCTATTTTCCCTCTTTCATGCATTTCATGCATTTCATTTATGTCAAAAAGTGAAGTGCCGCATGAGGAAATGTTCCCAAGCCATAATGAACCCTGGTATTGAAAATGACCCACCCTTAAGGACATTACTTGTCTCATTGTTTTAACTTCAGTAAACTCTTCCGGCACACACAGCCGGATCACCCGCTAACACTTTTATTTTCAGGTATTGCAGTCGTCAAAGCACATGTGGAATCAGCTGGGAGACTTTTATAATGTGAAAAATGTGTGCTAATGCCTTTTAATGTGTGATCTTAACAGTGTTGTTTAGTTCTGAACATATTTTTGAATGATCTGTGTTCGCTTTCCTCCCCACTTCCTGTTTTATAACTGATGTGTGGGGACGTTAGTATGGCAAATAAATGCAATCACTACATGCAATAGCATTTAGATTCCAACCCTAAACTCTATTAATGTTTGACCCTGCTTTTACATTAATATTGTCACACCTCAAACAACTTCATCAAACCACTATAGCGTATAAGGATGCCTTGTTATTTTTACATAACCTTTTAAGATGATACCTCAGGTGCTGATGACAGATTCAAGTAGATTCACTATGATTGACTTTCTCTCCGCATCTTTCTTTTTTGCCACTTTACCAGTTTGATTCATACAAATGAGTTGTATTCATTTGTGCAAACTTAATGTTTTTAAAACGTTGCAGTCAGAGTAAAATAACACTTCCTAAAAATAGGACATTTCATTATCCAGACATTGGTCCTTCTTATCCACCAGTTCGAAGTTCCAGCTATCTTTAGACACACAAATGCTTTCATATTTCATCTTATCTTGTTGCAAAAGATTGGCACAAAAATGGTTGCAACATACGCCTTCCTAGTCCACAGTAATACTATGCTATGGGAGAACACACAGTCTGAATGAAAAGTAACTTGCTTTACAGTATGGAAATGTTTCTAAAAATGCCATGTGCCAGCCCAGTCTCACAATGACCCTCGTTAGATCTTGGCTCTCCCCTCAAGTTTACACCAGAAAATAAAACGTTCTCTCTCCTCACAGTACATATAATATATTTGTATTTTACCACCCTAAATGAAACACATTTGGCCTGAAGCTATGGGGATGTTTTTCATAAATACCACTACTGGTGATGAATCGGCCTCCACAAGCTAATCACACAAAGTGGGCTTTCAGTATAATCACGTTGCTAGAACAGCCAAAGATGCAGGTGGAAGACTTGAATAACTTCCACCCAACACGCTATAACAGAGCAGGAAACCCAGCTGATGGACAGATACTGGAAAGGAAACCGTTTGATTCTGTCGATTAGGATTCAAATGTGTCCTTTCATGTGTGGGTTCATCAGCTGATTCTCCCCCTCAGTGTACTGCACAGCCTCATACCCACATAATAGGGCTGGGAAGTGGCAGCAGATGTTGTTTTCCTTCTAACCTACCTTTCTTACCCTCCTCCTCCTCCATCTCCTCCTCCTGCTCACCTCATCCTGTGTAGGGGTACTTTAGTGATCCCTGGAATGTGTTTGATTTCCTCATCGTAATTGGCAGCATAATAGACGTCATTCTCAGTGAGATCAACGTAAGTATGATGCCCACTCTCCTTGTCGCTCCCTCTTTCTCTCTGTCTTGTGCCTTCTTGATTCTTCTTTCATTTCCCGCCACACTCCTCCTCGGTGGCTCTTTCTGTGTTGTGTTGTCCTTTCTCTTCATCTCTCCTTCTCCTCTCTCTGCCTCCTCTTTCTCTTCTTCCTTCTCCTACTTCTCTCCCTTCATCCTTGACTCCAAGATGGCCGCTGCTACTCAGGGGACCCCCGACCACAAAGGGTTCCTGAGCGAGACCAAGCTTCTTCATGGGTTTCTTAAAACGTAGAGGCAGGGTTTAGCTTGGGCACAGAAGGTTCCTGTCTTGCGTCCTGCTTCCTCACAGTATCTCAGGTGTTGTCGGGGTTTTTTCTCCACTTTTTGTCGGACTGTGACTTACCCTCAGGTTTGATTCCCTCACTAACTGAACTAACTCGCTGACTAATCACACACTTACACATCATTTTAACCACAACAACAGGGGCCTTTTATTTGGTTGTGATTTTGTTGGAATTTGTTCTGTACTGTTGTTCTTGTTGTTGACATTTTCCTCTCATGGACAAGCATGACCGATCTCCGCTGCTCTTCCTCTGCTGTCCATCTTTTCAAGACCCCTCCTTTTCTTTTTTTGCCGTTGAATTTTGTTGATTCTTTCCCTCTCTCCTCCTACTAAAAAAACTCCAATGCTCATGTATATAATGTTTTTTATCTTATTTTTCTCCTCTCTCCATTTATTTTTGTTTTTTCCATTTTTTAAATGTCTTATGTTCTGTCCTTTTCTTCTGTTGTTTTTCTGTTCTCTCCACCCCTACGCAGCATTATTTTGTTGATGCATGGAACACATTTGATGCCTTGATAGTTGTGGGTAGCATTGTTGACATAGCGATCACTGAGGTTAACGTAAGTAGTCCAACTCCCTCCCTTCCTGCCTGCCTGCTCTGCCATTCCCACACACACACACGGACAGAGTGCTGATACCCATCTCGCATGCTTTCAGATGATTAGGAAACTTCAGCTGCATCACATTTGAGCTTAACAGACGGCTGAATAACTCTGGCAGTGAAAACGTCCAGATGTCGTAGTCATTTGAAACAAAAGAAAGGCTTGCTACAGTGGTTCTTAGAGATGTTTGACCCATGACATCTTAATACTTTTTAGATGGGTCAGCTTTATTCATTAATATGTTGGCCTTTGGGATGCTAACATTATTATTTTAACTCTGTATAACAACTGGAGGCTTCAAAACAGCTTTCCTGAGTTCCCCTTTCTGCGTATTCATCTTCAGGAGTGGAATAATTGGGCTGCAATTCAATTTGAATTCTCTTAATTCAAGTCCTGTTTTGTATAGATTATGTAACATTTGAAACTGCTTCAGAAAGGTATTCATGCCTCAGTCTGATAAACATCAATAGCTTCAAAAACTATTGCATTTACCACTTGAACCTGTTGCATTGTCTTAGCACTTGGTTTGGTTTCACATTGAGTTGATCTTTTAACATCGCCACAGGGGATAGTGTCCATTCCCCTGGCATGATGGACACTGTATAGCATGGCAGATGTGAAGGTGCTATATCCAGGCCTGATACTGTATGTCATGTTTACAGATAGAGTGCGCATTTCTGCAAAGCAGCAAACGTTACTGGAAAGATATTGAATACAGATTCTCAAGTGTTTTGACCCAAGGGTCATGAAACATTCTAAATTCATAAATCACCAGAGAAACATCAAATTCAAATGAGAATTTTGTATTATATTTTATCCGACAATAGTAATGCCCAGACATGGATTTGCCCAGGACCTGTGAAATGTATGCAAATGTATGTATGAATTCATTTAGCATCGACGTGAGGGCCCTATGGTCAACAGTGGGGCTGAATAAGAATGAATATGCCAAACACAAGTCAAATGTTGAGTGTCTATCGTATTTACACTTCAGGGATAATTGGTGTTTTATTCATGCGTTATTCAGCAGGAGAACAGGCAGTGTGTATTAACTCTTCATTCAGCATTAACAATGGATAGTTTCTGCTGTGTGTGCAGTTTGCCGGAGAGGAAAATGATTCTGTACTACGATCAGACAGTGAAGCTGAATAAGTCGAGATCTCTGGGAGTCTAACTTTGATATACACTACATTTGTTTCAGCTAATGAAGACACAGAAACCACCTTACTTTGTTTCTACACATTTACATCATCTTACGTCACATCAATTATAGAAACATTTGACTACTTGTGGATGCACATTAAGTTTAGATGTACTCTCACAACATGCTGCCGATTTGAGGACATGAAGCAAAGAAAGGATATGCACATGTGTACACCGGTATGTTCCCCCATGGTGGAATGCGGTTTGATTCACCTCAGACAGAACTGGGCAGGCATACAAATAAGGTTACTGTATCCCAGGGGTGTGTGAGCATGGCAGCTGTTCATCAGGCCTTTGGAAAGGGACTCCATTTGTCCCCACGAGAGGCTGACAAGGCTGCATGGAAGCCACACCGGGTATTTTTTAAATGGACATTTCATCTTTTATTCACATATGAAATTGATGAAATCTAGTTGAAATGTTCTATATCCTGTTGTTGCTTCACATTGAATGTATGCATCAGATCTTTTTTAGCAAGAATGCTTTTATATAGGGAAAGAGGAGTGTATAAATATATACGTAGACACTTAACAAAAGACTGTCCGAGGGTAAACAAATCATTTGAGTCAGTTGCCAATGGAACTTTTGACATTGATTAACCTGATTTATTTCATACTGAGGTATATAATATATAATGAGGTATATTTAACTGAGGTTCAATGGGCCAGAGATATACATCTTTGTCATCTATACAAGTCACTGATGCTGCACTTTGGTTTGGAGTTTGCCTTTGGTTTGATTGTGTTGATTGGTTTGCAGTTATTCCTGAATGTTTCATTATGTTCCTCTCCTTCCCTAACCTAAAGGCATGGCCCTACGTCCTTTTTTTTTTCTTCTCTGTTGTTTTTTTAAATAATTTGAGTGATGACACTCAGGCTACCTTTTTCTATTTATTTTTTTTAAGAAACCCTCCGCACTTTAACCCTGTGAGAAGTCTCGTCTGTTTCTGACCTAGGACCCTGTCACTGAGACATTTTAGATTTTAGCCTGTTACTGCATTTCACGAGGCACAAGTGAATTTTAATGTGCAATGAGGTTACAAACTAATAGCAGCAGCTTTCCAACATCTTCCTCCCTGTCATTGCTTTTCTTAAGTACACAGCGAAGTGCAGTAACAGGCCAGCTTTTAAAATGTTTTCACTTTGCCTTTAGTAAATATTAAATTGCTTAAATCTCTCTTATGAGTGCACCCCCTTCGCTGCTCTGCTGGGTGCTTGCTGACTTAGATTAGCTTTTTGTGGTCATCGAATCAGAATACTTTTAAAATCCTGGGTCTCTAATTCTCCCCAGCAACCTGCGGGTGCTTCTTAAATCTCATCTGGTTTCTTTTTCTCCGTTTTTTGTTTTTGATATGAGTAGAAGTAGTGTGAACAGATCTGTAGTGGTTTGCTTCGAGCGGTGTCTTGCAGAGGATGCCAGTATGAACTGCATCTACTCCTCCTTGTCTTTCTCTCTACTCGGAATGCCTCCTCTTCTTCTCTCCATCTCTCTTCTTCTCTCTCTGAGCTTTTTCAGTTCACTTTACTCTTCTGTTATGGATGTTTATCTCTGTCTCTCTCTGTCTTCTCTCTCATTGGTTTGCGGTGCTGCTTGCTCACCTGAAATGCAAGCTGGGTAACATGGGTCTCATGCTGTCACTCATCCAAAGAGGACAGCCTATTATGTGCTACGCATTTTAAAAAAGGATTGTGAAATAAGGTAGTTAGTATGGTTTAATCCTGGCCCATGACAGATCAAATGCACCTTAACCACAAATCTTGTAAAGAAAGTTCTCAAGAAACCCATGTTGCCCATTGAACTGACTGAACTGATGACATTTTCTGAAAACATGACGTGTAATGTGAGAAACAGCTCATGCTAATTTAAAATGAGCTCATATATCAGATGAGCTGCAACTGCAGTAACTCACATCCACACTGTAGTTCAGCCTTTAAGGAATTCTCTATATTGATTTACAAACAGAATGTTTTGTTTGGTTAAACTTACAAACCATGTTAAAATGCTCTAAATCTGATGAATAATGAAACTGAAGTTAATAGGATCATTTTTAAAGAAGGGAGGATTACAATTGAATATGATTCTCATTCACAGCCTTGATTTCATGTTTCCTATTGAAGCATTTTTCAGATTTTAATATGCTTTAATTGACCAAGCTAGCCCTCAAAGTAACACACAAACACACATTCCCACATATTTGAGCTGTAAGGTAATCTGCACATAGTTTTAATAGGTGCCATCTTCCCTCCCTCCCTCCTTTCCTTCCTCCCTCCTTCTATCCTTCCCAGCTTTCCCTCTCATCCTCGTCATCTTTTATCCATCATTTTTCCTTCCCTACAACCAAACTTTCCTTCCCTTCACAACCTGATGCCTCACTCACACACACACAAACACGTGCTTATGATATACATGTCCAGGTAAATAGTTATTTGCAAATTATAGGAATTTATTTCATTTACATTAATGTGTCCGATCATTACGTATGGCTCTGTTAGAATGCCTTCAAGTGCTTCATTTTGTGGTAAGGCATTTTAACAGGGCCAGCACCAAAGCAGAGTGAAGAGTCTTAGATTAAATGTGGAGTTCATCTATCACTCCCGGTGGTGTAACATGTCGTCACACCAGAGATGACCAGCGGGTGTCTCCCTGCAGTGTGTTACCTTTGTGCTTCTCAGTGTTATTTAAATACCTGTGGGCTCCTACTTCCAAAAGCATTTTTTATTGTGTTATTCCGATGCATTTGTATGACCTGAAAGTAGATTAAAGTGGATGTGGATTACTCTCAGGTCAGAGAAAAGCTTGAATAACACATATCCAAAGGAGGCATTGCTCATTAATGCCGAGATGCATTTGGTGAACGTAGCCCGAGTCGAGCTAAAGCTTTCACTGTTAATGTACTGTAGCTTCAGCTGGCACAAAGAAAAACAGATAGCTACAGAGGCGCCCTCTATCTCACACACACACACACACACACACACACACACACACACACACACACACACACACACACACACACACACACACACACACACACACACACACACACGATGTAGCATAAAGACACGTACAAAATCCGCCCTTTGACCCTCTGTGGCTGGCCCAGACCATCACTCATTGTTTTGGCCCTCAAGGCATTGGACTGCAATTTCCCAATATCTTACCTTCTACATGTTTCAATCGTTGTGATTCAGCCTCACACAGGATGGGTCCAGTCTCCATATGCAGTAATATCTTACACAATTCTCCCTCCTGGCCCAAATGCAATGATTTGTTCCACTTTTCCACCATGTGAGACAGAGAACGTATCCAAGAGCTTTTAATTTGATTAAAGTTTGTTTTTTTACAGAAGAAACTGATTCATGCGTTGATTCAAATTATTTTTAAATAAAACTGACACCAGACAGGCGGCACAATGTCACAACAGAGCATTAATGTAAGTGTTAGTGTTCTGCTATTGTTTTCTAAAATTAATTCTTCAGAGCGTAGCGTTGCGATTTGTGAGTTATTTTTAGGGCTGGCTTAAAATTTGTACTACTTTTTACATAAAAACACATAAAGACACAAATACTGTACACACACATACACACACACACACACCAAGGCGCTGCTCTGGTGCTGATCTTTGTTGCCTTTCCTTAAAGCCAGCTGACTCCTCCTCGTCCTCCTCCTCTTCGCCCTCCTCCTCCTCTTCCTCCTCTCACCCCCCTGTGGTAAGGCCAATGGTACGCACTGACGGTAACCTCGCCGCCTCTCTACCTCCTCCACCATCTCTCCACCCCTCCATACTTTAATCCCTTCTTCTGCTACACTATGGTATGATCCAAGACTTTCGGCTTTTCATCGTCCTGGCAACTCCTCCTGTCGCAACTGCTGTCATTCTCTTCAGCATGTCCAGACCTATATTTATCGAGCTGTTAGTACTTTTACATGTTCATATATATATATATATATATATGTGTGTATATATGGTGACGGACGCTGAGTTGTGCAGGCCAAGTATAACTGGAGTCTTGTGACTTTCCTTGAGTGGCTATTGTTGTTGCCATGGTGTCCGCTGCCCCAACCCCCCCCCCCCCCATGGCTTGCAACTTGCTCCCCCTTCCCCTATGGGTCTGGTACCGTCAGCGCTTCGTCATGAGTGCAAGCCATCAAGGTCACGCAATCACGCTGTCTCTCTCACTCTTCTTCTCCACTGGCCTGATATCTATCTTTCTATCTATTTGTCTTTCTTGTGAATCAGTCTATTTGTTTGGATGACTCTGAATAATCCAAACTATTCTTCACATTCAGACTCTCTCTCTCTCTCTCTCTCTCTCTCTCTCTCTCTCTCTCTCTCTCTCTCTCTCTCTCTCTCTCTCTCTCTCTGTTACCTACTGTCACTGTACCCCTCTCACTCACTGTCCCACTCTCACTGTTGCAATGGTCCCCATTGTGGGCCAGTTGTGGTATTACATGCAGTACAGAATTTTGACTTAAACTCCTCAGAAGGATTTGTCATTTTCTGCACATCTGTCAGTGAAGTTTGGGACAACTCATGTTTTGGGTTACTTGTCAACACTTTAATATAACCTCTAACTTCAGAAAGAAACCCAAACTGCTCTCAGTTATCCCAGACAGATAGAATAATGAAATGAGTGTGGTGAATTTTCAGAATCAGAATCTAGTTTATTGCCAGGTACTTTTACACATACAAGTAATTTGCTTTGGTGTATGGTGGTGCAAACGTAAAAAACACAAGAACATCAATTGTAAGAGAAGGTCAAAATAAAGACACACATCGTTGATTTCTATAAACATTTCACACTTGAAAAGTAGCATATTACATCTGTTATCCCAAACTGCACCATGATGCGTAGAGAATGGCCAGTTCTTCTGAGGAGCTCACCGTGTTTTCTCTGTAGGATTAGCATAAAGATTTCTGGGCCTCTTGGAAAAACTCAAATGGCAACAAACAGATTAGAGGTCAGAGAGGACGAGGTGGTGTTATGCTGCATTTCTATGTGGTCAAATGTATTTGATGCATACTGGTGGAGTAGAGTTTACTTAGTTGTTGATTTAAAATGTTTGCGTAACTGTTTCTGCTGTCATGAATGCTAATGCTAGTTGTTTGAAGGCTTGTTTGATCCATCTGCTGTTTGCCATATAAAGGGAAATACAACAGGTCCTTAGTTGCTGTATTTACTGCATCATGCTTTACACAAATCCTGATGTTTTCCGCCTTTTGTCCCTGAGAATGAGCAGTAGGAGCAGCATAAATAAATACATCTGTATTAGAATAGCACTCAGCAAGATGGCTGAATATTTAATCTTGGAGTTATTTCCTGTGGATGAGTACAGGGACAATAGACAGTTAGAGAGCTACAGTACAGTGCCTCTAAAGCTTGTTCTTCACTAAGGCATACTTTCAATAAAAAGTATACCGCAAACACACTGCTTAAATGGTTTGAGAGTAAGAAAAATGCATGTTCATTGCAAGAAGCTCTGCAAATAACATGATTGTAGGTGTGAAAACAGCTTGTAGAAGATCATAGTAAACAAAGAATTCAAGATGAATAGGTAAATATGATGTTATACCTGGCAGTGGCTGCATTGGGCAGTAATATCTTTCCATTTGAAAATCCTCTTGTGATTATTTCTCCTGGTGGCCAGTTGCTCCGTGACCGACAAACAATTAACCTGCCTGCATGATTTATTGAAACAGGAATCTGCCTGCAGGCTAGAGTTCATGCACTGTATCTGTTGTGAATTGTTATCAGTGATTTACAAAAGGGTTTGCTTCTATGGATGGAAATCTGGTCTGCTCTTAGCTTTTAGACGTGTTCTTAACCGGTGCAGAATGAACAAATCTCTCAGCTGAGTTGGACCATTTACTTTAGGGGCTCTGAAAGTGTTTTAATGCGTGTCAAATGTCCTTTCCATGGCCTTATTAACTTGTATAGGTTATATCAAATACATCCAAGAGTGTGTTCTACTTGAAATAACACTGAGGTGAGTAGAAATCATTTCAGATTTTCAGACCCAGGGATTTTTGTAAAGACAAATGGAGCCGTTTTAAGATTCAATGGTTCAGTATGGTGCCTTTAAAGACTGCAAAAGTGTTGCACTGATTCATTATAAAGAAAGGTTGGCGCAGGTGTTTTCAGGAAGCTCATATATGGTTTGCCAATCTCTTTGTTGCCAAGTGATTTTTCCATGAAGCCAGAAAATAAAGCGTGATTGCCCGATTCTCTCCCACATCTCTTTTGTTAGTTAATTTTGATGGGATTTATAGGACGCAGTTTTTCATTTATTAACTGAGTGTGTGTGTGTGTGTGTGTGTGTGTGTGTGTGTGTGTGTGTGTGTGTGTGTGTGTGTGTGTGTGTGTGTGTGTGTGTGTGTGTGTGTGTGTGTGTGTGTGTGGGTGTGGTTGTGTGTGTGTTATACATATTTACATCCACATCTATTTGTGGGTGGGAATATGCATATGAATGTTACTTGTATGTCTGAATTTCTGTTTGTATGTTCATGTATGTGTGTGTGTATGTTTCCCTCCCTTACCTATCTGCATGTGTCCCAATGCGTCCTGTGTTTTTTCTATAAAAAAAAACACCAAACCCCACCAAAAGGGACTGCAGAACTCTGAAGAGAACGCCAGGATCTCCATCACCTTCTTCCGGCTGTTCCGCGTGATGAGGCTGGTGAAGCTGCTGTCTCGCGGGGAAGGGATTCGGACCCTGCTGTGGACCTTCATCAAATCCTTCCAAGTGAGGGGAGAACCGGACACAACATGCTAAAGCAGGGGGTTGGGTTTACACAGGAATAGTGGAAGTGAGGCTTTAACCCTAATGTGACCCGGATCAGAGCCCTTTTTAGAGGCAATTTTTATTCACCTTTCACATAGCCAATCAAAGACTTTGTGATCCAAATTCGGCATAGTGCGTCAACAAGGTGATTATCTCCATATTTAATCAAGAATAGAACCGCTTAATGATATAAATGCTGTGCTAATCATCTTGTAATTGCAGATGTGAGTCACATGGGGCTACAAATATCCTTGTTCTTGTGTAAATTCATCCCGGTGGAGTCTCACAAGCCGCCTCTCCTTTCCTTGCCTCCTCGTCTCCACCCCCTATTTTCTTTAAGAAATCAGTGGGGTGGGTGGTGGTTTAGTCCAAACGGTGGCGGAGGAAAAGAACGAGGGATGGTGCGAGGTAACGGAGAGGAGGTTTAGGAGTCTTGTATCAGAGGCAGGGAGGGATTCAGGGAACTCAAGAACCTTAACCAGCAATCTCCTCTTTGCTACTCATCTCTCCTACTCTCCCTCTTCTTCTACTCCCTTTCCCTCCAATGCCCTACTACTAACACCTGAAAGCTCTCCATTCCCTGTAGGCGGGACAGACAGTAGATTCATTTAAAGGAGCACCACCAAAAAATGTAAATCATTTGATAGACAGTTATGGGGGAAATGAAAACAATCTGTTCTCTCTCTTGTGTTATTTGAGACGGGCCACTTCATGTCACAGTACAGCTTTAGAATTTGAAACATTTACGAAATAACCAGGCTCATGGTGTAACAATTCAACTCATTAATATTATGTAACTTGGATAACTTAACTCAGTGGATAACATATTGACACAATTTCTTACTTTTTTCTAATTCAGTATGATTGGCCCTGCTCTCAAAGTCTCAGGGGTAATGTTAGCCAGGAGCTCAGTTCCACACACTCTGGGGTGTGGGATAAAGGAGACACACACATTGTGGCCATGTTAGGTGCATGTGTTATGCACTGGGACTGGACTCCTGGCTAAACTCAGAGAGCAGTTTATGTTTTACTGCGTTTTTTCACTCCTGTGTCAGATGATTTGTCCTGGGTTGTTTTTGGTGTTGTGCCACACAGGGCTGCGGATCAGTTCACTTTCACATTATAAGGTACCGATACATTAGTCCTCATACTGCACCTGCTCATTTGAAAAACAAAGAAATACATGCGTAAGGTTAATCAACCTTTTTGTTCTCCAAACATTTCCTAAATCAGTAGAATAATTGCTCGTGTAAGGTGTGAAAGTGAATGGACTCCAGCCAGGTGCAGGGTGATGCTGTACACAACTTGTCACTAAAGTGTCTCTCTCCTCTTTAGGCTCTGCCCTACGTAGCTCTGCTTATAGTGATGCTATTCTTCATATACGCTGTGATCGGCATGCAGGTAAGCCGTTGTCGTGTCAGCCTGTTCCCCCCCCCCCCCCCCTGTTGTGTTTCCTTCTCTCTCCTCCAGCTGGCCTCCATCCTGTGTCTGTCCTCCTGGAGTTCCTGTTCGGTCTCACCGCCCCTCTCTCTCTCTCTCTTCCTCCTCTAGCTGTTGTCTCTCCTCTGTCTGTCTCTGTCAATCCTCCTGTCCTTCCTGTTGAGTTGCTTGTATTACTGATGATGAGAGGGGCGGAGGTTTCTAATTTTGGTTGTTCCAAAGAGCAATTACTTCCACCACCTGTCATGCTGACGTCATATCCTGTGTGCTGTGACTACTTCCTCCCCCCTCCTGTATAGATGTTTGGTAAGATAGCGCTGCGGGATGGCACAGAGATCAACAGGAACAACAATTTCCAGACGTTCCCTCAGGCAGTCCTGCTGCTCTTCAGGTGAGGAAGATGCCCCTCATCGTTTACACTGGTCCCCTTCTTTCCTTCCTCATCTTCACCCTCCTCTCCACTCTTAATATATACTATTTTGTTTATGTAAAAATCAACATCTTCTTTTCTTTCTATATCATCACTCTGCTCTTCTTCTCCTTCCATCATTAGTTCCTGTAGTTGTAAATGAATACAAATTACTTTTATCTTGTTGATCTCCTATATTTCCTCTCTTGTGAAAAGCCTTTTATACTATACATTAGAGGTTACAACTGAAGAGGGTTAAATAAATGGCACAAGAGCCAATGTGAAATAATTGTTCAGCAATAGCAGGCATAGCCAATATATCACCAAATATCGGACAGTTTCTTAGCAGCTTCACATTCTATATGTTCACCTGGACACTAGTATGAATCTAATAACTGTCGTAAACATATCTCTGAATTAATTTGGTCCCCTAAGGATGAAGCCTTCTTCAGTTTTCAGAGGACTGATCATACATTGAAACATCCTGCACCAGTCTCAGAAACCTGTCTGTCCTGTGTGGTTGCAATGATGGTAAGATTCCATGCAGGGGCCAACAAAGAAATACAAAAAGGATGTTTCAGAAATGATCCACAATAGTATGATCTGGCAGCCAAATCTTTTTTGTAAGAATGTTGCCATAAAATCATAACAAGCATCTTTTTCTACTGACCCCTTCATGGAAAATATCATAGCAATGCTTCCATTCAGAGAGACAGGATGCTTCAGAATGTGTGCAATACATGATAAATGATAGCTAAACCCACAAAAAAAGGTTACACCTGTCAAAACTTAAACAAGTGAGAAAGCTCCGCAGTACTGAAGTATTCAGAATGGAAGACAGTTTGGAACATGTCTTGATCTTCAGCTCAACTAAAACATGCATGACATTTCTTTGCTGTTGCTCAGTACATTCAGTGTATTAGGATAAAATGATTTGTTGTTCTTTTTTATATTCAAACTAACACTTTGCATATGTGTCTCCCTCTCTCTGTCTTTGTATCTATGTGTGTGTGTGTGTGTGTGTGTGTGTGTGTGTGTGTGTTTTATATATACTCGTATGTATGCAACATCTATGTGTCTCTGTGTGTGTGTGTGTGTGTGTTTTATATATACTCGTATGTATGCGACATCTATGTGTCTCTGTGTGTGTGTGTGTGTGTGTGGGTGTGTGTGTGTGTGTGTGTGTGTGTGTTAATGCATAAATGACCATGTGACTCCATGTTGGTGCACATGCACACATCTATGCCTGTATGTGTACTTTAATGTATCTGTTTACGTGCGTTTCTTTGCATGCATATCTGTGTCAACGTGTGTGCATATCTGTGCCGGTGTGTGCATGCATGTCTATCTATCAGATGTGCAACAGGTGAGGCGTGGCAGGAGATCATGCTGGCATGCTATCTCAATATGCCGTGTGAGAAAGGATCGACCAATGAGAACAACTTGGCCCACGAGGACTGTGGCAGCCAGTTCGCCATCATTTACTTTGTCAGCTTCTACATGCTCTGTGCCTTCCTGGTGAGTACAGAGAGGAGGAGCTTTAATGCTCCCCTATAAACACTTTGAAAGATAGGATTTGATAAGATTGCAGTTATCACCAGGGTTGGGAGGGTTACTTTAAAAATGTAATCCGTTATAACCTGTAGTTTTAACACTTTTCGTGACTTTAGGATTACCTCAACATCAAACGCAATGCAAATAAACAGAAGAGAAAGAAATATGAAGTTTTTTAGTGTGTTATGTAAGACAACAGAACAATGTGAACTTATATTTAGGATACAAAATGTGTCCTCTTAAATTTAGGCTAGATCTACAGAATAGTAGCGCTTACAAAAAGCATTTTCATTTGAATAAATGAGGTGTCCACCTAGTGCATTAAATACAGATGTATAATAAAAGAAGAATGAAAGTAGCCTAAAGGAAAACCAAAAAGAGAATTCAGGCAGTACGTCTACCTTTAATATATTGATCTTTGTTGATACATTTTAGTCCTGCAAGTAATCCCTGTTTTTCCAAAATGTACCAGTAATCTGATTACATATTTCTCTATGTAACTGTAAGGGAATACAGTTACTTATTCTTTGTATAATGATTACGTAATCACGTTACATGTAATGCGCTACTCCCCAAGCCTGGTTATCTCACATATTCCATTACAATAGGAAAAGGTGGAAACCCACTTCAAATGTTATTCAAATCTCAAAAAATAGTTTAGAGATCTTGATACTTTCTTTTAGTATTATGCAACATCTAGTAGCTAGTTAGCTTAGCACAAAGACTGGACAAAGGGACATGTTGTGGTTTTATTCTGCAGACTTTCTGTATTCTCTATGTGATGTTGTCCATTATAAGCTATCATCCCTTGGCTGTAGCCCAATATTTACAGAGAAGGAGACATTGATTTAACTTTTGGCAAGATGGAGAACTGGAGAATAAGTGCATCCACAAAAGAGAACTTTTAAACTTGAATTTGATGTTCAATAGATTGTCCATAATGGCTTGAAACATGTAGTGTTTAATCGCCTGTATATTGTTAGTGTAGTCTCTGACTGATTCCTGATTCTCCCCAGATCATCAACCTGTTTGTGGCCGTCATCATGGACAACTTTGATTACCTGACACGTGATTGGTCAATCCTGGGGCCACATCATCTTGACGAATTCAAGAGGATCTGGGCTGAATATGACCCAGAAGCTAAGTAAGTTTACAGCAAAATAACAATATATGTCATCAAAATAAATCTTCATTCATCTGCAGAGTCCCTATGATCTGTGTAACTTCTGTGCTGTTTCCAGGGGGAGGATAAAGCACCTGGACGTGGTGACTCTGCTGCGGAGAATCCAGCCTCCTCTGGGTTTTGGAAAGCTCTGTCCACATAGGGTGGCCTGCAAGGTAAACACACACACACTAGTGGCACTGCAAATCCTCACAGAATACAAATGAAATATCACAGCTTTTCAAATTCCAGTATTCCACATTTTGCTGTGATTTCTGGACAGAATTAAATCCTCTAAATTGTTCCAGGTGTGATAAATATACAGAAATGTGTCTTCAGGGTATAAATGTGAAGACATATTGACAGCTTTTAACACTTTCCACAGTGACTCAAATGGCACATTGACAACAGATCGTACAGAGAAAATAGATATCAAGACACCAACGTCTCTCTAGAGCAGGGGTGTCAAACTCAATTTCATTGCGGGCCACATTTGCATAAAGGTTGTACTCAAAGGGCCGGTTATAACTATATAAATATATAATATATATATAAAATAATGTATTATATTACATTATTGCCTCTGAATTGGATTATTATCGGATAGGATAACAACTTAGTAATTAACTACGTCTGAAAGCAGAAGTCCAGGGCAAATAATTGCAAGTCTCTTCAGTGCGCATGTCACAAAACGAGATGCATTGTGGGACATGTAGTTTATGGGCAACCTGCTTCTGTAAAGTGGAATGTAACCGTATAATAAACATATTATATCTTTGCAAGCTCTTGCGGGGCCACATAAAATGAAGTCGCGGGCCGGATTTGGCCCCCGGGCCTTGAGTTTGAGACCCCTGCTCTAGAGGATTAAATGAACAGTGAGCATAGTGTCAAACCACTGTCTGCTCATTTAAACACACTGTCAGCTGCCAGTATCTATTTTGGAAATGTGTATGTTTTAATTTAAAATGTTGATGTAACAAAATGTTCTCTCTGGTGTAGCGTCTGGTGTCGATGAACATGCCTCTGAACAGCGATGGAACCGTCATGTTTAACGCCACACTGTTTGCTCTGGTCAGAACCGCACTCAGGATCAAGACGGATGGTAACAGACACACACAAACAAACACGAAATACACACACACACACACACACACTGGTGGGCAAATCGGCCCATGGAAATGTATTACCATCTTTCCCAGTCCTAGTCTTTTCTTTTTTTTTATGTATACTGTTCGTGCGTATGCAGGTAACCTGGAGCAAGCCAACGAGGAGCTGAGGGCGATAGTGAAGAAGATCTGGAAGAGAACCAGCATGAAGCTCTTGGATCAAGTAGTGCCTCCTGCTGGAGGTTTGTATCCTCTGCAACAATAAACACAAATATAGAACATTAGAGCACTTCAAGATCTACCAACAGGGATTGGATTTTCCTTTATTATTACTTTGCCTAAAGCAGTTGCAGCAACAGTTGAAAAATGATCCTATTTATTATATTTTAATTTCTTGCAGATGATGAGGTAACAGTCGGGAAGTTCTACGCCACCTTCCTCATCCAGGAATATTTCCGCAAGTTTAAGAAGAGGAAAGAACAAGGGCTGGTGACCAAGGTGGCCCCCAAAACAGCGCTTTCTCTGCAGGTACACACACATGCAGAGGTTTTCCTTTAATCATGAAGCTCTATACATTTGTTGCATTGTGAGGAAAGTCAGAAGAGGGCAGTAGATTTTTCAAATTGTGACTTTGATGGATCCCAAAATAATCAAAGAAATGCAAGGTGATATTTTGCACAGCAAAATAGAAAGAAAAGAATAGGTTTGTTTGAGTGTTTCGACCTCTAAATAAACATGTCCTTCACATTGTTATTCTATTAAAGTGCAACGCTTATGTGTTGGTCTTTGTGTAGGCGGGCCTGCGGACATTACATGACATCGGTCCAGAGATTCGGAGGGCCATCTCCGGAGACCTGACCGTGGAGGAGGAGCTGGATAAAGGCATGAAGGAGCCTGTGTCTGCTGCATCCGAGGATGATATCTTCAGGGTAAAGGTTGGATACACACACCCTCACACACTCTCCAGAGAGAGAGCCAGAGAGAGAGAGAACGTCGGCTTCCAGCATATACACCGACATGCTTGCATTTGCTCATAGGTTCACACCGACATTTAATAAGCCCCGTCCTCCACCACATACCGCTTGACTTCCATTCACTTAATTTGATTTAGATAATTGGTCGTTTGCCTTTAAAAAATAAATAAAGCACATCCATTTACGGCAAATTGCAAAATAAGAACAACAGTTAATCACTGTAACTGAGAGACTCAGACAAAACTGCACATACACACACACACACACACACACACACACACACAAACACACTTGTTCGCTCAAGGGTGAGTAATGCTCGTGTTCAGCCTCCATTGTATATATATATATATATATATATAACTGCCTCATTAATGCACATCGTTTTGCATTCTGCTGCATTTTGTCACTTTGGCATACAGTAGGTGACACAAATGGACTGATATACTGTAGCTCAGGGGTGCCCACACTTTTTCAGCTTGGGAGCTACTTTTAAAATGACCAAGCCCAAAAGATCTACCTACAGGGCCGCCGCTGCCCAATCTGTGTCGCGAGCGCGGGGGGGGGGACTAAACGGCAGATAAACGATGACACTAATTGCGCCGCATAAGCGCATAATAGTGCGCCGCATTTGCGCTTCAGATGAGGAGGTGCCCCCTCATAACTACATGAACCCGTATGGCACAATACAACTCAGACTGGCTTACCTGTACGTCAATCAAGTGGCAAATGCCATAGTAAGGATGGATGATAGGCTAACTTTAAAAAACTTTTTTTTTCTTTTTTTTCAATGCCATGCGATCTACCCACACTACCTTTGCGATCGACGTATTGGGCACCCCTGCTGTAGCTTGTATAATAATGTTTAACAATCTAATTTATCTCATTATCATTTTACTTCAACACATTGCTGATAAAGGCTCTGCTTGGTTTGTGACTTGAGGCCTTTGCTTGGCTTTTCCATCTTGGCTGAGTAGTTTTGTTGCTGCCAGCGCTGAATGTGACAGTAGCACTTTTGACTGATTGTTTGAGTGTAGTAACATATTAAGATACTTTGAACTGAATTTGTATTTCCTGGCTTTTTCCACAATGCTCATCCTTCATCTTTTTATTAACCCCACAGCGATCAGGTGGGTTGTTCAGCAACCACGTCAACTACTACAACCAGAGCGATGGCCACGCTTCCTTCCCACAGTCCTTCACTACCCAGCGTCCCTTGCACATCAGCCAGAAGGGCTCCCCTTGTGAAGGCGAGAGCCCGTCCCACGAGAAGCTCATGGACTCGACTACTTTTACCCCTTCCTCCTACTCTTCCTCCGGTTCCAACGCCAACATCAACAATGCCAACAACACAAGCATGATCGGAGTGCCGCCCCAGGGCACCAGCCGATTCCCAAGCCCGTCAATAAGCACTGTGGACGGGCACACGGGGCAGCCGCTCACCCCCATCCTACTGCCAAGATCTGCATGGTGCTTTCCTCCAAAGAGGTGAGTGCAGGCCGGACATCCGGTTACATCAGAACCAGAATCAGAATTCCTTTAGTAGTCCAGCAGCGGGGACATTTACAGAGTTACAGCAAAGTGGCTTAGCAGGTAAAAAAAGGAAAGTAAGAGTAAGCTAACTTATTAAATATAGAGAAGCAAAACACACATTAGTAATAGAACAAATAAATAAAGACAAATAAGTACACAGCCATGGCTAACAATTAGTAGCCGGAAAAAAGTGACATTAGTATACAAATATATGTTTTTCACATAAAAGTGATAATTGCACAGTACAATTGCAAAGAAAAAACATTATCAAACTACTTTTTTTGAATTGGTGTCCTGGGAACTTATTTGCTTTCCTAATATTTGTGATTCTGAACTAGGGATTTATCATTAATTATTGCCTGAACACCATCACACCATCACACTTTGTAGTTAGCCATGAAGATAATAAACAACATGACATATCAGTACTGACATAAATGATTATTCTATTTCCTTCACTTTCTTTTTCCCTTCCTCCCCTCTTTCCCTGTCTTTTGCGTCTGGTGACAAGCAGGACGTGTTTTTTTGACACCCTCATGCGGTATGTTGCCAGGGGACAAAGAGAGAAAGTAGTGGTGTGTGTGTGTGTGTGTGTGTGTGTGTGTGTGTGTGTGTGTGTGTGTGTGTGTGTGTGTGTGTGTGTGGTGTGTGTGTGTGTGTGTGTGTGTGTGTGTGTGTGTGGTGTGTGTGTGTGTGGTGTGTGTGTGTGTGTGTGTGTGTGTGTGTGTGTGTATGTTAGTCCCCCTAACTGCGTGTGAAAAAGTTTCATAGTGCGACATAAAATGGCCAACTGTGCTATAGTAAGACTTGCTATGCACATAATGCTTAAGTTGCTAAAGCTAACGCCAGGCTTTATGCTGCTACTGTACAATGTGCTACAAAGCCATGGATAGACTGTTTGCTGCTATTGGATGGCAGGTCTGGGTTAGACACAGTGTCTGCTTTCTTTCTATGTTTTGCTCTTTATGCCATACACTTTGCTCTAGATTTGTATGGCCTGTTGAAGATGATTTCCGGTATCCTAACCCCTCTGGCCCACTATTAGCACCAGCCTCAGGAAAACCTATATTTGTATCCTAATTGTGAGAAAGAGTAGGAGAAGAGCTGAAACGTTTACTTTAATTAAATGTATTACGTCAACAGCTTTCACATTACTGTATTAGGTTAGTTGAAAACAATAATATTAAGTTTAAATAACAAACATGAGGTTCAACTTAATATTATTGCTTTCAACTAACCTAATACAGTTATTTGAAATCTGTTGACATAAAGCATTTCGTTAGAGTCCACGTTTCAGTTGTTTCAATGTAGTTATTACCCCCTGAAGTAGTAGGGCTTTAGACCTATCTATTCTCTGATCTATTTTTTGTTCAAATAATGTTTTGAACCTAGGAGGACAGGATCATAGTTAATCAGAGAGAGGGTTCATCTCATTCCCTTTCCATGTGTTCAGAAAGTTAGTTATTTATACTTGCTACAATAAAGGCAAAGCAAAGTATGACCTTTGCAATGCTTTCTGGCCTTGATGAAGGGTAGCCTCGATGCAGCTGCCAAGTGGAGTGAACTGGATCAAAGTCATTACGAACAGTCTTACTCAGGTTGTTACCTAGTGCTGTTCTAACCCAGAACTTGCTGACGAGCAGCTTCATTAGCTCTGAATTGAAGGGACATCTTGACATTTAGATGTTATCATTATATTTCTTCACTGGGTAATCCTGAAGAGAAGAGATTTGCTTAAAAATAAAAAAGGTAATTAGCATGTTTTTATTTGTAACAAAACAGATGGTTTGGAGTTGCTTTGACTTACTGTAACACTAAAGCAAACTATGGGGTTACACGTCAGATGTCAGGATGTCTCCTCCAAGCTTAAGTCTGGAGTATGAAACATATGTGGACGGATAGCGTGGCAAGACATCTTTGAATACAAAAATAACACCATTTAAAGTAGTACATGTTATATGCACAGTTTAGATTAAGAATGTGTCAAGGAAATAAGAACAGCATTTCAGGCTTCTTCTGTCTGCTAACAACGTTTTTCCCAGGCCGATGGAGGTGGAAGAAGTACTCAGATCTTGTACTTAAATCAAAGTAGAAGTACCAGAGTGTAGGAAGTGTTACAAGTAAAAGTTCTGCAATACAAATGTTACTCAGGTAAAAGGTATTGGCATCAAAATATAGTTAAAGTAGCTAAAGTAAAAGTAGTCATTGTGCAGATTGGTCCATTTCAGAATAATATATATATGTGTTTTATAATGATTGATAATTAAATGTAGAGGAGTAAAAGTACACTATTTAACTCTGGATTGTAGCAAAGTAGAAGTAGCAACAATTGAAGTACAAGTACCTTAAAATTGTACTTAAGTACAGTACTTGAGTACATTACTTACTTCCTTACTTACTTTACACCACTCATTAGAAAATAAAGCATCTGATTCCAGGACTTTATTTGCCTTCATTTGAAATGATGAGAACAGCTTCCATTGAAACACATTGAACAAGCCAAAGTGCTGTCTTTCCTTATCTTTGTTTTGAAAGATGTCTGCACCTTAGTCATGCTATCAGATGTCATATTCCAGTTGATGCTTTTACACTTTTGCTTTAACAATACAATAGTTATTATTCCCACCTGCTTCTCCTCCTTATTTTTCTCTAGCTTTTTCTTTTTCTTCTCCTCCCTTCTCCTCTTTCCTTCTCCTACATGCCTCAGTGGGTTTCTCAGTCTCTCCTCCTAAGCTCCTCTCTGAGCTTTTTTGCTAATCAGCTGCTTCTTTTTTTTCTGTGTGTTTACGTTTACATCTGTCCGCCTATGTGTTTACCTGTTTTTCCATCTGTGGTCGGTGTTTTGTTCATTTTGTTGGTTTGTTTTGGTTGTGTGCTTGTTTGTTTGCTGGCAGCTCGGAGTCCACGGACAGCCGCCTGCCGATCATCCGACGAGGCGACGGGTCGACGGAGGAGGCGTACGACGAGAGCTACGGAGACAACAGGAAGTACCTAGAGGACGACCACTCGCTCTCCTCTGACATGTACAGACCACGCCAGTTTCATCTCTACATTTCATGAGTTTCAGGGTCTGTCTCTAACTGCTCTCTGTGTGTCTGTGTGCTCAGGCTGGTATATCAGGATGAGACATGTAAGCAGTTGACTCCAATGGAGGAAGGAGAGGAGGGGGAAGACAGAAGAGGAGGAGGAGGAGGGTGGCAGTCTCCCAGGAGAGTCTTCCTCTGCCCCACTTCTCTAGGTGAGTACACATTGGTACAACTAGTCTATTCTTGTTCATACAATGTACAAATGTTTACATGCTGAGTGTTTGCACATTTGTTGTGTGTGTCAGGGCGGAGATCGTCTTTCCATCTGGAGTGTCTGAGGAGACATTCAAGGCCAGACGTCTCCCAGAAGACTTCTGTACCCTTACACCTTGTACATCATCAGGTAGAAAAAGTTGGCCAATGATACTCTCACAAATAAACAAACTGTAAATGTGAACTAGGTCCTGCAGACTCCTCTCCTCTGACCCTCTGCTCTGTCCTCCTCCAGGCTCTGGCAGTGGCAGGACTGAGCCCTCTGCTCAGAAGGAGTCACTCCCCCACCCTCTTCAGTCGGCTGTGCTCCACGCCTCCAGCCAGTCCCACAGGTACACTCAATCCTGTGCTCACACTAAAAGCAAAACAGCTGTTTTTCAAACAGAAATGTGGCTTTGCATCAGCCAGCACACTTACCCTTTTTTTGAATGATAAAAAAACGTATTGTTTTTGATGAGATTGGTTTGTTCTCTTGATGGTTGCTGCTCTGTCGTTGTCTCTAGCCACTGGCAGTGACCCCTCCTACCGACGAGTGCCTTCTCTGAGGCTGGAGGGCACGAGCTCCCATGAGAAGCTCAACACCAGCCTGCCATCTGTCAACTGTGGGCCTTGGTAGGATTATGCACCTTGAAAATAACTGTTACAAATAACACTGTCATTTCCCAAGAGGCAATCAGGAGGATTCTTATCATACTCTAATAAACAGATGTATTTCTCTTAGGTACAACGACAGTAATGGGAACAGCCGAGGGCCAAGTCCTAGCCCCAACCCCAGTGTGTCCAATCAGAGACCACCGCGGCCAGTGTCGCTCACAGTGCCCTCGCTACTGGGAAAAGACTCCAGCTCCCTGTGTCACGGCAGCGCAGGCAGTCTGGTGGAGGCGGTGAGTGTGTGTGATTTGGACCGCTCCAGAGGGCTAAATTACACAGATTTATTTATTGAATTATACCTCTTTGGAACTCAGAAACGCTGTCAAAAAAGAAAATCATAGAGGTTTAGAGATCAAAATTGTAAATGATAGAATCATGATACATATGAGGGGTCCCATAAGTTATTTCTTTACTTCTTAAATTAGAACAAGCAATGTGTTTAATACTTATGGATAACCATTAGCTGTAGTCGTATCCGTTGCATATTTTTCCCACTACGGTACATTAAAGTTCGATTTTCTCTCCCACTCCATCCATTCCATTTCTCTCTATCTCCCTCTCCCCTCCACAGGTGCTAATATCAGAGGGTTTGGGTCAGTTCGCCCAGGACCCGTCTTTCATCGAGGTGACTAAAGCCGAGCTGGCGGACGCATGCGACATGACCATCGAGGAGATGGAGCAGGCGGCCAACAACATTCTCAACGGTAACACCGCGGCCAACGTCACATCCAGCACCTCCTCCACCTCCCAGCACAGCCCCAGTGGCAACCTCCTCCCCTTCCACACAGCAGCAGCACCGCACAGGGACCGAGCGCTCAGCGAGGGCGGGGGGGAGGCCGGGGGGAGCAGAGGCTCCATCCATGGGCCGTCCTCAGAGGAGGAGAGGCAGGAGCTGCTAGCAGGTGTGAGGGGACAAGAAGAGGAGGAGGAAGAGGCAGAAGGGACGGAGGAGGGGCAGCACAGAAGCTCGGTTGTGATTGGAGGAGCGCGGCAGAGGAACAGCGGGCTGTTGGAAGACGAGGATATGGAGTGTGTGACGAGTTTGTAGGAATAGTGAAGGGTTCGATTGGCCAACTGGCCCCTCTGACATCATCAGAGACTGACGCCTGTCAGTGCTGGGTAACAGCGCCGAGGCTGGCTCTGTCTGTCCCCCCCCACACACTCACACACTGTCTGCCTCTCTGCCAGACCAACTGCTCTGGACAATGGCGGCCAGTGACGCAACCTTAAACACCGGGTTATGACTCTGTTAGTCTGTATATGTGTGAGTGTTTGTAGTCAAGTATACCACACTATACTCTATACTATCTGAGTGTATGCTTGTGTGTGTGTGTGTGTGTGTGTGTGTGTGAGATCTATGATTTTCTCTATTTGTACGTAAGTGCGTGTGTTCTCCACACGTGTCTGAGTGTGTCTCTAAAGTGCCTCACAGTTTTATCATGTCCTCAAAGTGTGAAAAGAAGATGAGTAAAGAAAAGCAGAAAAGGTCAGGGGAAAGTAGGGATGGGGAAAGGTAGAAAGGAAACAACAGAAGCAGGAAGTACTTGTATTGACTTCCTGAAGTCAACATAGTGTGGTAATTGTTTTCATTTCCTCTGCCTACTTTGGTGTTGTGTAATTGTTGTTTGTCTGGCCGCCATGAAGCCAGGTAGGGGACAGCAGACCAGCCTGTGAGGGGGTCAGTTAAGAATTTAAATCTGACCGCACCCACCACTCGTGGTCAAAGGTCAACTCCTCCTTCTCGGTTCACTGATGATGAAGCGCTGTATTGAGTAAACAGGGGCGAGGAAAACCCTGTTTGAAATCGAATTTCTCTTCCTCTTCCAAAGCTAAGGAACCTTGGAGCACAGCCCTGCCAGCCTGGGGGGGGATTAAGGTGACACACCGCCCCCTGCCAAGGGGGGAAGGATTTGAGGGATGGACCAACAGCCACAACAAAGCTTCTGTTAGGCGCCACGGGCAGAGCGACACACTCTGGCCAACAGGAAGCTAGCCAGCCCTTTCACCCGCTGGTCAGTAAGATGTCAGCAGGAGAAAAACTCACCTTGATCTGGCTCCACCTCCTCCGCCACTTTTCTTGTTTGGCCACGCCTACTTCCTGCCTCAAACAGGAAATGGGAGGAGCATTTGGTGGCTAAGCAGACACAGCGAGCCCCCTTTTCTGCCTCATACCTCACCGCTCCTCACTCCTCCCTCTCTCCTTCCTCACTCCTCTTTGGATACTCTACCATTCCTCTCGCTCCTACGCCGGGATTTTGCTTTTTTTCACCCTGGGGAGGTGAGTGAGAACACGGCAACAGAGATGGAGGGTTGAGAGAGCTGGAGTGACCGATTGAAAGAAAACTGACTCTGGGCATGGATCTACAGAGGATCTGTCCATCAATCAACCTCACTTCCTTATCCGAGACCCTCCTCTTCCTCTCTGCGTGGAATCCTATTGGATTTGCTGCCACACACTCTCCCTACAGAAACGCCCACTATGTATTTAACAGTTGAATATTGTGCAAAACTGGCTAGCCATGACTATTTTGTTTTAAATTCATGATGTTATTGGTTTAATTTATCCTTGATTTGTTTGCACAATCGGGGTGCTGGTCTTATAAATGTATTTTTGCTTGGTTTATTTTAGGAGAATTTTAAGAGGTTTTAAGTATTGAAGCAGGGCGTAGTGTTTGCGTGCGAGTGTATAACTATATTTGTGAGTGCGGGTGTGTGTCTGCGTTTTAGTACAGAATGTATGTACGTATGAATGTGTGAGATAGCGTGTGTATCTACAAGGGGGGTCTTTCTCTCTAAAAGTATGCACCTTTTACAGATTGTATCTATTTATTTATTTATTTTTCCCAGAAGAGAAAAAAATGTGTGTTAGGATATGCGTTTCTTTCTGTGCGTGCCTGTGTCCGAGCGGTTACTTATGTATTCTAAAAAGCTGCTTTTAAGCCTAGACAGTAAATTAAGGTAGCATTACAAGTATGGTATTCTGTGAGGGTGTGTGGGTGTGTGTATGTGTGTGTGTGTGTGTGTGTGAGTGAGTGATAATGGGCCTCCTTAACACAGGGTTACCATGGACAGGCATGCTTCCAAAGCTTTGTGATTTCTTTAGCACGGTTTTTACTTTTTCGCCAAGCTGCACAGCCACTCTATCGTTGAAAATGACTCATTCAAAAACGTTTCTTTATGTCTGTGCTTAGAGGCGGTCTCCAGCAGGGTGGGAGGGACGGGACGGTTCAGTTTACAGTGGTAATGAATCTGGGCATTGCAGCTTGGCTAAAAGGGAACAGGCCTTTTGGCACTTGCTGCTGTTCTTCTTTATGGTGGATGGTTGCTCTGAATGGTAGAAGCACCACATTCACACTGCCACAGGGACGCCTCATTATGAAGTGGAGGGGGGGGGGGGTGACACCCTGATCGCTCGACTGTAACACACCATTATCACATGATCTCCTCATTTCACCGTAGTTTAAACTCCAAATGAACTATTAGGGCTGGTTTACAGATGCTGCAAGACTTCTGAAACACATCTCTTTCTGTCTGCTCATGTCACAAAGCATTATGATTTAGTCTTATTGTCAGAAATAAAACAGCTTCCTTTTTGTACCCTGACAGCTCATTTACTGTCAGTTGATAAGATGTGATAATTGTTGGGTTAACGTGCTAAATGATTGGATCAGAAAACTACTGTCAGCTTGGAGAGACGTTTTGTCCTGGATTATCCCCTGGTGCGATTTTTGTGTTTTCATTTTCTTCTAATGGCTTGTAGGTAGCATGCTGACAACTTTTGACTGACCTTTCTCACTTATAGTTTCACATGAGATAAGGAATGACCACGGTACACAGTTCTGGACTTCAGTTCACAGGCCACAGGTCTCACCTTGGTAATGTCTCCAAAAAGAAACATTCCTTATGTCACACACATCCTTAGTGCCAACCGTCACATTTATTAAACAACATGAAGGTATTACAAACTGAAAATAATGAAGTTAATTTCTCTGAAATGTTATATTACAAGTTATACTATAGTCACTGAAATGTTGGAAACACTATTGATGTCACCACCACAATCCAGATGTCAGCTGGACACTAAGGTAGTATTCAAAGTCATGCAGATACACCTCAGAGAGTAAGAAAGGCAACATTATCTTGAGTTAAAAACTGTACTTTTCAACTGAAATTCAATTGTCTTATAAGATCTAAAGGAAATCAAATATTTTGCGATATATTATCTCTAAAAATCTCACTTAATCCCAGAGACATTGTCACTTGTCAATTTATTACCATTTGTTTTCTCTTTCATTTGCCGTTGAGGACTCATTCCTACATGTTGAGCAAAGCAGCTTATGGCAGGGAAGGGTACGTATGAACACACTGCCATACACTGCATCCTGTGCCAGTAACAGACTATATTATGCAAACTAAATGTGAATGTTGGACGTGTTCTTAGTGGCAGTGCTATTGTTGTTTTGTGGTTCGGACCATACTGCAAACCCTGAGGAAGTCTTTGTTGTCAAAGGAATACCCCCCTGACATTTACTCTGATTTCTATTTTCCTTTCCTCCTTTAAAAAACATCTCCAGTATTTCTGTCTTCTGTGACTCGGAAATCACCACCTCATGGGAATAGTACTTTTATTCAAATAGCTTGGTACCATAAGCTCACATCCGTTTCAGTATGAGCTGCTTTTAGTCAAACAAACGTCTGAAAGTTAGAAAAGCAGGTCAAGCTTGTGTGTGCAGGGAAGCATCTGTGTTTAGCATTCTAACTTTAAAGATACAAATAAATCACACTTTGTGTTTTGGTTTTTGATTACACACTTTGTCGGATCAGCCCTAGTAAAGTTGAATTATCAATTGAAAAGATATAATTAGTAGTCATCCTGGTTATTCATGCCGATTGACTCGATATACCTAATATCTATTAGGTCCAAATCCTCAATACTTCTAAATGTAACCAGCAGACACCTGTAGAGTAAGGTAGCACTGTGTGTGCGAGCTGCTACAGAGAACTGTGCTTCCATCTGCCAGTTCAACAGCTGTCAACGTGAAGGCAGTTATGCTAAGAGTATTGAATGACGATAGTATGAATCAATAATGATCAGAACCAGTGAAAGATAGGATGGGAGGATTTACATTTGTATGGCTTTACATAGTTATTCGTCACAATCATAAATGCCTTGAGGATTAAAGAACATAGATAATTGATGCGTGCACTCAGAAACTACATTCACTTCAAATTCTTTACTTTTGTGTTCCTAGTAAAAGTCCACTTGCATATTATAGACACATTTAGAGTGCGCCTGCATATCAGAAGTGGGCTGTGATGCGTGTGTTTGAAGGCTGTTAGAGTTCACTGGAGGCCTGTGGTGTGGAGTGTTCATGTTTCCTTTAGGTCAGGGTGAGTTGTGCTGCAGTGTACGGATGAGTGGGTGTAATCCTGCATCCCACAAGATATGCAATAACTATGACTGTACACAAGGTTCCCCAAGTCAAATACTTTTGAAAGTTCAAAAAATATATATCATGACGATGCATTTTGAAGTAAACTCAGTGGTTTCCATGCCAGGGAACGCTCACATACTTGAAATCAGGTACAGTGCCGTTTAGTAAAGGAGTATTTGGATCTGCAGTCTAAAGTGTGTATTGAGTCATGGAGGGGAAGTTGTGTTTGCTCTTTACTCCCAGAATGCAAGCTGATATTTTAATGATTGTGCATCAAAAAGCACTAACTTCTCCTCCAGGACTCAATATGTGTTTGACTGCATCGTCTTATATTGTTTTAGTTTTGAAATGCAGCTACCATCAGTATTGCATGAGGTGGTTTTGCAGTTGTTTTGATCTGATCAGGTTAAGTATCATATCACATTAAGACAGCTATTTCTATCTAGTGTACATAGATTTAAAGTCAGTATTATTCTATATAAACACCAGACTGTGGTCAGCAGTGGAGGAAGGTGATTTTGCATATCTTGTGTCTTATGGGCTCATTTTCTGGCTCTTATCCCCCAGAATGCTCATGATTGATGATTGTGGAAAGTTGAGAGAAAAAGCAACCTGCAGTATTTTTACCCCCCCCCACACACACTTTAGACAGTTGTCACTAACTCTTTGCTTATGTGTTGTCTCTGTCTTTGACTCATATCTGTTCCTTGTCTTCAGAGGATGGACCAGTGGGAATGATGTGTACAAAATGGACCAAAATACCCCAAATGATTCGTTTTTTACAAAACACTTTGACTGATTGAAACCAAGGCTCAGGACAGACGGACAGAGCACAGACACACTTACTGCTTACTGGCTGTATTTAAGTGAACCATGTACATGAAAACATGAGCTTAAAATCCACAGGATAAACGTATGCTGTGTTCTGATTCCATACCACACAATCTAAGGCATGTCAAAACACATAGGTGATCTGGATTAAGCCCCAAGTATAGGTCATGGTCCAAATACCTTGAATACTAATTCAACAAATCAAATGTTACTACATCTTTGAAACTGCATCTTGACAGTTAAGAAACTAATTATATTCAATTCAAAACCTTTATTTATCCAGGCATATACAGAATGTTGCTTTGTGTCGTACCAATGACTTTAACACTTTGGACAAAAGTCATTTTAAAGTCACGGTTTCACATTTGACAGCGCAGCATATTGAAGTGTGCTGATGTATTGTGAACACACTGCAAACACCTACTTCAAAGATTGATATCTAGTCATAATGTATACAAAATAGTGTGTATTGTGGAATTTGAACACGGCACAAGTTTGTAGTCTGCCACGTTTTGAACAGCTGATTGTGTGTGTAATTAGCAGGGAAAGCACAGGTGACATTAATAACCTTAATTCCCACTCTGTGCCAGTTGCTGTAGATCTGGAACCGCTGAAGGGCCATTATTATTGATATTAGTTAGATGTGTGTTTTATTGAGAGCTCTGCCATGAAGAGTGCAAGGAAGGCTGGGAAGAGAATAAAGAGTGACAATCTGTTGATGACAATAGGAGGCAGGGTGTTTGGTCTGAGTGGGAATGTGAGATGGAGAGTGTTTTTAGGGATTGTTGATCGTTTTATTCCATGTTTGAATCGCGGGGTTGTCTAGGTTCGTACATGGAGGATTATATATCAAGTGATGTTAAATGTGCATGGGTTTCTCTCTGGGGATATCAAGTATTGGTCCAATGTGAATGATAGTACCTTGTGTCTCACCACTAGCCAATGATTGTATATTTTTATACAACATATACCATATTATAGCAAGATATATATGAATATATAATATTTAATCACCAGAATGTTGAAGTAAAGGGCAGGACACTTATTTGAGAATGTAGTTTGTGAAATGCTGGTTCTAACAATGTGTTACAAAGGCCTACTGACGGAGGGAAACAGTGTTTGTTGGGCTTTTAGGTCACTTCACAACATACGATGAGGCTCTTCATTCCATCAAATATGACTCAATTGAAATATCATCAGCTGCATAACACAAAAACCAAATGACAAAATGACCTTCAGGTGAGACCCCTGAAAACCATTACCAGTGCTGTGACTCCAAAAGAGGCGAATTGTGCAGATTCAGAAGACGAAATCCAACATGCTTTTGTTTTGTTCTTTGGTAACGTGAAAACACCAGCAGCCTGTCAGCACAGTCAGAGTCTGGACGTTTCCTTCTGTAGCGCCGGGACGCCGGTCTCTCTTCACTAGTCCTGCAAACACTGTACACAAATGCATTATGAAAGCTATCAAAGACATCAAACCAAAAAATGCACCGGTCGAAGGACTAGGTCTCTCTATGCTTTGAGCCATGTCAATCATGTAGCTTCTATTCTCTTCTTCCAAAAACAATTAGAGAGCTTGAACTCTATATGAGTAGAAACTCTCATGTAGTGCAGACAGGGGAGGAATCAGTCCAGCTGCTGAGCAACCTAAGGAGTATGTGGCTTCATGCAGCAATGGGACAACGTTTAGTTTGGAAGAGTACATTGTATGAGATATTTTATGGCATATTTGATCCAAAAATGTTGAATTGATCATCAGTTAAAAAAGATGATTATGTGGGAAAGCTGCTGTACATGACAGAATACATTCATCAGTATCAGGAGAAGACTTCATCCAACATGCTTTAACAAAACGTAGTATTTTCCACAGTTAAAAAGGTATTATAGTTGTGTATTTATCATTACCTGCACACAGACGTGTCACTATTACCCACAGAGTGTGAGTGTTCTTGTGAACCGAAGTGTTTGTTGATCACTGTTTGATCCTGACACAGATATTTTAAGAGGACTATTTTGAATATAGATTTTATTTCCCTTTAAAATGCAGAGTATCCTGCTGTCGTAGTATTCTAAATACATCTCAATCTTGAATTCCCTTTTCTGGAGAAACATCCTCTCCCAGTTTTCTCTTGTACAGATTTTGGTTTGGCATATTGATGATGGAATATGGAACTGAAAGCTATAGAAGGAATATATATTATGAAATACACGTTTTTATTGCAGGTATCTTCTATTTTGGATATTATATATATATAAATATATCTAAATGATATGATAGTATATGATTGTTTGGAGTTGGACTTTGCAGAGGATCAAAACAAATATTGTTCTTTGAGGGAAAATGCCCAAATCAGTTCCAGATGTGCCGCAGTGTTAAACTCTCCACATGCTGGCAGTATTGATATAGGAGCCAGATGTTTGGGTTCACTGTATGTGAGTGTTAGCCTCGTATGTGTGTTGCCAATGCAGGAGTTAGGGATTACATTGCATGATGGATTCATTGTCAAACTTGATTAATAATCAAGAAATGTGGCATCAAGAAGGAGACTATGTTCATTATTTCTTCATTAATCCCATTCAAAGAACATTATTCATTACAAGTTATTGAAAGGACTTTGGGGGTCAAATGTATTCAGGTGTTAAAACCTTAACCAGTATTGAAAGAATCTCAAAGAACTCTGGCTCATACTGTAGTCCCACTTATAGGCACATGTAAAGTCTGCTATAGTGTTGTTCATGGTGGTTCGGAACAGAAATGTTATTTATTTGCTTCCCTCTTCCTGTTTCTGGGGCTGATGAGCCCTAACATCAACCAAATAGATTTGTTTGCCCAACAGATTTAGAAATAATGATAGCTCTATTTACCTTTGTGTAGCAGCACACTATGAGAACATTCTGTTGGAGGGACTTGAATCACTCATTGATACTCTTTTTTGTATTCACACACAAAGCTCCTTAACATTGCACCACGAATGATATCATATCTTGAATGTAGGACGCAGTGATGCTCATACTGGTGTACTAGCATTTACTAACACATTTTGTATTTAAAAGTTGGACTACTGGTTTATGTATGGATGTATGTCCTTTGTTAGCAGCCCTGAATAAAATAAAATGTTACCAACAATCTCAGCTTTGAACTTAAAAGTCAGATTTTAACTCTACGCTGACACATCTCCCCAAACTTTACTCCAAGTGGTTCTGTCTTGCTGAGAAAGCCCATTTGACCCCAGATAGTTAGAACCAACAGGTATGCCTTTGTGTAAATGCATCTTTAACTAAAGCGACCAATCAGAGAGCAGTGTCCTGTAGTGTTCTTAGTTATTTCTTGCTGGTGTGGAAACGCCTCTTTAACAGCATGCAGGCGTTAACTAAACACTTTGAACCCAGGCAGGTGATGGTTCACGGAACCATCACCTACGCAGGGGATCCACAGATCCTCACAGCAGGGTCTCTGTCCCTTATTCCCTGGGTTATCGCCATGGCTACGTGGCTCCGTCCTCCACTGGTCAGCAGTGTTTTATGATCTTGTTCTTGTCTTAGTTCATGCAAAGTGTTAAAGGGCCTTGGACAGGATGAGCTGATTGTTTCTGTTGTGCTGTCAGAGAGAAGTCTGTTATTATTTGTCTGAGGTGTTCACACAGAGACCAATTTGTTGTAATATTATTAGTGACGCTACTGTTAAATGTAGTATTTAATAACGGCACTATTTATGGTCAGAAAATGAACCAGAGTGTGTTCTTGTACTTGCGGTAGCTTTGGAGGCAGGTGGTTATTTTGTAACTGTTCTTTAACATAAGCCACTCCCCCTCCACTACGAGGGATTTCATTGGTTCTGAGGTTGCTAAGTGACACTGGCCCAACATCACTTGGTTCCCTCAGTAACCATTTGTCTCCTAGGTGATGACTGCATGGTCTCACAGCTGACACTCCCTTTGTTCTTCTTCTGCTTCTTTCTTTGTTCTGAAGGAGAGTTCTTGATTATTATTTTTTCCTTCATTCACTTCATTTTACATTTTAGAAAGGGAAAGAATACAAATGAAATAAATCAGAATATTAATTCAATCACTTTTCTACTCCTATTTTCAATAAAAAGTTAAATGAAAAACCAAACAAAAAGTTGATTTGTAAATAAGTAATGTACAGTTTGTATCTGTAACTTGTCAGTCTGTCATTGGTGACAGAGTCTGTCTTGCTTATAACGCACGCTACCAGTAAATAAAAAAAGGAAAAAGTATATTTAGACTGTATGGTCCCTTGAAAGCAAGTTTTAAATTAATATCTGATGTATATCCTGTAACATTGCATTTTTATCTGAGGAATGATGTTATTAAAAAATTGCAAATAAATTGCATTTCCTACAGCTGTGTTTTCCACTTCCCTAACACTGTGTTTCAGGTCTTCTTCATCATAATGTGTCTGGCAGAACAATGCTGATACTCAACTGCCACGGAACCATTGGATTTTCAGCTAATAAATCATATTTTTCTATTAAATGTGATCCACATAAGATTTAAAAATAATCATATTTACTGTGCATAATCACAGCTTTACTAATACATTCAGCTGTGTGTGGGTATTAACATTTATTTTGCTCAGTTAAGTGTGATTTATGATTCTCAGGCGCAGTGGGATGCAGAAAAACAACATCAGTTTTGGTAATGGTTAACGGCACAAGTTAGATTAAAAAACAAAACATTTGTAACTGCAAGTAATGAAGAAACAAAGGCAGAGTAATTACATATACTTTACTTTCCAACTGTTACTGATTAAACAATTCAAATGTTTATGATAAAGTTGATTTTGACTGTGATGACTACATTCTGCTATCACGTGTCAGGTTTGTGGGTTCCCAGGTGTCTCTTCAGGTTCCCCTGCTGGGAGAACTCTCGCTCACAGCTGGGACACTTGAAAGGTTTCAGCCCGGTGTGGCTGAGCTTGTGTCTCTTCAGGCAGTTCAGAGTGAGGAAGCGCTTGGGGCACTCGGAGCAGAGGTAGGGGCGCTCCCCAGTGTGCGAGCGTGTGTGCACGTTCAGGTGGCTCTTGGTGGAGAAGCCCTTCCCGCAGTGGGTGCAGGTGTAGGGCATCTCGCCCGTGTGGGAGCGGGTGTGCAGCATTAGCTCCCCGGAGGACAGGAAGCACTTCCCACATGTGGTGCACAGGAAGTTCTTCTCCCCTCGGTGCATCTGCATGTGTCTGGTGATCCCCGTCTTGCTGAAGCCCTTCCCACAGACGGTGCACAGGTTGGAGGGGCCTTCATGCAGCCGCTGGTGCTGCTTCAAAGAGTAGCTGCACAGGAAGCTCTTGTTGCACTGGCTGCAGGAGAAGACCCGCCCCTTCCTGTGGAGCCTCTGGTGCTGGTAGTACCCCGAGGTGCTGATGAAGCCCTTCTCACACTGGATGCAGCAGTACGCAAAGCTGTGGAGCTTCATGTGAGTCTTCAGTTGATTGGGAAGTTCAAAGACCTTTTCACACTTCAGGCACTTGGTTTCCTCCTCGGTGAACTTCTTGTTGACGGGTCTGGTGCTCAGGAAGCGTTTGTCTTCCACCGTGGGCTCTTTCCGTTTACGTCGCTCCTTGTTTTCTAAGTTGTTCTTCTTTGGCTTACATTCCCGCTTTTTATCAACTCCTCCTTTTGGTTTGAGTGTCCTCTTTTTCTCAGAGTTGACTTCTACTTTAGTTTTTTCACCGTTCAAGTCTGCACTTTTCTGCTGAGACTTTGCTCTGGCTTTCTTCACAAATAGTTTTTTCTGGGGGGGGGCTTTAATGGGGTGCCCACTCTGAATGTGCTCTTGGACCTTCCTCTTTAAGCAGTGGGTGAAAGAACACTGAGGGCAGGCGAAGAAACGGGACAGGGAACCTGAAAGCATGAAAGGAGCATGTTAGTAAAACAAGTGACTGATTTGAGAACAGTTCTGTCCTGCAGCTGGTCGTCTGACCTGATTCTCTTTTCGACAACCAATCGCCTGCAGTGACGGCTGAGCTTTGACCCAAGTCTTCTTCTAAACCTTCCAGTGTCAGGGTCTCTTCCTCATGGTCATAGTCCTCTTCCTCACTGTAAGCCTCAGACAGCCTCTCCTCCACAGCAGTGTGAGCAGGGAGGGCCAGAGAGGACAGAAGGATATCCTCTTCACTGCTGGAGGGAGCTGAGCACAGGAGAGGTTAACATGAGAGAGTCACTTAAAATATTCTAAATGAACATAAACAAGACTAATTGAAAGAAATTGTGCAAGATAGCAGGAAGGATACAAAAAAAGCCTGTTCAAAACATGGTCTTTTTACCCAGATTGAAACTCCTTAAAATACTGTTCCTATTATATTTCTGTTGAACTCACCAGAGCCCAGAGTCCCCATCTGTCTGTGATGGAGCAGCAGAGTGTTCAGGGCCAACGGGTTGGACAGATGCTGTCCAAATTCTTTGGACACAGATGTTGTTTCTGTGAGCCATGCTGCTGTCTGAGATAGAGAGAAGCAGGTGAAACAACACTGTACACACTTCAGAGCAAGAACAAGAGAGATCCAGGGGCATTGTAGTGGTTCAACAGCCACACACACACTACCTGCTGCAGGTCCGGGACGGGCAGCAGCTGCTCCAGCCGGGACAGGAAGTCAGACACCAGCTGCTGCAGCCTATGGTCGTAGTCAGAGCCGTAGTTCACAGGAAACACCTCCTGCAGAAACACCCAGCTGCTGTGAATGGTTGGTGGATCTCTAGATGTTATGTGATCAACATTCAATCTTTCTTGTGTCTTTTGTGATATTAAAGATATCTGGGTCCCATCCCTCCACTGTATGACTCACCTGGAAGAAGAACTCCTTTTCAAAAGGAACGTTTAAAAGGTTCTGCACCAGTGCGGCAAAGTTGGTGAAAGAGGTCTTCAGTATATCTCCACTGGCCTGAGACAAGTGGACAACAAGATTAGAAACAGGTATTTCAGATTTCTGAATGTATACGTTGGTCCATGTCTGTGTAATGAGCAGCTCTGGATTTTCTTTGAAGCCCACCATCTGATCGCTGGAGCTCAGCTCAGTGCTGCAGGCCTGGATCTGATCCAGGTGGCTCTGGATGGTCTGCAGGTGGGCCCCCCCATCACTCCGACATAGCTCCAGGACCAGCTGACCACAGGTGGGAGACATGTAACTCAAAACAGTGTTTTAGAATATACATGTAACTAATAAAACACATACTAACATTATCACTAATAAAACTACAAAACAAGGTCATGATAGCTTAACCTATAATAATGTATTGGTTGATTTATAATTTGTATTAATAATCTAAATCTGCAAAGCAACTTAATCTGTAAAATAAATGTACTTTAAGTAAATGCATTTCAATTGTTACTCAAGTAAAAGTACAAAATGACCAAACGTAAAAGTAGTCATTGTGCAGATTGGTCCATTTCAGAATAATATATATGATATGTTTTATAATGATTGATCATGAAAGTGTTCTCAAAGCTGGTAAAGGTGCAGCTAGTTTGAATGGCTTTGTATACTGCAGGGTAGCTTGTGAATGTACTCCAGATGGAACTATGTAGTGTGTGATGATTATATTTCACATCATTAATTGTAATAAAGTAGTGTACTTGAGTAAATGTCCTTAGTTACTTTCCACTACTGACTATGAAAGAGTGTAATATTAATATGAATGTATCTGAAGGGGGTTCAGAGCGGCTCACCCTGGCTCTCAGGCCCAGGAGCAGCCTCGCTCTCCGGCCGGGGCTCAGCAGCTCCGGGACGGTCTCTGTGGCCACACTGATGAAGTCCAGCAGTTGGTCGTACTGCAGAACACTGTGCTGCTGCACTATCTGCCACATGAAGGCAGACATGAGTCTCACTGGTGGGACGAGGAGGTGTAGTGAAGCCGGGGGGAGATGGGGGCCTGCGGGGAGGAGGCTCCATTACTGTTCATCTGCACATCATTCACAACTTCATATCTAAAGGTTTAGCTAACGTTAGCTTGTTAGCTATATTTGTATCTGTATTATTAGGTAGTCTGAATGGCTGCAAGTTCTATTACATAATTAGATAAATATTTGCACAAACCTTTGCTTTTCCACGCCATTTCTTTGTTTCAAAATGTCTAAACAATGAACAAAATACCATGTTTTGCTTTCATCTGGGACATGATCTGGGCAAGCAGGGGACCAAATTCGTCACTTCCGGGTAAAGCGGAAGTTGTGAAAACTCATGGACCGTTATGCGTTCCTTCAAAATAAAAGCTAGAACACACCATGGAACCTTTATATACAGTCTATGGCTGCTTCTCAGGTCGACTATTTTCATTTCCTCGCTCCTCGGTCCTCGGTCTCCCCGGAAGTTGATTTGCCTGCGCCATCTTGAGTACCGTCCAATGGCTCTTATTTCTGCCGGAGGACCGAGGATCGAGGAGCGAGGAGTGATCATGGAGGAGCGATAACCGAGGAACCACCAGACCATCCTCCGATGAAATCCTCAGATACTCGCCCCGCCCCCTTACTGTGTATCGCTCACTGATTGGACGAGGCAGTGCATGCACTGATCTGATGCTTCTTGACATGAGAGCAGAGTGAAGAAAATACATGAACCTCACGGGAGTCACTCCTCAGTTTATACCGTGTTTTGTTTCAATTAATGTATCATTTAGTTACAAATATGTGATATATCTGAACAACAAAGTGGTCAAAAATCATTTAATTCATTTTTTGGAAACATTTTCATGATCGCTTTTTTCGTTTTACATTTTCATTTATTGTCATTTCCATTCAGTCAGTCATTAAGTGCTATTGAAATGTTAATTTACTACATATCCAAACAAACAAACAAAGTGTGCAATCCAATTAATGTTAATCTAACTGTGTTTTGATAGATAACATATCTCTTTTTCTTCTCTCAATTATTTTATTTCTATTGTGCACTCTAATCAATATTAATCAAACTATTGTTCGTTTATACATTTTAAGAATGGCGTTTATCTTTTTTGAGAATTAGTTCTTATTTTATTTTATTTATTGGGGTCTACAACAGATGATACAAATGTTTGTGTCAGTAAATGTGTACTAACAGAGGCGGGGGGGTGTGTGGAAATAACGGGGACAGAGCTGCTGTCAGACGATCAGCTGTGCAGCGTCATCACAAACGGACGTCGCTTCACGTGACGCTCCGGAGGAAAGGACGTCCCATTGCTCTTAAAACTCATTTCCCTGCTTCTCGTGGTTTCCTTGCGTCCCTCCATGCTTCCCTGGTGGGAGGGACTAAACGCAGGGAAACGACGCAAGTGAGGGAAGCAAGGATTTCATTTAATCGACCTGAGAAGCAGCCTATGCATGGAACACACGTTCCTGTGGTATGTGGGAATAAGGCAGTGTTCTACCAGTAGATGGCGCACATGTGTCACGGTGGCACCTGGAGTTTATTTTAGATTATTCATTTGGAAAGGTAAAAAAATATTTGAAAATGTGTATATATTTATTGCAGGATGTTAACTAATCAATTCGTCTGCTTTTTCTACTATGACACGTACATCTTATTTTGGAGTGCAGGTCTTAAATGGAAAGATGTATTTACTTCCGAAATCCGAATCAACTAATTTTTTATTACAGGAATTATACGGAAAGCATTAGGGCCACATGAGAAACACATTTTGGGATGTGAAAAAACCTTAGTCACAGAATACTGATATTAAAGTGAGAAGTCATTAATAGGCCCATGAATAGGCCTATTATAATAGGCCTACATCAAATCAAGTTTTATTTATATAGCACATTTATAAACGATTTTTGGTCGAGCCAAAGTGCTGTACATAGCCTATACATAGCCTTAATCCATCAAGCTTGAAAACACAACGTTTCATTATTAGATTTGTATTACAAAATAACTCAAATGAAAGCAAAAGTAGCCTATACCAATTAAAGCATACACGGTGACGTAGGCCTATGCCTACATCTAAAAAGTTGTTTGTAGCTGGAGATCCACGGGGTCAATGGGAGGACCCGTTCCTTTATGTTCAGGAGCCCCTGCTCCAGGTAATCTGATCCCAGGTACAGGAGTGAGACACAGAGGTAACACACCCAGTTTCCCCCCGCCCCGTCAGAGCGGCAGCCTCACTGGACCTGTGTGTCGGATCAAGTGTGTGAAGAAACCAGCAGCTTGTCATCATCGTTTAGAGTCGCAGTCTTTGGTTTTCACTCACGGATACTCGTTGTTTCTCACAGTCAGTATACTGATCTGTGCGCAAACGTAGCAACCCGCTTGGATACCTGTCGCCATGGGAGGAAGACGCAGAGGCGCACATGACGAAAACTACTCCTTTGTCAGTCCAGTCGTCAAGTACCTACTGTTCTTGTTCAATTTAATATTCTGGGTGAGTTTATTATGCTATTAAACACAGGGGGTCACACAGATCCCAACACATGAAAGCTGTATTTATTCTCTCCTCAGCGCGCAGGTGAATCACGGTATTTCTTGGCACAACATATTTGCTCCATTAGGTTAACTACTTATTAAAAAGCAGTTTTAACCAGAGTTAAACTACCTCTCTCGCGATTTCAAAGTGTCAGATCTGCACTTCTTTATTTATTTGAACACAAGGGTGAAGGGTTTTGTTTGCTGCGATTTGAGCATCCACTGCTCAGTTAGTTGTTCATTAATCCTGGGGTTTAGGAAAAGTGAAACAGTGTCCAGAAAAGAGGGGAAAGGAAGTCAACATGCAAAGCTGAAACAGGAACACAGGAATACACACACACACACTGTGTTTTCTGCTTGGTACTGTGTATAATAAGGAATATATCATTAGATTTGTGTAACCACACTGTGATATCTCAAAAACAATGTTCACACCACTTGAAGTCAGTTCACACGTCTGCTGTGGTTTATGATCAGGTTAGTTTCTGTTCATAAAATAAGTTAACTTCCTGTCTAGCAGATTTCCGAATAAGATGTATTTTTCCATTTCAAACCAGCCTCAGTGAACACAGCAGGCGATGACATTGATTGCATCATTTGCTATCATTTAAACTGTCTTATTATGCTAAAGTGTTTCCCTCAATAGGATGTTATTCATTGTATGACTGGGTCTTTTTTAAAGGAAATAATTCAGCAGGCTGTCAACAAACCAAAGTTCATTTGGGGGGGGGTTCAGTGTCAGGGCTGTACCATAAGGAGATTTCTGATTTACAGCATTTTTTAATCAGATCTGATGTTGCAGATTTAACTTGTTGGGGTTTAGTGCAGTCCGTTTCTGCTGTTTAAGCAAAACAATGCTGTAGGAATGTGGAGAAATGTCGTTGAATTTAAACATATTTACCTCTTTTGACAACAAGCTCAAACAAGACACTTTACGTTTTGTTTACATGTTAATATCTGAGAAATCTTGAGCTTTTCTACATGTTCTTCTACATTTCCAACAGCGTCTAAGTGTGTATGAGCTGTGTCCATGACTTCTCTGGCCATGTACAAACAGGAAAAGGCTTTGTAAAAACTTGAAGCTCTTCATCATGGAATGTGTTGTTGTCATTTCTGTTGCCTCGGGCCGCAATTGGCTCAGTGTAGGACACACCAAAGAAAAGAGCATGGCTCCCTTTACTGTAGAAATGTCGAAAGTCCACAGTTTGTCATAATCCTGGTGATCAGCTGGTACCATGAAGATTAACCCAATAAGGGAATCAGTTGTGTAACCAACGCGAGTGTGGGATTTAGTCGCCTATAAGCATAACATTTCACCAACTGTCACATTGCAACAACAAAAAACCTCTAGCTTCAGGCCTCATGTACTAATCTTTACATAAGGGGCAGAAAACTCTCTTTGCCCTCCCCCCCCAAGAAGGAGCAGTGTTTGTTGTACCTGGATCCATTTCACTCGGGGGGGGGGGGGGGGGGGGGGGGGGGGGGGGGGGGAGTTCTGAGGGCTCTCTTTTATTCTATTGAGACTGAGAGGAGCGCTGAGTGTGCTTCTGGAGGATTAGATTTGATACAGCCTCTGACTCATGTATATCTGATGTGTGTTCAGGTGCCACTCCCTGGACAAGTAACAACATAGACATGATTATTTACACACTGTTCTGTGTGGTTTCACCCTATTGTACCCCATAGCATTATTTCAATATGTGAGTATAAATACTATGTGTTCTCTCTTCTCCTCAGGTAATCTCCCTGGTGATGGTAGCTATCGGCGTGTACGCCCGCATGATGAAACATGCAGGTAGAGGATTCTTCAGTGATAGAGCATACAGTCTGTTTCATGTTTAGTGGGTTAGGATGGGGCTTTTGTTTTGGCTTTGTGCTCACTGCTTCCACCAGCAACACAGCATTTACAAGACTGAGCGTTTTGTTGAAGATTTTATAAAAGAAATTCAATTCAGCAGTGGAAGAGCCAGAGGTAGACGTGTTAAAGCACTTCCTTAAATGTTTCCTGTTCTGATTAAATAAAGTTCATTAAGAAAAAGAAGCTCCCTCACATCAATCTGAGCCCCTCTCTTCTCCTCCTCAGAGGCCGCTCTGCGGTGTCTGTCGGTGGACCCCGCTGTAATGCTGCTGGTGGTGGGGGTCCTCATGTTCATCCTCACCTTCTGTGGCTGTGTGGGCTCGCTGCGAGAAAACATCTGCCTCCTGCAGACGGTGAGTCTCCGCTAAAGATGAAATCAGTGCAGAGTCATGCTGTTTAGGGAATGCTGTCAGATTCAAGCTCAGTCCCATGAGCTGACAGCTCCTCTCAACAGTATGTTACATGGCACAGGGTTTGTGCCTTGCATGTACAGTCTTTGCACTTTTATAAAGAAAATGACTCTTTGCAACAGTTAAGATTATTTTATTTTGAAATCCATTTTAAAACAGCCTTTAGGTAGCAGAGTTTGACCATGTTTTTCTATTGTTATTCTCTTTGTATTTAGAGGTGTGTTTTCTCTGCATGCAAGTAGAAGTGGCAACAACTAGCAGCAGGATCTCATGGAAGCGGTTCTCTAAATAATGAACCCAAACAGAATCATTCCTCCAGACCTCTGTGTTACGGTGTGCAGGAAGCAGGACCCAAATGCAGATTTAAGTGACAAAATAATTCCTTTATTTCAAGGCTACAAATCTCCAGACAGAACAGAACACTCACCGCAGTTTACTCACAACACAAGACAACCCGACAAAGAGAGACAGAAAACCCAGAACTTAAATACACCCAGGACTAATCACATAAACACGAGACAGGTGAGGAGGGAGGAGAAAACACAGAGGTACCAGGTGAACACAATCGGGGAGGGAAACAGACAGAAAGCAAACAGGCAGGAAACGGGGGTGAACACCTTACAAAATAAAACAGGAAACCCAAAGATAGAAAAAGACAAGAAAAACACCAACACAGACAGATCCTAACAGTACCCCCCCCTCAAGAGACGGATCCCAGACGTCCCAAAAAAAATCCAAAACCCCAAGCAGGGTGGGTGGAGGGGGTCAGGAGGACGGGACTGAACTGACCTCCCAGGGGCACGGCAGAGGACCAGGAAGGGGTCTCGGGCGGACGGCCCGGGGGCAAGGCAGAGTCCAAAAAGGGGAATTCGGGCGGACGGCCCGGGGTCAAGGCAGAGGACCAGGAAGGGGTCTCGGGGCGAACGGCCCGGGGGCAAGGCAGAGTCCAAAAAGGGGGACTCGGGCGGACGGCCCGGGGGCAAGACAGAGTCCAAGGTGAGGACCATGGAGGGGCGAAGGCAGCGGCAGGAAGAGTCAGGGGGCCGGGCCCGAGGGTGAAGGCAACGGCAGGAAGAGTCAGTGGACCGGGCCCGAGGGCGAGGACCGCGGCACTCAGGGGGCCGGGCTCGAGGGGCGAAGACCGCGGCTCTCAGGGGGCCGGGCTCGAGGGCGAAGACCGCGACTCTCAGGGGGCCGGGCTCGAGGGCGAAGACCGGACAGCTCCGGAGGCCGGGCAGGAGCTGGTGTCGACCGGACAGGATCCGGAGCCGGTGGGACAGGTGTCTGCAAGATTCCCCACGGAAGAGGACCAGGAGTTGGAAGGACCCCCGGCAGAAGCGCAGTTGGCGGGACCCCCAACGGGACAGGACATAGGGTTGGCAGGACCCCCGGCAGGAGGGCAGTCGGCGGGACCCCCAACGGGACAGGACACAGGATTGGCAGGACCCCCGGCAGGAGCGCAGTCGGTGGGACCTCCAACGGGACAGGACATAGGGTTGGCAGGACCCCCGACAGAAGAGCAGTCTGCGGGACCTCCAACGGGACAAGACATGGAGTTGGCAGGACCCCCGGCAGAAGAGTAGTCTGCTGGACCTCCAACGGGACAAAGCATGGAGTTGGCAGGACCCCCGGCAGAAGAGTAGTCTGCAGGACCTCCAACGGCACAGGACCAGGAGTTGGCAGGACACCCGGCAGAAGCGCAGTCGGCGGGACCCCAACGGCACAGGACATGGGGTTGGCAGGACCCCCGGCAGAAGAGTAGTCTGCGGGACCTCCAACGGCACAGGACATGGGGTTGGCAGGACCCCTGGCAGAAGAGCAGTCTGTGGGACCTCCAACGGCACAGGACATGGAGCTGGCAGGACCCCCGGCAGGAGAGTAGACGGCGGGACCTCCAAGGGGACAGGACAAAGGGTTGGCAGGACCCCCGGCAGGAGAGTAGTCGGCGGGGCCTCCAACGGCACAGGACAAAGGGTTGGCAGGACCCCCGGCAGAAGAGTAGTCGGCGGGACCTCCAACGAAACAAGGAGCTGGCAGGACCCCTGGCAGGAGAGTAGACGGCGGGACCTCCAAGGGGACAGGACAAAGGGTTGGCAGGACCCCCGGCAGGAGAGTAGTCGGCGGGACCTCCAATGGGACAGTACATGGATTGGTAGGACCCCCGGCAGAGGAGTAGTTGACGGGGCCTCCAACGGGACAGTACTTGGAGTTGGCAGGACCCCCAGCGGAACCTCCAACGGACCAGGACATTGGGTCGGGACTTGAGACGTGACTCAAGGGGGAACTCGAGAGGGGAACCAAGGGGGAACTCGAGAGGGGACTCGAGAGGAGACTCGAGAGGCGAACTAGAGAGGGGACTCCTGAGGGGACCAGAGGAGGAACCAGAGGAGGAACTAGAGGAGGGAACTCGAGAGGGGACTTGAGAGGGGAACTAGAGAGGGGACTCGAGGAGGGACTAGTGGAGGGACTAAAGGAGAGACTAGAGGAGAGACTAGAGGAGGGAACTGGAGAGGGAACTGGAGAGGGGACTCGAGAGGGAACTGGAGAGGGGACTCGAGAGGGAACTTGAGAGGGAACTGGAGATGGGTCTAGAGAAGTGACCTGAGGAGGGACTAGGGAAAGGACTAGAGAAGGGAACTCGAGAGGGGACTCGAGAGGGGAACTAGAGAGGGGACTCGAGGAGGGACTAGAGGAGGGACTAAAGGAGTGGACTGGAGAGGGGACTGGAGATGGGACAAGAGATGGGACTAGAGATGGGATTAGAGATGAGACAAGGGAATTGACTAGAGGAGGGACTTGAGTAGGGACTAGAGAAGGGACTAGAGAGGGGACTAGAGGAGGGACTTGAGATTGAACTCGAGAGGTGACTCGAGAAGAGACTAGAGAAGGAACTTGAGAGGAAACTGGAGAGGGGACTAGAGAGGTGACTAAAGGGGAAACTGGAGAAGGGACTAGGGAAGTGACTAGAGGAGGTACTTGAGAAAGGACTTGAGAAAGGAATTGAGTAGGGACTAGAGAAGGGACTAGGAAAGTGACCTGAGGAGGAACTAGAGAAGGGACTATGGCAGCTGGGGCCAGAACTGGGGCTGAAACCATGGCTGCTGGGGTCTGTACTAGGTCTGGAACCATGGCCAGAAACATGGCTGCTGGGGCCTGTACTGGGGCTGTAACCATGGCTGCTGGGGGCTGAACTGGTTCTGGAACCCTGGCCCTTTGGGCTCGTGCTGCCAACCTGGCCTTGCGACTCCTTCCTTTAGGAGCCGTTTGGAGGCTCCGTGGACCTCCAAAGGCCAGACGAGTACCAGCTAATGGCTCCTGGACAGTAGCAAACACTGGGTGAGAAGCAGGGGCTGACGCCAGACGGACCACACCAATGCGTGTGGTATCAAAACGGGAGTTGGGAGGCCTGGGGCTGTCAGGCAGGGGATAACACACCGTGAGAAAATCCAAAATCCTGCCCGATAAGAACTTAACCAAGCCTGGCTTCTCCATCGTAATCCGGCGTGCCTCTGCCAGAACAGCCTCTCGCTGCTGAACCTTGGACGCTCCCAACCATCGATACGAGCAGTCATCCAAAGCAAAGGAAAACTCCAATAGCTCCTGCTCAAAGGGATCTTCTGGGCCCATATTTGTGGTCGGGTTGTAATGTTACGGTGTGCAGGAAGCAGGACCCAAATGCAGATTTAAGTGACAAAATAATTCCTTTATTTCAAGGCTACAAATCTCCAGACAGAACAGAACACTCACCGCAGTTTACTCACAACACAACCCGACAAAGAGAGACAGAAAACCCAGAACTTAAATACACCCAGGACTAATCACATAAACACGAGACAGGTGAGGAGGGAGGAGAAAACACAGAGGTACCAGGTGAACACAATCGGGGAGAGAAACAGACAGAAAGCAAACAGGCAGGAAACGGGGGTGAACACATTACATTACATTACATTACATTACATTGCATTTAGCTGACGCTTTTATCCAAAGCGACTTACAATAAGTACATTCGACCAGGAAGACACAACCTTGAAGAAAACAGAATCATATAAGTATATCAGGTTTCATAGAGCCAAACATTTCAAGTGCTACTCAACTGGCTTTAGGTAATCCAGTCCTTTATTAGTATAAAAGTGCTTCGTTAATCGTTCTAACGCTCGAAGTGGAGTCGAAAGAGATGAGTTTTCAGTTTGCGCCGGAAGATGTGCAAGCTATCTGCCGTCCTGATGTCAATGGGGAGCTCATTCCACCATCTTGGAGCCAGGATAGCAAACCCACGTGTTTTCGCCGATGGGAACTTGGGTCCCCCTCGCAGCGAGGGCACAACGAGTCATTTGGCTGATGCAGAGCGTAGTGCACGCGCTGGGGTGTACGGTTTAACCATGTCCTGGATGTAGGAAGGGCCAGATCCATTCGCAGCACGGTAAGCAAGTACCAGTGTCTTGAAGTGGATTCTAGCAGTTACCGGAAGCCAGTGAAGGGAGCGGAGGAGCGGAGTGGTGTGGGAGAATTTAGGAAGGTTGAAAACCAGACGAGCCGCTGCATTCTGGATGAGCTGCAGAGGTCGGATGGCACATGCAGGTAGACCAGCCAGGAGGGAGTTGCAGTAGTCTAGGCGTGAGATGACGAGAGCCTGGACCAGAACCTGAGTCGCTTTCTGAGTCAGCTGGGGACGTATCTTCCTGATGTTGTAAAGCGTGTATCTGCAGCAGCGGGTTGTAGCAGCGATGTTTGCAGTGAAGGACATGTTGTTATCTAGGGTCACACCCAGATTCCTTGCAGTCTGAGTCCGGGAAACAACTGAGGTGCCGATGTTGATTGTCAGGTCAAGAGTTGGACAATCTTTTCCCGGGAGGAAGAGCAGCTCAGTCTTGTCAAGGTTGAGCTTGAGGTGGTGAGCAGACATCCACTGAGAGATGTCAGCTAGACAAGCAGAGATGCGTGCGACGACCTGGGTCTCTGAGCGGGGAAAGGACAGAATTAATTGGGTGTCGTCAGCGTAGCAGTGGTAAGAAAAACCATGCGGGCTAATGACTGATCCGAGCGAGTTTGTGTACAAGGAGAAGAGGAGGGGACCAAGAACAGAGCCCTGAGGGACCCCCGTAGTTAATTGACAAGGGTCGGACTCAGACCCTCTCCAAGTCACCCTGTAGGTACGGTCTTTCAGGTATGAGGTGAGGAGGGAAAGTGCAGAGTCTGAAACTCCAAGTTTTTGGAGAGTGCGAAGGAGGATCTGATGATTCACCGTGTCGAATGCAGCAGACAGGTCCAACAGGATGATGACAGAGGAGAGGGATGCAGTTTTGGCAGTGTGCAGTTCCTCCGTGACAGCAATGAGAGCAGTTTCTGTGGAGTGACCTGCCTTGAAACCAGACTGGTGCGGATCCAGAAGGTTGTTCTGATTGAGATAACAGGAGAGTTGTTTAAAGACAGCGCGTTCAAGTGATTTAGACAGGAACGGGAGGAGAGAGACAGGCCTGTAGTTTATAACATCAGACGGGTTGAGAGTGGGTTTCTTTAGGAGAGGGTTTACTCTTGCCTCCTTGAGACTGTTTGGAAAGTGACCAGAAGTTAGAGAAGTGTTGATGAAATGGGTGAGAAACGGTAGAATATCAGGAGCGATAGTCTGAAGGAGGTTTGAAGGGATAGGGTCCAGAGGACAGGTGGTAGGGCGGGCAGAGGTAATGAGGGTAAGAACCTCACTTGGAGAGAGAGGGGAAAAGGAGGTTAGTGTGTTGGTGGAAGGAAGGTCTGGTGACCCAGCAGTGAGTAAAGGTGAGTCAGAAAAAGAAGAGCAAATATCATTAACCTTTTTTTCAAAGTGGGTAACAAAGTCGCTTGACAGAAGTGAGGAGGGGGGAGGAGCTTTTGGAGGGTCCAAGAGGGTGGAGAAGATGGAAAATAGTTTTTTAGGATTGGAATAGGAAGATTGGATCTTATCTTGAAAGAAAGTGCTTTTTGCCTGAGAGATCGAAGCAGAGAAAGAGGAGAGGAGAGCCTGATAGGTTAGGAGGTCGTCACGGTGTTTGGATTTCCACCATTTCCGCTCTGCTGCCCTAAGGACGGTTCTATTAGCACGCAGTGCATCATTTAGCCAGGGAGCCGGGGGGGACTGACGAGCCTGCCGAGATGTCAGAGGACAGAGCGAGTCCAGAGTGGATGAGAGAGTAGAGAGGAGAGTTTCTGCAGCAGAGTTTGGAGGCAGTAGTTGGAACGAATCAGAGGAAGGGAGGGCTGAGAGCACCGACGAGGCAAAGGTAGAGGGAGAGAGGGAGCGAAGGTTACGGCGGACAAGTGTAGGATGGGAAGAGATTAGTTTGTTATGTTTGGAAAGGGATAGAGAGAATGAAATGAAGAAGTGATCGGATGTGTGGAGCGGGTTTACAGAGAGGTTAGAAGTAGCGCAGTTCCTTGAGAATATGAGATCAAGGACATTGCCAGCTTTATGAGTCGGTGGGGACGGAGAGAGTGAGAAAGCAAAGGCGGTTAACAGAGATGTTAGTTCGTCTATCTTCCCCATCTGGAGGTTGAAGTCTCCGAGAAGTACAGCGGGAGGGCCAGTTTCAGGGATGTGTGAGAGGAGATGATCTAATTCCTCCAAGAAGTCCCCCAAGGCGCCTGGTGGACGGTAGAGAACAACAATGGTTAACTGTATAGGATGGGTTACTGTGACGGCATGGAACTCAAAGGTGGAAGGAGTAAAGTTAGGTAGCTTGAAGAGGGAAAAGCTCCATTTGGGAGAGAGCAGGAGACCAGTGCCACCTCCTCTGCCAGTGGGTCTGGGTGTATGGGAGAAGGAATATGCAGTGGAGAGAGCTGCTGGGGTGGATGTGTTGGATGGAGTAATCCAGGTCTCAGTGAGAGCAAGGAAATCCAGAGACTGCAGGGAGGTGTAGCCAGAGATGAAGTCAGCCTTAGGAACAGCTGACTGGCAGTTCCACAGGCCACCTGAAACTAGATGTTGGATCTCAGTGGAGCACGTGGGATAGACGAGAGCAGGCCGGTTATATCGATTACGAGATACACGGGGCCAGTGATAATTGCGAGAAGACACATGAACAGGAATGGAGAAAATACACATGATTATAGCATGAGGGGCTAAACAACAAAATTAAAAATTAAAAACACCAACGATACTTAGCTCAATCAAAGTAGGATTTGCCTCCTCTTTGCCTCCCTCGTGACTCCTGTAGGACTCTAATGTCTTTGTCAGTCTTACTCCTGTAGGACTCTAATGTCTTTGTCAGTCTTACTCCTGTAGGACTCTAATGTCTTTGTCAGTCTTAGCCTGTCTGCCGCTGAAGCTGACGCTCCAGGAAAGAGCTACCCGAAATGGACGCCTGATTGCTCAGTTCTCACAGCTGAAGTTAATTAGTTAACTATCTACAGCTGATGGGCGACAATAGACTGGCCCTGCCTATGTTAATAATGCAGGCTTGAGTGCTGAGAGCTGTAAAGCAGGTTTCGCCTGAGCAGATCTGAGATTTAAAATCTCTCAAAAGCGATTTAGCCGTTTAAGCTACAGTAACAATTATACAGAGTCGAATAAATGAAACCGAGAAGTCTAATTAACCAAGAATATAACTTAATATTATATATATATATATATAATATTATATATTAACTGCGTCAATAGGTAATGTTGTCACCGGGTCCAGATGCAACACCTTACAAAATAAAACAGGAAACCCAAAGATAGAAAAAGACAAGAAAAACACCAACACAGACAGATCCTAACACTCTGACCCTCCCTCTCTTGTTTCCCCCCAGTTCTGCATCTGTCTGACGGTGATCTTCCTGCTGCAGCTGGTTGCCGGGGTCCTGGGCTTCGTCTTCGCCGATAAGGTGATGAAACAAACCTGAGAGTAATGTAAGCTTGAATGTAGGGCCACAACTGTTTAACACTGTCAGCAAAATACCATTCTTGTTTCTCTCTAACTCACGCGAGAATAGCACAATGTGCCGTGAGTTTGGATTTCAAAATGAAAGACTATTAATCTTACACACAAGAAGTATTGCAACAAGAAATTATTTTTAGCCTTAGAAAAATACAAATGACGAATGATAAACATGTAAAAGGTTACACTTACAGAGATCGATTGTTTTATTTAACAAACTGTAAACATTGTCAAACCCATCATGAACAGTGAATGTTCATTTCTGTAATCAACATTCTTTATAGCTATTCTTTAACTAAATACATCACACGTTTTAGATACATCATAGAATAAAGATTCATAAAATAAATGTCAAATATAGTAATGTAATGTGTGGAGGCCTGCCTCCAAAAAGGGGCTTCATTTATTTATTGACTATTTATTTGGGTTGAGTTTGTTTTATTGAATGTCCTTTTAAGAAGAAGAAGAAGAAGAAGAAGAAGAAGAAGAAGAAGAAGAAGAAGAAGAAGAAGAAGAAGAAGAAACACTTTATTAATCCCTTAATTAACTCCCTCTGGGAACACAGTAATGATAGCCTTTGCAGACCCTTTACATGCACAACAACCTATAGAACACACTACAGGAAAGGGAAACCCCCAACATGCGTAATAGGGCCTCTTTAAACAAGAAGATTGGATTACTTGTCATAGAGTACTCAGCCTGTGAAGGCAGTTGTACAATGTCTCTAGAGGGACTCTAAATAACCTCTGTGATGTCGTTAGGGGGATCACAGACTGGGTCTGAGACTTCAACAGAAAGCCTGGCACAAAGAGTTTGGAGAACAACTTTAATTTTGTCATAAACACTCAAAAACACAAACGTTCTAACATTTCCCATGCGGTTAGTTCTAGGCAGGGTTGCATGAAGTTGTAACTTTACATATTTTAGAGGACTAGCATCTCTATAGTTCAATAGAAATATTCATATAAAATAGAAGGTGGACTAAAATCCAATAAAAAAAGAGCTGCGCTCTACTATGGTATTCTGCATTGATTTTGACTCACTGGGTCACATGACATAAAACTCGAGATTTTTCTATAGAAAATGCTGAATTTTTATAAAAATATTTGTATTAAATAGATTTTCTTTTTTTGTACTCCTGCTAAGGCTCGGAATAGAGTGACTGTGATGATCAACGATGCCATGGTCCACTACAGAGACGACATTGACCTGCAGAACCTCATAGACTTTGGTCAGAAAGAGGTAAGGGTGCAGTTCAAACATGTAGGTCATCAGTGTTTAGTCATTGTAAATACCAACAGCAAATATACAAAAATCAGGATGTCTCCTGCATATGATGTGTGTATGTGTCCTCAGTTTGGCTGCTGTGGGGGCGTGACGTACAGCGACTGGTCCCAGAACATCTACTTCAGCTGCGAGCCGGACAACCGCAGCAGAGAGCGCTGCTCCGTGCCCTTCTCCTGCTGCGTCCTCAACAAGGACGAGGTCATCTGAACACCACTCTGCTGAGCCCTTTATCTGTTGCTTTGTGTTTATTATTATTCATGTAATAACTGTGTGTGTACTTGAGCAGAACGTGATCAACACCATGTGTGGCCAAGGCATGCAAGAGATGGAGTACACTGAGGCTGGAAACCATATCCACGTCAACGGCTGCATTGACAAACTGGTGGACTGGATCCACAGCAACCTGTTCCTCCTGGGAGGGGTCGCCCTGGGACTGGCCATTCCACAGGTAGCACACACACACACACACACACGCACACACACACATGCGCACACACACACACACACACACACACACACACACACACACACACACACACACACACACACACACACATACACACACACACTCAAGTCTTAAATAGGAGAGACTCATGTTGTGTGCTCTGTTCTTCAGCTGGTCGGCATCCTCCTGTCTCAGATTCTGATCAGCCAGATCAAAGACCAGATCGAGCTGCAGAACTACAACCTGAAGCACCGCTCCGACCCGTGGAGATGACCCAGACTGGATCAGTCCAGATTCTGGTGATCGGCACCAGAACCACCTGAAACCCTTTTTTTCCGTGGCAGCTTGGATTATGCATCCAGTATCATTGCTTTAACTTAAAAACATGTGACTAATATTGAGCCAGCATGTGGACAAGCCATTACTATTGGCCAGGATGTGGAGGTTAGTACACACAGAGGAGACGAAAGGAGAAACTGGACTCTGCCGCCACCTGCTGGACACAAACCAAGCTGGAATTTAGCAAACTTTTTGATGGCACCAAACAGAGGCAGGGGGAGTATTTGGTGATCAGGGTCTTGTTGACAGGATTATTTTAAACCTGAGAACGGCACTCAGTATAATATTTCACTTTTTATCAGTGGGAGTTAATTGTTATTGTCTTTGTTGTTGAATCCACTGCGAATGCTAACTGACTGAAAAGGGAATCACATTTTTCCACATATTGATTTTGTATATTTTTTCTAAATCTGTGTCATGCATCAGATATTTGGTCCAGGTTGTTTTAATGAATGTTGCTTTGTAGTTGAAATATCTGTGAAGAGAACAAAGCTTCGCCTCCTTACAATACTTTCACAAGCTTATGTGTTAAACAGCGTGTCTCAAAGTGCCTTTTACCCATGATACCAAATCACACTTTTTTACTTAACATACAAAATATTTTTATTTGGTCATTTAATGTAACAGTAATGTTTGCATCAAAGGTCTGACGCTTCATAATAAAGTGGCCATGTTAGGTTGTCCTGCAGAGACCCTACTCTTCACATGATTTCATTTCCTTCTCACGTTTAGCCAGCTGCAGAGCCACTGGATTTCATCTCAACATGCTGCCATTATAAGAACATATCTGCCAAATAACAGGCTTTTAACAAAGTTCATATTCTGTTCATAAGGCATCATTTCAATCCTGTTCTGATCTATTGCTTTTTCTTTTCCTTTTTGAATAATTGTCAATGAAAATACAAAAGTAAATGGGAATTCCCATTTCCCCACTAAAGAAAACAGTTGTAAATGCCTCCAGTGTTGCTGTGTTGGTGTGGTCACTAGAAAATGCCAAATTTGTGTTTTCTGACCAATCAGTGAGCAGAGCATGGTTGAGGTTCTCTTTGTGTCTGTGGAAATCATACACAGCGGTTTATATCAGTTTGTATTCTCTTGTTATGATGTGATACCCATGTGATAGTTCTTTACAAGTAAGAGCTGTCCTTTAACTGAAGACATTTCACTTCGTCCACCAGGGAAGCTCCAGCTAAAGGTTTCATGTATCTGTGAAGAAGCAACACACCCTCTCATCTCCGTCTCTGCCTGGCAAATGAAATCCTGAGTTGCGAGGCATTCCCAGCTTGAAACCTGACGCCTGTAATCTTTGGGAGCAGAAACAGTCCTGCATGTTTTACAGCCTTTGACGCAAGTCCACAATCTAAACATGACATTTCTGTGTTAGTTTAAAGCTGCAGTAACTCTCCGTGCTGTGACTCACCCTGAGGCCCGAGACACACTCTGCTGTACCTCTGATGCTGCTGAGGAGTACAACTACATTTCGTGTGACACTTTAGATAGAAGTTTGTAACGTTACAGCAGTTTATGAATGTAGCAGTCTCTTACAATAATGTTTTGGTGTGGGTGTGTGTGTGGGGGGGGGTGTGAGTGAGAGAGAGAGAGTGTGTGTGTTGGCTCGGCCCGCACTCTGTGTGTGGTCCCTGGTTTCTGCCTCTGACTCACTCAGGCAGCCATGTTGCTGTGGTCTTCATGGAGGCCCAGACACACACACACACACACACACACACACACACACACACACACACACACACACACACACACAGAGAGGAGGGAGCAGAGTTAACCCAGTTTTACTCACAGAACACCAGGAGAGAAACAAAGCATCTGCAGGCATGCAAATACCACAAGTGCACTGTCCAATTAATGCGCTAACCCCAGAGCAGCACCATGCTGGAGATTAACGAGCTGCTTTTAGTCGTATAATAAAAAAATGGCATATTTAAACATATGTACAAATTACATTCATTAAAGCACCTGAAATTAATAATGTGAGCGAGTTTGAGCTTGAGTTTTTGAGCTTATATTTGCCGTTTTGCTGTTTTTTAAGATCCCTTCAGCCCCTTAGCCAGGAGAGGAAGCTCAGTCCATCATGCATGTCCCAAAGGAAAGTCACTTAATGGCAGGTTATTAACTGTGTCCCTCACTCCTGTGCACACTACTGTCATACACATGTGACCATTCAAAACTTCATCTCAATCCATGTGTTATTCAATCAATCAAAGTGTATTAATATCGCCCAATATCACATATTTTACATTTGACTCAGGGGGCTTTACAGTTTATACAGTATACATTATTAACACATTATTCATCAAGTCGAAGACATTTTGACTGTCATTATCTAAGAGCAGACAGCCACCCATTTAAATCTAATTTAGTATAATGCATACCAGGTATGTTATCCCTGACAGATGTGCAGCATCAGTACACATCAAAATCAGAATACATTTCATCCCACAGAGGGGACATTTGTTGAGTATCTGTTGTTGTTATTATTGTTTAATATGTGTCTAATACATATGCTGCCCATAATGTAATTATATATAATAATACCTTACTTCAAAGTATATGCAATACGTATTTTATTATAATATAATAATGTAATAAATATACAATTATAATACTCCTTTATATGTATTTCATTCAAAGGTCGTGGAAAGTTATGTTATACATTTTTAATATTCTATAATGTTCACCACTACTGTAGTATACCCTTTGTATATGTATTCTAGAAGAGCTGAAGACCACCCAGGGGTCCTTAGGGTACATTTTAGATTGACTCCCTGAGAGTTGGCACAAGTTGACCAGTTTTTCATCTATTTCAGAACAAACTGAGATGCAGATCGGATGGGGGCTCTGGGTTGTTTTGGGGGTCCTTGAGATGAGAAACGTTTTGAGAAGGCCTGCCATAAGGCACATTCTTCCTCTTGCGGAGGGGGATGGGAGGGGAAGTGTTGTTGCTCCGTCTCTCCCCCACCATGTGCATACCAGAGACTTTAACCTGCAGACACCGACCCGCAGCTCGGGAACACACACAGAGACCCTCCTCACACTGCATCAGGGGAAACACACTCATTGGGACACGTAGAGAGATGTAGCTTCAATTATCATCTTATTTTTCTGCCATCTTAAAGAAGGGGGGCTCCGGAGAAGGGGGTGGTGCATCAGAGCCAGAGATCCTATTACACATCCAGACTTTTCATGGCAAGTTTTTTGGAAGTGGGGGAGGGCGATCCTGCAACTTTGTCGGCCTGATGTCTGTTTAATACCCATCCTAAAAGCTTCAAATGAATACTTTATATGGTTTTGAGGCGATGATGCGGTTGTTCTACAGCTGAGGGCACTTTCTGGAGCCGATCGGATCTGGATAATGAAGGAATCCCGGAGGATCCAGCGGGGATCGGCCGAGAACTGCAGGATACAAAAGTTTGGGAGGACTGGGAACAAACTTTGAAACGCCCTGCAGATCTCCTTCATAATGCCGAGTTTGGAAACGTATTCGAAATCTAAAGAAGACAAGTTGATCTCCGGGTTTCTTTAGATAAAATTGAATCATTTAATCGGTTTTGCACGGCTCGTTCTCGGCCCCCAAGATGTCCTCCCGGGCTCGGAGCCCCATTGTTGGGTTTTGCGGGATGCTGTGCGTCTGGGTTGCCTGGCTCTCAGGCTGCGGGGCGGTGTTGTCTCCAAACGGGACCATATTTGAGGACCACTGCAAGAAAACCTCGACCTGTGAGGCTCTGAAATACAACACATGTCTGGGGTCGCCTCTGCCGTACACACACACTTCTCTGGTCCTGGCCGAGGACTCCAGCACCCAAGAAGAGGCTTTTGAGAAGCTGGCCATGTGGTCCGGTGAGATCCAGGGTTCATCTGTTCAATAAACACCAACATATACTCCATCTGATGTGAATACTTTAGAGTGTGGGAGAGGAGTGATCATCATCCTGTGATCCAATTAGAAAACTGTACTCTTGGATGTATGTTAGTTGTAGCCTACTATGATAGATTAAATGTCAAAAATATATTGGGTTATTATGAATAGCTATCTAACTTACTTGTTTTGAAAGTGATCAATACGATGTGTAATTTCACAAAAAATCCATTGTGAACTAACATTAACCAGGTCAATTCTAAAAATCAAATGACAATAAAAACCTGGCCCTCAGGCTTTTATTTTGGAGCAATTAATACATACATATATCAGTTTCACTACATAGGAAAAGTCAGTGTTGTGTACCTGGTTTGTAAGTGCTAATAATGTTAATTGTTATGACAAAGGACTGTGATGAGGGGTCTCAGAGGGGAGAGAGCCCCAACAGGAAATTAAGGGGTAAAAGCCATTAAAGACAACAAAAGGAATCACTCATAGGTGCTAGAGAGCTAACAATGGAAGAGTGTCACCAATAAAAGGGTTTTAGATATTCTGCTTCACATTCATATGCTCTCTCTAATGACCTGTCAGACCCAGGCCCCCGCCTCTCAGGGTCAGGGGTCCCATCCACCCATACCTTTTTGTGTTGTTGGATATGGTTTATTATGGCTCCTGTGTAATGTAAACACAATAGCAGCATACATAATAGCACACATGGGAGGGATAAGAAGTCATAATTTTCTTTAACAACCCCACAAAATTCCCCTTAACCCAGTCTCAATTAATAGTTTCATTGGCTTAAGGACGATTATCCTGCTAATACAGATTTTCACACAAAATTGTCACTACATTTTTAGCAGCTGGATGATAAGGTGTTAGTTGTCTAAACGGTATGTTGATTTGGCTGATTAATCAAGTTAAACCATGTCTTATTACACAATAGATAGTTAGATTATGTGAATCAAGGTGATTAAATTATGATCAAACTGATATATTCTTGGCCCTGCCACATTTTTCTATTCATGTGTTTGTGCTTATCATCACCGTCATGAGTCTGATAAGTGTAGCAGATTATCGTACACATCTCATAATTTATTTCAATGTTTGTAAGACTGTTGTTCCATCCCACAGGTCTGCGTAACGCTCCTCGCTGCTGGACGGTCATCCAGCCGCTGCTCTGTGCCGTCTACATGCCCAAATGTGAGAACGGTCGAGTGGAGCTGCCCAGTAAGAGCCTGTGTCTGGCCACACGCCGGCCCTGCAGCATCGTGGACCAGGAGAGGGGCTGGCCCAGCTTCCTCACCTGTGACAAGTTCCCAGTGGGCTGCTCGGTAAGCTTCGTTGTAATGAAATGTATTGATGCTGAGGGTCAGAGGTCAACGTTGCACTAGGATCTCACCTTCTCCTCTGTGTGCAGAACGAGGTGCAGAAGCTGAAGTTCAACATGTCGAGCCGCTGTGAAGCCCCCCTGGTGAAGACGGACATCCAGTCCAGCTGGTACAAGGACGTGGAGGGCTGCGGGATCCAGTGTGACAACCCCCTGTTCACCGAGGAGGAGCACAACGACATGCACGCTTACATCGCATACTTCGGCACCATCACCCTCCTCTGCACCTTCTTCACCCTGGTGAGGCACAACTACACTACCCATGATGCTTGTTTTTCCTTATAGGGAAAGAGATTATGCATTTTCTTTTGCATGGAAATCAGAATCAGAATACTGGGGGGAAAGGCTTACGTGACAGTTTCTCCATTTAAAAATTGAATAAGTTAAAGGTTTTGAAAAAAGTGAAAGAAACATATTTACGTTAACACAATAAGTTAAAATAAGAATGTGAAATCAGAAGATACAAATACATTGAATATAATTAAAATATCTATACAATATGAAGTTAAAGTAAAAATGTGCACATTGTACTTTAACATATTATATTTAATTATATTAGATGCAACTTTATTGTCATTGCACAAGGTACAAATACATTTATTTTTGCAAAAGTGCCAAGAGTAGATTACAGCATCGTCACATATTAAGTTACAGTATCAGAGTTGGTGCATCTGTAAGGAAAGATACAGTCAAGTTGTACAAATATAAAATCATTATTTACAGATAAGATGCAAGTTCTAAAACATATTAAAACAAGGTGCCGGGTTTAGGCATGTGTAAGTGAAATACAGTTGTGACAAATATTAAACACAGATGTAAATATGTGCACAAAGCAGAGTAAGGTCCCTGAGTGTGAGGCGCTGTGGGTAGAAGCCCCAGGAGTGTGAAAGGGAAATGTGGAAGTAGAAAACAAAGATGACCGTTTTTAAAGAGAAGCCTTCAAATATCCAGATGTTTCTCTGGTATAACCGTCTTCTCCTCCGTTTCAGCTCACGTTTCTTGCCGACTGGAAGAACTCCAACCGTTACCCAGCCGTCATTCTGTTCTACATCAACGCCTGCTTCTTTGTGGGCAGTATCGGCTGGCTGGCCCAGTTCCTGGATGGAGCGCGGGAAGAGATTGTGTGCAAGAGCGACAACACCATGCGCCTCGGGGAGCCCTCGTAAGTCACACACCAGCTGAGATTAAACATCCTTCCCAAATACAGAAACTGAACCCTAAACTCGTGTTTGGCTACAGGTCTTCAGAGACGCTGTCCTGTGTCACCATCTTCATCATTGTGTACTACTCCCTGATGTCGGGTGTGATTTGGTTCGTCATGCTGACCTATGCCTGGCACACGTCCTTCAAAGCCCTGGGCACCACCCAGCAGCCGCTGTCCGGCAGAACCTCCTACTTCCACATGGTCACCTGGTCGGTCCCCTTCATCCTCACTGTGGCCATCCTGGCTATCGCTGAGGTGTGTGGGAGACCTTTTCATTATAAGATCTGACTTCCAGCCCTGCGAAAAGCTTTGATTTAAATCTCATGTCTCTGATGTGTTTTCTACAGGTGGATGGAGACTCGGTGAGTGGGATCTGTTTTGTAGGCTACAAAAACTACAAATACCGCGCTGGGTTTGTGCTGGCCCCCATTGGAGTTGTGCTTGTTGTCGGCGGTTACTTCCTTATTCGGGGTGAGACTCATTGACCATCCTTTGAAAAGCAATTTTAGCCCTTTTTTTCACATCCTTCAAAACTCTGTGAGCTCCAGAAGTGCTCCTCAAAAAATCATCGATCAACACCAAATCATTATTCATTTTTTTCCTTCCAGGTGTCATGACTTTGTTTTCCATTAAGAGTAACCACCCAGGACTGCTGAGTGAGAAAGCTGCCAGCAAAATCAACGAGACGATGCTGAGGCTGGGTATGTTCTCTCATCTGATGCCATACACTCTACAGTGGGGACCTGAGAAATATTATATATACTATATAAATGTATCATTTAGAGTTGGAACGTGGATCAAACTAAGTATTGAAGAAAGTCAATGTTTCAGTTGAGGAACAAGAACATTTCTACTCTCCTTTTACCCAATATTCAATGTATTCCAAGTTACGGTATGAATGCCATTGGGGGAAGTGCCTGGTATCTTTCATCTGATATATTGCTCTATTTCTCTTTTTCAGGTATATTTGGATTCCTGGCTTTTGGCTTTGTTTTCATCACCTTCGGCTGCCACTTCTACGATTTCTTTAACCAGGCTGAATGGGAGAGGAGCTTTAGAGAATATGTGCTGTAAGTTTGACTGACTTTATTTCTTAATCGAGTTTATTTCCAGGTACGTTACAAGGAATTTGCTTTGGTGTATGATGCTGCAAACACAACATGAGCAAACAAGTAGTAAGTAAAAGTAAAAAATCTGTGATGGTGTTGCCTCACACCTGCACACAGAGATCCACAGACCGAGCTGAGACCCCAGACCGCTCACCCAGCTCTCAGCGGTGAATGCAGCCTCTTTCCCCGCAGTGTTGACACTGGCTGTAGTGGAAATAAGCCTAAAAAATGTAAACCGTTCTCTTCCGCCCTGACGTGTAAAAGGCTTTCTTATTTGCCAGATCCAGCATTTGAATGTGCTTCTCAGTCCTACGTCTCAGAGGTGTAGAAGCACATGTTGGAGGCAGAGACTGACCATCCCTCTCTATGTTTTCAACAGGTGTGAAGCCAACGTGACAATCGCCTCTCAGACCAACAAGCCCATCCCAGAATGCACCATTAAGAACCGGCCCAGCCTGATGGTGGAGAAAATCAACCTGTTCGCCATGTTTGGGACGGGAATCGCTATGAGTACCTGGGTCTGGACCAAGGCCACCATCCTCATCTGGAAACGGACCTGGTTCAAGTAAGCAAACATTGAGAAAGTGAAATGTAACATGGTGTTGCTGCTTCTCGAATACTATGTTCCAATCTCTCTTTAAGTCTCTTCTCATTGCTTGTGTTCACATCATGTCTACAGGCCTGTCCACGTCCATATATGGTTTTAAAAATATGTGAATCAGCCTGGGAAAAGTCTAATCTCTAAGCATCTAGACATGTACTAACCAAGCCAAGCTGCCCCGCCAAACATCCTGAGAAACTGGGGATTTTCACCCTGACTATTTCAAATAATGGAGGCATTAATTCAGTCAAATCCTCCCAGTGTGTGCTAGTGTGTTGGTTTTTATGTGCAGCGCTAATCCTTGTAAACACAGCTCACAAGGGCGCACTGTGACTTGGAGTGTATTCACAGGAATTCATTCCCTTCTTGCTTTGAAAAAAACAACAATAATTCAACTTCTTTATTGTTTCCCTTAGTGGCTTAAGACTGTGTCATCGTGATGTGTCTGAAATCACAAATGTCCCATGACTGCTGATGGCATTAAGTGTGTCATCCTCAGTCTCTCTTTCTGAACCTGCCTTATGTTGCTGTGTCAGGATCCTTGGCCGCAGTGACGATGAACCCAAGAGGATCAAGAAGAGCAAGATGATCGCCAAGGCCTTTGCTCTGAGGAAGGAGCTCCACAAGGACCCCGAGAAGGAGCTGTCCTTCAGCATGCACACCGTGTCCCATGAAGGACCCGTGGGTGAGTGTTTCAGTGGAGTCATTCAAAATATCTCGGATCATAAACTGGGAATATTGTCTGCTATTAAAGTAATCCAGTGGAAGCACTGTCTGGTGATGTTTGCATACTTCCACCTTGTGGTTGATAGCCAAAACTGCAAAGCATCTGATCTAGATTGTTAGGGGAGTATTTATTTAGTTCAAAGCCGTTTTAACACCTTTCTTCTTCTGGAAAGCAACATTTTAGTTTTCAATGGACAACAAAATGCCTCTCAATTCTATTTGACTGGAACAGCTTTGCTAATTAGTAGATATTTTAAAACTCAGGCACGTAAGAAACATATCTTTGTGGATAGATACTACTGTAGGTAGGCTAAGTGATAAAGTGTTTTTTTTATTGGGTCAACTACCTCTCTAAGTTTGAGTGTGTAATGAAATGCCGCCGTGTGCTGATGTAGAGAATCTCTGTGTGTTATTTATCTTTCAATTGTGCCCTGAAAAGATTTTCCGTTAGCTTCTCTGTGGTGTAGAAGCTCCACAGTCAGGGACAACTGTTATGTCTGTAGCTAAGACCTGCATGACACATGCCTCTGCTGGTGTAAGCTGTGAGGCTGCTGCGGCTGCCCTGATTGTTTAGCTTGGAGCCGTTCAGAGCTATAGAGGCACTGTGGGGGGGGATGGGGGGCATTAAGCACATGTTGGTTTCAAAGTTGTCCTCAGTTGTCTTTAAATGTAGAGTTGTGGTTTGTCTTTTCTCATTCATAGCTGGAATCAATTTTGAGCTAAATGAGCCGTCAAACGACATGTCATCAGCTTGGGCGCAGCATGTGACCAAGATGGTGGCCAGGCGAGGGGCCATCCTGCCTCAGGACATCTCTGTCACTCCCACTGGCACCCCGGGTGAGAGCAGGAGGCCATGACTCTGAATTTACATCAACCCCTCTCCTACTTTATGCACTTTTTCCTTTCATCTTCTTTATCAGAGGACTTCCTTTCACAGACTTATGCTCCGTTATGTCTTTACAGTGCCGCCTCCGGACGAGAGGAACCGGCTGTGGATGGTGGAGGCTGAGATTTCACCTGAGATGATAAAAAGGAAAAAGAAGAAGAAGAAGAGGAGGAAGGAGGTGCGCCCGGCGGAGGAGGCGGTGGACCCCCAGGCCTATCAGCAGCGTGAGTTTGGGCGCAGCTCCGTGCCTCGCCTGCCCAAACTGCCCTGCCACCCCAGCCTGGTGGCCAACCTGCGGGAGCACCAGAGGATGGAGGAGGAGGTCCTGCCAGGGTCCTACCCAGACCCCCTGTACTATGAGGAGAGGTCCCCCTACCAGCCCTACCGGAGCTGTCGGAACAACTATGGCCGCAGCCTGCTCTCCAACCCTCTGACCTTCGACGACCGCCCGGAGGATCTGGGTCTCGGCCCGCGCTGCACCCCCTCAGTCTCCACCTGGCAGCCTAGTGGACCCTCCCGTTACCCCGGAGACATGGATCTCACAGACGGGCTGTCGGAGAGGTTGGCCCACGTGGCTCGGGTACCGGGGGGCCGAAGGGTCAGCTACGGACCCATTCACTCCAGAACTAATTTAATGGAGGCGGAGCTTATGGATGCTGACTCTGACTTCTGAGAGCTTTGTGGTACACAGACAAGTAATCTTCACAAAGTGCTGGATACTTTAAACTCCTTACTAAAGTGCACCTAATCCCCAGAGGTGGAACTAAGCCGTCAGTTATTTCTTACTTCATCTTTCTTTTTAGAAGACAAAGGGAAAAGTGAAAATATGTTGTGAATAAGTTAATGAAAAGATTATTTTTTATACTTTATGTTTGTCCAATGAAATTTCAAAAGCAACTCCGTGATGACAAGGCGAGTGAGGCAGCTAAACTTTATGTGGCTTGAAACATTTTGTTCTGAAACTGGTACCAGACAGCGCTGTCTGTGACCACATGAACCCGGGCAGGGGGCAACTCACTGTTGGATTTACCAGTGAGGACATTTGGAGATAAAGGCATTGGATACAACTTTTGAAAGTCTACCCTTTGATGGTGTTATAATCATTTCTACTGCCCAAGGGAGGGCAGTAAAACCGCACTCATACAGAAGACCATACAGGTAATACATGCTACAGGATACTTGCAAATACTGTTAACCAAGGTCTTCTTTTGTGCTACATTTGTATTATCTTAAATCTTTTCTCTTTCCACCACTATTTAGCCATTAAATGCTTGTGTTCGTGTGCAGTTCATTTGAGGTACTAACATATATCTCCCTTTCCCTGTTAATACTAATATCACTAAAATGACATACACACACTCACACAGAAGCCATGAGTACTGAAATAAATGATTAAATGTGTATAAGATGTGACATTTAGGGCGCACAGATTCACATTGTGAAGATAAACTTCCTCCATTGAACTAACATCTGCAAAGTTACATGATTTAGTTTTAATAATAATTTAAAATGTAACCAGATAGCAGACATTAAGTTACTGAGCTAAAATATCAACATATTATTTGTAGATGCTCTGTTGCCTGGTGCAATAAACCAACATTAGCTTATTTTATTTACCTGAATGGAATGGCTGACTTTTTCTCAATGAGTCCTTCTTGTATATTTCACTTAAAGTGTTATTTTGTTTCACTACAGTATTTTTACTTGAGTTAATCTGTTGTACATACTTAATATAAACTGGGCTTCACAACTGTGCCACTTTCTTTAGCTCAGTTGAAAATCTTTCATGTGAATTATTTTAGACTACACAGGGCTTAGGAGACACGTATTTCTCCTGAATGCTTCTTTTTTTCAGCGTCTCTCTTTCTAAATGTGTGTTCTGTAAATAGGCTGTTCATAGATTTCGCAATAAGGGTATTATTTGTACAGATTGATGTATCCGATCACTTGATTACTCTGCTGATATGGTAAATAAAAAGGGAAGAGTATGCTATAAAAATATGTCACTGTACTTGCTGTAACCAAAACTTCACTTAGTTTTACACTCAATATGGATACATGATGCTAAAGTAGACAGTGGTAGCTGGTGCTAAATAGTTTGTCTAATGTAATGTCTAGTTGTTCATGTAAGATGTGTATGTTAGAGAATTATTTATGTCATCAGTAGATACCATACTGCTATGAATTAGACGATATAGGGAGTTTGGCAACAAAATGAAGCACAGCTGATGTCCACCTAAAAAGAGAAAAGATTGGTAATGTTTAAATAAAGATCAGTTTGGAAATTATGTTTTATGCCTTGAAAGATTTGGTTTTGGTAAGCTGTCAAGAAGACGTAGGCCTCGTGTTTATTCTTGTTTAGTTTCCCAACTCTGTGTAAAAAGGTACTGTCAGTTTGTGCAGCTGTACGTTTCTGTTTTGATATGTAAATAAAAGTAACCCTACACTCATCTGTGTGATTTGACGTGTTGCCACACCATGCACAGGAGCCACAGTTTGTGCAGAAAGGTTTTCACAGAGGTCCTTTTTATTCGACAGCTCAAAGATAGAAAAAAAGGTTTTGTTCTAGAGACCGCCTAGGGATGAGATCACACCATCAACAACGCTAAAACCAGCCTGGGGCGACAAGTGGGGGGCCACCACTTCCATCCCATTAGTTATTTATATTTGCTTAAAAAGTTGCTCATATTTGTATACAAAATAATGTGTTCATATGATGTATTACACAGGGTTGGAAGGGTTACTTCAAAAATCTATTCCGTTACAATTATTAGTATAACAATTTTAACCAGCAACCCTAGTTAAGTATCAAAATATAAAAGTAATGTAACCTGATTACTTTCCGTTACTATAGATTACCTCAATGTCAGATGCAATGCAAATAAGTGTGTAATGTCAGACAGCAGAACAATGTGACTGTAGAAAAGAAGCAACCAAGATATTTGTAGGATCAGAAATGATTTTACTTATAGGAAACGCTGCCTTTCACTCAGCATATTCAGGCAGTAGCCTTAACACCAACACCAACGCTCTCCTGGCTGCTGGTCTTCACCTGTAGCCAAGATGAACGCCCGCACAACAGAAAATGCTGCGTTTTAGTTTAATGCAGCTCACACACACTATTTTATGATCATATATGTTGGGGAAATATTTTCCAAGGCCCATAACTTTGACCCAGTTTATCAGTTCAAACTGTCCTGACTGAACACACGCACCTGTAACCTTGGCTGCTGTGCTCTCAGTGTTTTGTCTCCCTGTTCCTGCCTGTTGGCGTCAGCTGATAGAGGTGTTATCATTCTATCTTGTTGTGCACAATGTTGATTATTCTCTCTGAACTAGCTAAATACACGGGTCTGGGTTAGAGTTCTTCAGATTTGACGTGGCATCTCAACCGTGTGGTCAACTCGTGGCCCGTGATATGTCTTGTGAATTCTCCGGCCAAAGCTCCAAATAAACCGTCAGTGTTTGCCATCAAAGCTCCAGCTCTCCTCGTGTTAGCCCACAGGACAGTACAGTTTACAAAGAAGAAATACAATCTGATCCTTTCACAACAAACACTTTATGCTCTTTTTAGTCTTTAACTAACATTGTAGACTCTCAGGTCTTCTGGGACTGGTCAGCTTTCTGTCCCCAGAGTCAGAACTAAACATGGAGAAGCAGCGTTCAGTTATTATGCTCCAAATATCTGGAACAAACTCCCAGAAACCTGCAGGTCCGCTGCAACTCTGACTACTTTTAAATCCAGGCTGAAGACTTATCTTTTTGCCGCTGCTTTTAATTGAACTATTCATATCTTAAACTGCACTGTAACTTTTTATTCATGTACTTTTTATTCATGTAATTTTTCTTTTAATGTTTATTTTATTATCTTTTCTTTTTAATGACTGTTTTTAAATGCCTTTGTCTGAATGTCTTTCATTTTTGTAAAGCACATTGAATTGCCTTGTGTTGAAAGGTGCTATATAAATAAACTTGCCTTGCCATCCCCATTTTTTGAAATATTAACAGTAATCTGATTTTTTTTGTCACTGTGACGGAATACATTTACCTTTTTTTTGTATCCTGTTTATGTAATCCCTTTAGATGTAATCTGTTACTCCCCAAACCTGGTTTTACTAAAAACGGCAGTATCAATTTGTAACACTAGGGGCGCTGTGGTAACAAAGGTTAAAATCCCACACACAGCGCTTTAATGGATAAAACAAATTAAAAAAAGATAAACAGATACACGTAACACATACGTGTGAATAAAATAGGACGTAGGAGTGACATTCATACATAAAATTGTAGTATTTTAAATGTTTCTGTGTTCGATAGTTCCCTCCCCTCTGTGTGCCGGTGTAGCTCTGCTGGTGGGTCTCGCGCAGATCAGCCTTCTTAAGGAGTGTGTTACCGCTCCTCGCGCAGATGAAACAGGAGCGAGACTCGGGGATAAACAGAGAGCATGTTCCTCAATAAGTGCTCGCGGACGCCAGGAGATGCGGAGAGCCTTCGGCGAGGGTCAGCGGCGGACACCCCAGGTAAGACCAAGCTCCTGCCGCTGCTGGAGCTTTGTGAGACCTCCGTTCAACTAACACGCTGCTTTTTGGTCTTTATCTGCGTGTTTAAAACCTAGGGCAGGCTGTCAGATTCGTCTTTGTGTTTATTTTACATTTGACTTGGTCGTTAACGCGTTGATCAAAGTCACCTGTGCTGCAAACTTTCCTCCAATTAGTGCTCAGTATTTGTCTCTGTCTGCTGTCTGCCTGACAACTAAAGAAGTCACTTTCTTCCTAGAGTAAAGTGTGACTATATTATAAACTTAACTGATGTGAACTTTGGTATACTTTTATTCAGACAGAAGCTTAGAAGTATATTGTTTACTGGTCTTTTACAGAATATTCTAATTTATCCAGAACATATTATTCGCTGTTTATTTTTAAAAACACGTTGTTAAAAATAATGTCCCAATTTAGGAAGAATAAAGTGTCTATCTATCTAGTGGTGAGGATTGTGTCCTGAATCAGAAGCAGTTATTTCCTGTACTTTAAAAGGGATTGTTTTGGGATGATCACCATTTTTTAACCCTAATCCAAGTTGTTTACATCATGTTGGTTTGGTAGATTGTCAGTCTGGATTGTTCCCCACTTTCATTCTTCATCAAACACACTGGTTCTGTCATCTCCCCTCAATTTATTGCTGTTTTCAAAAGGTGTCAGCTCACAGCAAGTCGTTTTAAAAAAGGCACCAGTCAATTGTGAAGTCTGAATGAGACTTATCCTCTTCCAGTTGCCTTCAAAATACATCCACTGTTTCTTTACTGAGACACAGGGAGTAACAGTTAAGGCATAGCAAGCAGATTACATATCAACAGTCCATGCATGCTTCTGTTTTGATTGCAAAGCATAGAGTTCATGTCTCTGTGTGCTGCAATGCATTTCTAATGTGATCAGTCCTGCAGACAGCAGTTGACAGGGGGGGGGCTGAGGTGACACTGCATGACTCTCAGGAGGTTTTTGTTAGTCACACACATCTCCTTGGCTGGAGGGCTTTGGTGGAGGATGTCAATCAAGCTCACACCTCTGCAGTGATACCCTGCAGGGAGGTGTGTGTAGATTGATGTTTTTAGGTGGAGTCAGCGGTTATGGGGAAGGACGGACACCAAAACAAATACCCCCCCTCCAGATTTACCGTCCTCTCACCATCACTGTTTCTCTCTCTATACATCCATGGCTTTCCCTGGGTTCTAAGCATGAACACACACTGCTGCTCATCTGCAGGAACAGCATTGTTTGGCACGGCCCGAGCAACTTATGCACAACAAAGAACAGAAAGTAGAGAACAGAGAAACAGATATTCAATACATCAGTCAAGTGTATTGAATTAGATCGGATCTACTCATCTCCAGACTTCATTTAGCATTTTTCTCTGCTCATGTCATGTCAATATATTACTGATGCAAACCCAAAAATAAAGAAAACAAGGTATTTTTGCCTGTAATAAGTACACAAATCTGCCAATAGAACAAGTGCACATTGCTTGGTAAGATTTCTTGAAATAAGGTGGGATATTTAGATAACTCAGATGTTGTTATTAGCTGGGGGAACTTATTTGTAACTATATTTCACCAGAATCAGTAAATGTTGTTACAAAACGAGCCAGAAATGCTCCACATTTTTTGTTTTCTGATTTGAATTTTCTAATAAATATGTAAATAAAAAAAGTTTAATCTGAGATACAACTCAAAGTAAGATGTTTTTTTAAGAGTCTTTGATTGAACAATATGCTTAAGATGCATTGTCTAAAAATAAGACCCTATATATCATTGTATTGTTACTATCCTACTTTATACAGATTTTTATATTAACAGTCAACTTGTATATTTTATTCTCATCCATCCATCCATCTTCTCCCGCTTATCCGTGGTCAGGTCGCGGGGGTAGCAGTTCCAGCAGAGAGCCCCAAACTTTCTTTTCCCTGGCAACATCAACCAGCTCTGACTGGGGGATCCCAAGGCGCTCCCAGGCCAGCGAAGAGATATAATCCCTCCACCTTGTCCTAGGTCTACCCCTTGGTCTCTTCCCAGCTGGACATGCCTGGAACACCTCCCTAGGGAGACGCCCAGGTGGCATCCTAACTAGGTGCCCGAACCACCTCAACTGGCTCCTTTCAACGCGAAGGAGGAGCGGTTCAACTCTGAGTCCCTCCCGGATGACTGAACTTCTCACCTTATCCCTAAGGGAGACACCAGCCACCCTGCGGAGAAAACCCATCTCGGCCGCTTGTATCCGCAATCTCGTTCTTTTGGTCATGACCCATTCTTCATGACCATAGGTGAGGGTAGGAACGAAAATGGCCCGGTAGACAGAGAGCTTTGCCTTCTGGCTCAGCTCCCTTTTCGTCACAACGGTGCGGTAAAGCGACTGCAGTACCGCTCCCGCTGCTCCGATTCTCCGGCCCATCTCACGCTCCATTGTTCCCTCACTCGAGAACAAGACTCCGAGATACTTGAACTCCTTCACTTGGGGTAAGGACTCATTCCCTACCTGGAGTGGACAGTCCATCGGTTTCCTGCTGAGAACCATGGCCTCAGATTTGGAGGTGCTGATCCTCATCCCAGCCGCTTCACACTCGGTTGCGAACCGATCCAGTGAGTGCTGAAGGTCGCAGACCGATGAAGCCATTAGAACCACATCATCTGCAAAAAGTAGTGGTGCAATCCTTAGTCCACCGAACTGCAGACCCCCTCCCCCCTGACTACGCCTCGAAATCCGATCCATGTATATTACAAACAGGATTGGTGACAAAGCGCAGCCCTGGCGGAGGCCAACCTTTACCGGAAATGGGTCCGACTTACTGCCGAGGACCCGGACACAGCTTTCGCTTTGGGAGTACAGAGATTGGATGGCCCTGAGTAGAGACCCCCTCACCCCATACTCCCGCAGCACCTCCCACAGTAACTCCCTGGGAACTCGGTCCCTCCAGGATCCTTGCGAGAGTAAAAAGCTGATCCGTCGTTCCACGACCAGGACGGAATCCGCATAGTTCCTCCTCAATCTGAGGTTCGACAATCGGCCTGACCCTCCTTTCGAGTACCTTAGAGTAAACTTTCCCGGGGAGGCTGAGTAGTGTGATGCCTCTGTAATTGGCACATACCCTCTGATCCCCCTTTTTAAAAAGGGGGACCACCACCCCGGTCTGCCACTCCTTCGGTACTGTTTCCGACTTCCACGCAATGTTGATGAGACGTGTCAACCATGACAGTCCCTCAACACCCAGAGCCTTCAGCATTTCTGGGCGGATCTCATCCACCCCCGGGGATTTGCCACTGTGGAGTTGTTTGACGACCTCAGTGACCTCCCCCCGGGAGATTGGTGTTGATCCCCCGTCATACTCCAGCTCTGCCTCTAACATAGAGGGCGGAGTTGTCGGGTTCAGGAGTTCCTCAAAGTGTTCCTTCCAACGCCCTAACACTCCATCAGTTGAGGTCAACAACGTCCCATCTTTACTGTACACAGCTTGGATGGTTCCCTGCTTCCCCCTCCTGAGGTGTCGGACAGTTTTCCAGAACAACGTTGGTGCCGCCCGAAAGTCCTTCTCCATGTCTTCTCCGAACTTCTCTCACACCCGCTGCTTTGCCTCGGCCACGGATGAGGCTGCTGCCCTTCGGGCCTGTCGGTACCTTGCAGCTGCCTCGGGAGTCCCCCGGGATAACAAATCCCTGAAGGCCTCCTTCTTCAGTCGGACGGCTTCCCTGACCACCGGTGTCCACCAGGAGGTTCGAGGGTTACCGCCCCTTGAGGCACTTAAGACCTTGAGACCACAACTCCCCGCCGCGGTTTCGGCAATAGAGGCTTTGAACACCGACCACTCTGGTTCAATGTCCCCAACCTCCACAGGAATGCCCGAATATTTTATACTCATATTTTTTCTATTTTGAGATAATTCTATTTTCTAATTATTTATTTTTCTACTCTTTTTAATTTCTAATTATGTGCAATGCCCTGTCTTATATGTTGCTGCAACGAAAACAATTCCCAATTTGGGATGAATAAAGTATATCTTGTCTTATACAAAGTGCAAAGACAAATATACTTGGCAAGATTTCAAGTGTTGGTACTGTACTCTGCCTTTTTAAACCCTTGACAGTTCTGCATGATTTGTTCATATTTAGAGAACTCTGTGGATCCTGAACAGCATCACTGGTTGCCGCGGCGACGGTGTCAAAATGAAAGGGTCCAGCATCCAGAGCTGGGCGCAGTGGAGACCCCCTCCCCGGAAGCTTCTGCACACCACTACTGCCACTACACCCCCAAGTGCTTCCTCACCGTGCACAGAGGTAAACCAGCACTGTTTCTGTAGGGATCTGTGGACATGGGAGATATGTAGTTTCATAGAAGTCAACTGAAGGAGAGAGAGCAGTATATTTTCTCTTGCCATGTGGAAGAGCTTTCTCACTGTGATCTGCACAGGAGGACAAGGCACCACCCAATCTACTCCGTCTCGGTATGGAGAAGAGGCTTGGCATGAAGACACCATAAGGACCACCACCATCAGAGCTGAGAATGAGGTGGAGGCTCACAGGGAGGCCAACAACTACAAGGTGGGCAACGACTGGCTTTAGAGTATGCTCCCTTAACCCTATAATCAGAATACCAATTTCTCACCCCCAATGTTTTTATTCTCTGATGCCTTTACAGGGAATGAAATATCAAAAACGGATATAGATGGATACTTTATTTCACAAGTTGGGAAATTGTTTTCTCACAGCAGACAATCAATGTACAAGAATTAAAACATTCTTCGAAAATATAATAAAATACAAATAAAATAAACATTAAAAACTAAATATACATATTATCAGTAGAAAAGACATATTCAGAAAAGTATCGATGCACTAAAATATACTGAATAAATTAGAATACCGATCTACTAAAGGGACAGCAACATTTAAACATAGTGCACTATATTAAAAGGTTTTATTCAAAGTAAAATATATCCTGTGATATGATCCAAGTCATACTGTATGCTTACTACTTTCCAACATATGTCTTTTTGCTAAAACTTTACTATTTATAACACTTTGGCATAAATGTGGTAAAGTATTATCAGAGATGGCAAAAGTAACACATCCTTTCCTCAAGTAGAAGTACAGATACTCATGTTCAAAAATACTCTGGTAGAAGTACTGACTAAACTTCTTCTTTACTCAAGTCAAAGTAAGGAAGTATGGGCTTTGAAATGTACTTCAGTAAAAAGTACCCATAACTAGCAGCTGTTTTAAAGAGTACCTGACCTCCCTTTTATATTAATAGAACAATAATGTCATTGTTAGCTAATGAATGTTTCCATGCTGAACAACGGCAACATGACAACGTTCTCATTGGTCCCTCTTCTTTAGAGAAGACCAGGAAATGATGGATACACGGATCGTGTTCAAATCAATAGGCACGCAATGACTCTAAAGAATAATGATCACACCACCAAACACACATTCAGACTAAAGGAACCAGCTGTTTGGAAACTGTAAGAAGTAGAAAGTACAGGTATTTGTGTTCAACATGTAAGAAGTAGAAAGTACAGGTATTTGTGTTCAACATGTAAGAAGTAGAAAGTACAGGTATTTGTGTTCAACATGTAAGACGGCAGATAGCTTGCTCATCTTCCGGCGCAAACTGAAAACTCATCTCTTTCGACTCCACTTCGAGCGTTAGAACGATTAACGAAGCACTTTTATACCAATAAAGGACTGGATTACCTAAAGCCAGTTGAGTAGCACTTGAAATGTTTGGCTCTATGAAACCTGATGTACTTATATGATTCTGTTTTCTTCAAGGTTGTGTCTTCCTGGTCGAATGTACTTATTGTAAGTCGCTTTGGACAAAAGCGTCAGCTAAATGCAATGCAATGTAATGTAATGTAATGTAATGTAAGAAGTAGAAAGTACAGGTATTTGTGTTCAACATGTAAGAAGTAGAAAGTACAGGTATTTGTGTTCAACATGTAAGAAGTAGAAAGTAAGGTATTTGTGTTCAACATGTAAGAAGTAGAAAGTACAGGTATTTGTGTTCAACATGTAAGAAGTAGAAAGTACAGGTATTTGTGTTCAACATGTAAGAAGTAGAAAGTACAGGTATTTGTGTTCAACATGTAAGAAGTAGAAAGTACAGGTATTTGTGTTCAACATGTAAGAAGTAGAAGTACCAGGTATTTGTGTTCAATAAAACAGTTTGTTCAACTTAAGAAGTAGAAAGTACAGGTATTTGTGTTCAACATGTAAGAAGTAGAAAGTACAGGTATTTGGGTTCAACATGTAAGAGTAGAAAGTACAGGTATTTGTGTTCAACATGTAAGAAGTAGAAAGTACAGGTATTTGAGTTCAACATGTAAGAAGTAGAAAGTACAGGTATTTGTGTTCAACGTGTAAGAAGTAGAAAGTACAGGTATTTGTGTTCAAAGTGTAAGAAGTAGAAAGTACAGGTATTTGTGTTCAACATGTAAGAAGTAGAAAGTACAGGTATTTGTGTTCAACATGTAAGAAGTAGAAAGTACAGGTATTTGTGTTCAACATGTAAGAAGTAGAAAAGTTACAGGTATTGGGTTCAACATGTAAGAAGTAGAAAGTACAGGTTATTTGGGTTTCAACATGTAAGAAGTAGAAGTACAGGTATTTGGGTTCAACATGTAAGAAGTAGAAAGTACAGGTATTTGTGTTCAAAATGTAAGAAGTAGAAAGTACAGGTATTTGTGTTCAACATGTAAGAAGTAGAAAGTACAGGTATTTGTGTTCAACATGTAAGAAGTAGAAAGTACAGGTATTTGGGTTCAACATGTAAGAAGTAGAAAGTACAGGTATTTGGGTTCAACATGTAAGAAGTAGAAAGTACAGGTATTTGTGTTCAACATGTAAGAAGTAGAAAGTACAGGTATTTGTGTTCAACATGTAAGAAGTAGAAAGTACAGGTATTTGTGTTCAACATGTAAGAAGTAGAAAGTACAGGTATTTGTGTTCAAAGTGTAAGAAGTAGAAAGTACAGGTATTTGTGTTCAACGTGTAAGAAGTAAAAAGTACAGGTATTTGTGTTCAACATGTAAGAAGTAGAAAGTACAGGTATTTGGGTTCAAAATGTAAGAAGTAAAATGTCGTCAGAAAAAAATAAAATGTAGTGGAGTAAAGTACTGATACCAGAAACGAAGTATTTTTACTCCACTACTTCCCATCTCTGAGTATTATGGTAGTTTATAAGTAGTCCTCTTGACATTCATTGTTCTGTGCCATGCTTGTTTCAGTTTGGCTTCAGGAAGTGGAAGGCTCACGTGACAGAGAAGCCCATTGAAGACCGATCGGACATCATCAAAGAGCTCTACTCTGACCTCAGTGTTGTTAAGCCTCAAGAAGGTCTTCTTCTCTCTTTTCGATCCTTAAACTTTCATTCTGTTGCAGCCTACAGGAAAGCAATAACCATACTTGTTATCTTTCCTCTCTTTCAGGCTCGGTGATCACCTTTGGGAACATCATTTATGTCATTTTATTCGGATGGTGGATATCATTAATCTACTTCCTCATTTGCCCTGTAATGTTCCTAACCATCATCGGTGCAGCTTATGGTACGTATCCTGTACACCAGCTGCATCATGTCATTTGTCTTTTATATATTTTAAGTGTCGTTTTAATTATGTATTTATTTAAAGTGTCTTTGAGTTTCTTGAAAAGCGCACCATAAATAAATGTATTTCTTTCAGGCAAACTTTGTTTTAGGTTGGCGTTGTACTTTATTTGGCCATTTGGGAAGTCCATAGAAAAGGTATTTTGAGATCTAGTATTAAACGTTTCCATATTTAAGTGCCATTTAAAAATAAGCTGAGATTTACACGATGATGAAAAGTCATTCACTGTTGATTGTCTGCCCTTCTCAGGCTGGAGAGGTAGTTGGGAGATCCATTGCGAAGCCTCCGAAGTGTGAGGTGATCCCAGAGGAGAGCGACAGTTCGGCGAACAAGGACTCTGCTCCTCTCCTGATGTCCTCCCCGTTCCCTGTGGAGATCCCAGAGCCAGCAGCTGGGAAAACATCCAATCACTGGGTAAGAAGGTCAGAATCACCCTAATCACTGGATGCAAGTAATATTTATATATTAATAAGGCTTTTGAATATACTTTGTCTCTCTGCAGTGTCGCGTCAGCACTTATGTTTGGCTGTTGCTAGGTTACCCTGTCCTGGTGGTGGTTCACTCGCTGGCCTGTGTGCTCTCCTGGCTGCTGGTCTTCACCATACCTGTAGCCAAGATGAACGCCCGCACAATGACCATCGTCCTCCTCATGGCTCCAGAGGACGTTCAGGTTCACAAACTGGAAAAGGTACGATACAGTTATTGTCAGATCCAGTCTGACATTTTTCTTGCATCACAGCAGCTCCATTTGCAACATCAAACAAGGACAAATATTAAGACATGATACAAGGAAAACAACATCAATCACTTAAGAGTAACATGCTTAAAAACCCTTTAGCATACATTTGACCTGGGATTTAGCTCTGTATTTAATTTGAGATAGACTGGTGCACAAAGGAGTGCTTCAGTCTAACTTTATTAAACCGTGGGAACCTGCATCTCTGATTTGATGGTCACAATTCATATTCTCTGTTCAGGACATGGTTGGGGTCAGAGACACTGTTGTTGTGGTAGGCTGATTCACAGAGTTTCTCTCTACATTCTGGTGGAGCAGTTTTGTACAAGTTGTTAAATGTCAGCAGACAGTGAAGAGAAAGATGTCAAGGCAAAGAATGTGTGCAGTATTCTCCTTCCTCAGCTGCACCGGTCAAGCGTATCAAAGCATCAAGTGCAAGGTTATATTAGTCTCCTTATTAGCTATGGTAACATGTTACTGAAGTGTGTGGCAAATCTAATTAGTGCATCTACTGACTTTTCCTTAACGGGTCAGTTCAGCCAAATCACACAGAACAGTGTTCTGTTGTTCTTCCCCACATTCCCCACGCTGAACATAGTTTTATTTGCAATTGCCTTTCAAGTCTATTCCTCTTGCGATGTGGGCAGTTTGCTTTTGGAATGGACCTCAAAAGAAAAGCTAAATTGACCTTAGCGTTGGAGGATTATTCAGTAAGCAAAATGCTGTTCATAGAAAGACATGTGGCTCAGATGTTTTCAATATCCACATACCACTAGAAGAGAGCACAGCAAAGGTTTTCTTCAATTATCTAACCTTGCCCTTTAAACCATATGGACCATCCATCCATCCATCCATCTTCTCCCGCTTATCCGTGATCGGGTCGCGGGGGTAGCAGTTCCAGCAGAGAGCCCCAAACTTTCTTTTCCCTGGCGACATCAACCAGCTCTGACTGGGGGATCCCAAGGCGCTCCCAGGCCAGCGAAGAGATATAATCCCTCCACCTGGTCCTAGGTCTACCCCTTGGTCTCTTCCCAGCTGTTGGGTGCATAAGCACACACAACAGTCAGAGTTTTCCCCCCCATAACCCGCAGGCGTAGGGAGGTGACCCTCTCGTCCACTGGGGTAAACTCCAACAACGAAGCACCTAACCGGGGACTTGTGAGTATCCCCACACCCGCCCGGCGCCTCACACCTTGAGCAACTCCGGAGAAGAATAGAGTCCAACCCCTATCCAGAAGTAAGGTTCCAGAGCCGACGCTGTGCGTAGAGGTGAGCCCAACCAGATCCAACTGGTAACGCTCCACCTCCCGCACAAGCTCCGGCTCCTTCCCCCCCAGAGAGGTGACGTTCCACGTCCCCAAAGCCAGCTTCTGTCGCCCGGGTCTGGTCCGTCGAGACCCTCCGCTTTCACTGCCACCCTTCTGGCAGCGCACCCGACCCCATTGATGTTTCCCGTAGGTGGTGGGCCCGCGGGACGGAGAAGCGGAGGTGTTGCCCACGTTGCCTTTTCGGGCTGGGCCCGGCCGGGCTCCGTGGCAAGCCCGGCCACCAGACGCTCGCCGACGAGTCCTCCTTCTGGGCCTGGCTCCAGAAGGGGACCCCGGGCTTCCTCCGGGCCGGGTATCCTCACTTCTTGTATCGTCTTTCATGAGGTCTTTTGAACCAATCTTAGTCTGGCCCCTTGCCTGAGACCAATTTGCCATGGGAGACCCTACCAGGAACACAAGGTTCCAGACAACACAGCCCCCAGGTTCATCAGGGCACACAAACCTCTCTACCACGGTAAGGTGCTGGTTCTTCAGAGAGGTCCATTCTTCAATGGTCCATATGGACCATTGAATCTTATTTTAAAAATGTGTAACTTTGGGGTTAAATGTCTTTTGTTCTCTTTTGCAGACCGCTGTGTGTGAGACCAAAGTCATCTTATGCTGTTATCGAGCCTTTAATGTGTATTACTACAAATACAGCATACAAGGAATCAACATTATCCCCCTCAGTATCCTTTTCCTGCTGTTGATTACAGTAAGGGGCTTGTAAGACAAATTCCAAGAGGTCAACTATTGGTAAATTAGATTGCATTTCAATATACTGTACCCTTGTTTTCTCACAAAGTGTAACATGGAGTGTGTGTAACCAGCAGCCCTGATCTGCATGTCATGTATGCAGTGGCATTTTTACATGTACAAAAGTGGTGGGGCACAAAAAACTTAGATGTCTATAAGCTTCTGCAGTGAGGTTCATGGCTGGTGAGGCACTGCACTGACTCTTCAGGTATACAAATATTATATTTTGACCTAAATCAAAATATATTATTTTCAAAAGCTTTTTTAGTCTGATGCTTCAATTAATTTTAAACGGACAGTTCAACAAAAGGATACCCAAAAAATGTAATTTTATCATTTAAATATTGAATTGTTCTCTCTTAGTAAGATCCCATTTTCAATAAAATTGCGGTCTTACCTTGACTTGAGGATGAAGTCCATTTGCCTATCCTTCTGGACAAAAATCTCTATTACTTTTTTGTAAAAGTCCTCCTTATGTTCTTGTAGTTTCAAAAGTCTATCATAAATCGAATCAATAGATTTATGATTCGAAAATTATAAAAGTAGGGTAGACATGTGGATATTATCCGGCTGAACAAAACGTGCATTTATATAACAGGTACGTTTCCCACAGATCTTATTTTGTATTATTTTCTAAAATCTCATTGCTTTTTTGTGGAGGGAAGCCATACGCAGCTTACTTCTTGGTTTTAAGACGCGTCTCTCGTCTCCTCTTCACACACCACACTTTTCGCGGCACACGTACTTACAGCCAATCAGCTCTGAATTATGTAAGCTGACGTATGGTGGGGATGGCAGCACTATGCCCCTATGGTCATTATTTTTTTGCCACACACATTAAATAGGAAAATACTCTGAGCATGCGCAGTGTAGTTTTTATAGTCACCATTGACTTCTTAGACAGTGAGAGGGAGGGGCAGGATCGGGTTTTGTCCCACATGGCTCTAAACAGCTCAATAGGCACACACTGCAGACACTAATTAGAACACAGAGGAATCGGATGATTAAACATACTTAAAATATATTTTATATTTTATTTAATTATTTTTTGCATGATTTTTGTAATCATTATTTTTAATACTTTCTGCTGACACGAGGTGGGGGATCCAGCCCTGCTCTGTCTGCTGTCCATCAATGTGTTCTCCTTAAGTCCCTGCTCCCTGCAGACCTGCTCCCCCTGGTGTTCATCACGATCATTATTGGATACACTGACCGTAAACACACATTCTGCAGCGCAGAGACCAAGTTTATCACCGCCATCATCTCCATCATCCCTCTCTCCTACTATATTGGCATGGGAATAGCCAGGTACGTTTAGAGTGTCCCTGATACTTGTGAATAAAGAGGTGAGTATTGGACTGTATGACCATCACGGCCCCTGGTAGACCCCCCAAACAATACAGACTGTTGCAATCTTATGCACCAATTGTAGTGTGACATAATCACTTCTAGTAAAAACATACATTTATTTGATATGGTCTCAATACTTTAATATGTTAATTATCACACTTTCTAACATACTGCTACTCATTGTTAGCCATAGTTGTTTTCTTATTTGTCTTTTATTTATTACTTATGTGTGCTTTTCTTTTTGTATTATTGCTTGCCTTGTATACCTGCTATGCCACTTTTGCTGTAACATTGTAAATGTCCCCGCTGTGGGGCTAATAAAGGAATTCTGATTCTGACTTGTGTTGTAATTTTGCTCCTGAATTCTGATGACTGTATTTCCACAGCATTTCTGCTCAGAGTAACTTTGCAGTGGGGGCGGTGGTGAATGCCACGTTCGGCTCCATCACAGAGATGACTTTCTACATCACAGCACTGCTGCAGGGACACAATGCTAAAACCAAATGTTATGAGGAGATCGTCAAAGCAGCGCTCACTGGGACCCTGCTCGGGTGTATACTGTTCGTACCGGTGAGGGCCTGAGAAGCAACAACTCATCAGTTAACATGCAGCAGTATGACCCTCTGAATGACTGTCTGTGTTTGACAGGGTATCTGTATGATCATCGGGGGCATCAAACACAGAGAGCAGAGATTTAACAGTCGTTCAGCCGGAGTGAGCTCTGCTCTGCTCTTCATCTCCGTAGGAGGTCTGTATCGTAGTGGCACATTCAATTCATTTCAAACAATATGTCCTCCACTACCAGATTCATAATATTTGATCCTCATGATGTTATATTGTCCCTAGGTGTTTTTGCTCCCACCCTCTTCTCAAAGACGTTTGGGGATCTGGTGTGTGAGAGCTGCACCAATGTTCCAGGCAACAGCAGCGTCCCGTTCATCTGCAGGGACTGTCACTACGACACGGTGAGCCGCTTCATGTGTTTCACAACGTTTTATCAACTGCTCATGGACTTGGAGGGGACATTCCTCACTCTTCTACCATAAAGATTACACCGACAGCTTGATATATATAAATTCTTTAATTGCCATATTTACATACTCTTTTGTTTTACACTCCTGCTGCACCGATAGTGAAACATTTCCAGTTCACATACAGGTCATCGTACAAAACCAATACAGAAGCAGTTGACAAGATTAAAACAACAAATACAGCAGACAAAAATAAATGAGAAATTCCCTACATAGTCACCAATAATAACGATTAATGCGGGGGGGAAATAAATAAACAATTAATAATTAATCAAGCTAACAAGGTACAATGGTTGAGGGGACTTGGCCTTGATCATACTAAATTAAGTATACTAAGCACTACATTATTATAGTAGCATAGGCATTACAGGCATCCATCTCTAGAAACATGTTTCTGAAGCCCTAAACCAAGGCATGTGTGATTTATTTAATTTGTATGTACATTTATAATATTTCTTTCAATTTCGTATAACTCCCCACGCTTCCAGTCATTACACTGTATGTTGGTGGTTCAGGTTTAACCATCAAAGCGTGATGCACTTGATGGCTGACGCTAATAGAATTTGTAGTAAATATGCTTTATCTCTGGGAGTACACCAAGGAGAACTACTGTAGGGTCCTTGGGTTTCTCTTACTGAACAACTTCCTGGAGAGCATCAAATACATCCTTCCAGTTTTCACTCAGTTCTGGGCAGGAACACAGACCACACCATACTGTACGTGTGATGTGCTGACCACACTTTCTCCAATTCTGTTGTTTTTAATAGAGTACAGCGGACCCACATTTGATCCTGTCCCATATTGAGTAAGTACATGCACCATGCCTTTTTATTTACATTTTGCAGGGCTCGTCCCCTCAATAGTGTTTGATCTAATAATGAAATAAATGTCCTCCAGGCCCCTGGTGTACACCATCTCCGTGCTGCTGCCTGCTGCCTACCTGATCGGCCTCATCTTCACCCTGAAGACCCACTCCCACATCTATGATATCCACATCAGCGACTTGCACGGGGGCCAGGACGCACAAGAAGGCACTAGCACCACTGGTGATGTCACCTCAGGCCATCTACTTGTAGCCAACACGTATATTAATGGCAGCATTGTTTCCAACAGTCACATTGCCACAGGTGTGTGTGAAGTGTTCTTTAATATGTTGGGTGAAGGAGCATGAAACGCACTGACTGCTTGTTGCCTGCTATGTTAGTGTATGTAAGGAAACGGCATGCTAAAACCCTTGATGTGAGGGGGAACACCTAACATACAGTAGACTTTGGATGAGAAAGGGGAGGACCAATATCGCCCAACATTGAGGTAAGTAATAAATATTACACTCATGCTGTGTTTTCCACCTGCAGGGCATCATGTAGTGCACTGGTCCCGGACCAGGGCCCTTGGAGTGCTGATTGTTGCCACGGTACTAATGGCCTGCTGCGCTGACCTCAGCACGGAGAATATCCAGCCCATACTGGCCCATTCCTCCATCTCGCTGGTAATCAAAATGTATTGTTTTCTATAGAGGAATAAAACACCACTTAGATTCAAAGTCATTGCTCCTTGGTTGATAAGCCCACTTTAGCATTTAGAAGCAAACCTTTTTATTAATACACATTTAGATAAACTCAATCCAAAGCAATGATGTGTGTTTCTGTGTACTTCCTGTTGCAGTACTTCATCAGTGTCACAGTGTTGGCCATGGTGCCGGAGCTTCCTGAGATTGTCAATGGGATCCTGTTTGCACTGCAGAACAACATCAGCCTGAGGTACCAGCATCATTTATTCCACTTTATAAAGGCCATACTTGCCACTACCAACACTACCTTGCAATAACACCTGTGAATATAAAACTTTGGGCAATAAACACACATATACCCTCATGCAATTCACGCTTAATTTTTTTTCAAATTATTTATTTATAAACAGTACCAGCAACCTCTTTAATTTGATATGGTCACTTAAAAAAAAGATATACTGCTACTTATTTACAATGGTGTACTTGACTGCTATCATTTGTTTTTTACTTATTGTGTTTTTTTATTATTAATAACATGTGCATACTTAGTTATTTAAGTGTTTTAATATGTAAGTCTTTTAACTTTAACTTTTAAAGGTCCCATGTCATGCTTTTCCGGTTATTACCCGTCCCCTTGTGTGTTATGTAGCTTTTTCTGCATGTAAACGGTCTGCGGAGTCACAACCCCTCAAAGTACACCCTGTATGCTGCCCCAGAACGCCTCGTTGGAGATTTGTCTTTTTCCATTTTTTTTTTTTTTCTTCCCGAGTATAGTGACGTAACGATACCCAGGTCCAAATGGACCAATCTGTGGAGCTCCACACACTCACTCACTCACTCACTCACTCACTCACTCACTCACTCACTCACTCACTCACACTGTCGGCTCCTCGCGTCTCAAAGGGCGCAGCAGCGAGCCCTGCAACGTCCCGCCAACACGGCACCCAGACCCCACGCAGCATTCTCATCTGTTTGTCATTTTCTGGTTGCTAACAAATGCCATTGTAACACATAAACACACATCAGAGCACAGTGGGCTCATATGGAACAATGCCTTGTTGGAGCAGGAGCTCCAACAAGGCATCATACTATACATAGAGGCTGTATGAGAAAACCAATGTGAGTTTGGAACATTGAACAATGTAAATCTATTCTAGTAGACCTCAACAATGGAATTATGATCAGTAGAAATGGCCATGACATGGGACCTTTTTTAAATAAAGGAATTAACTTCATATTGAGCTAATATATCTGGCAAGCGAGCACAATATTTAAAGCACAGTAATGTGTGGTAGTTCAATGTCATTTTACTCATGTATTAACATAGTATGTGAACATGTATAAGCCTAGTCCATACCATTGTCAATTTAGCCATTATAAAAATAAGTATCAAATAACTTGTATATTTTTGGTCCACAGCCTTGAAGTGGGCAGTTGCATTGCTGTGCAGGTGTGCATGATTCAGATTCCACTGCTCATTCTCTTCAATGCCTTCTACGTAAGTGCCCCGTAATGAATACATCTGTACATAATGAAGTAGTTTCAATCCTGCAGCAGCAAACCTTTTGTTTTCTCCCAGGATGTGGGATTTGTGCTGGTGTTCAGTGATATTCACCTCTGGGCCAGCATCTTCAGTGTCATTCTGGTCAATTACATCTTCATGGATGGAAAGTGTGACTACTTTCAGGGTGAGTCCTATTTCTGAGATTACTCCACATCAGAAATAAACAGCAGCAGTTCACACTGACCACATTCATTGGATGTTTCAGCAAAAGTACAAGTACAGTACAGAACAGTCTATCTAACTTCTAAGGCATGCATCGTCATGAGGAAGCAGAAAAAGAGGATGTGTGGACGGATTTTTATTTTAGTCTTGATAAAAGGTCTTAACACACGTGTTTTTGATGAAGTCTGTTTGTTTTGCAGGCACTGCTCTGGTGGTGGTCTACCTCATCCTTCTGGCTCTTTACTTCTTTGCTCCTTCTCCACGCTCTTGTTGATCAAAGTCTCCAACATTCCCAGTGGATTCAGCGCCTCAAAAGATGGACAAATATTTTGATTGAGATTTGAAATTGCACAGTAAAGCTGTAAGTGAATAGCTGTGAGCTATTTGTCAATATATGATATTGAAATGGTGTTTTGTAGTCATATTTCCCGTCCTGGCAATGTTAAAGAAATCTGTGAATCTTTTGCAAATGTGAATTTGTAGTAATTATTTTTGCCTCTGGTATGTAATATGCTGTTTATAAAGAATATAATAAACGCAACAATTTATAAAACATGAAATAAGAATATTTTTGTATCTTCAGTACCAACGTCCTTTTGTTTTTACGAAATAAGTTGTTAACATTTGGCACATTTAGTATGTCCACATAACAGGACATGCCTGTTATAGCTTAAATATGTTTTCTATGGCTGGACATGGCAACATTAACTCGTGCAAAACCTAGAACAACATATTTCTCATCATGCTTATGTTTAGTGAAGCAACGGGAACCGAGGTTCAGAGAGCTATTCACAGAACCTTTTATTGACAGTACTCCAACACAACATTCACACAAGCCTACTGTACAACATTTTAGTGGTCACCTTTAAAGCTATTTCCTAAAGTAAAGGTTTGATGTTTATAAAAAAAAAGCAGGTCATGACATCATGCACAGAGCAGTGAGTTATGCAGAAGGAAAATAAAGGGCAAGGGAAAGAAGAGCAGGCAGATCAAACGTCTCATCCTGGGCCTCTCCTTAAATCTTAGCACTCATCACTTTGTTCAAGTTGCAACATCATTTGGCATCTGATCAAATCATGAGTTAAACATAGCAACTGTAATTAACTCAGTCACTTGACAGGCCCAATGTGATGCATCCTGAAGTCTACTAGCTCTGGCCATTAACAGCTCAAAGCCTCTGCATCCTTTAAACAGGATACAAAATATTTTTCACAAAGTGATTTTATGTAAATGATCACCGTTTCAATGTTCACTAACTTTTTAACAAACTATTGCATGCCTACACAGATCTTTTACTGCCAATATTTCAGCCTCATTCAAGTTTGAAAAAGGCACTGCAGTATAACATGTTTATGAGCCTGCTTCTAAATCAACTCCTTGTGCAAAACAGTATCAACAGAGTTAAGTCTTTATTTGATAAAAGCATTTAGAATTAAGTTTAAAGAGCACCAAATTCACAGTGATGTGTTGCATGGTTTGGTTTACAAATGAGAGCTGCAAGGAAACGGGGTGAAATTCTTTTGCAGATGGTTTTTCCAACTAGGCTGTATGATGGAGAGATCCGGAAACACAAGGCTCAGACATCGGCAAACCCTGCATTCACCCTTTCACAAACTAAGAGCATACAGTGTTCCTAACTTACAACATCTTGACCATGACCATTTCCAAGGCATACCATAACTTTAAAATCAAAATAAATGTTTTTCCTTCCCTTTAGACAACCACTGGTTTTAATAGATGTTCATACCATAAAGATATAACAAATAAAAAGGCTGCCTGGTAGGTTGCAAACACATTAAAAAACCTAAAACAAAACGTCAACAAATGAAAATCATACATGAGATTTGAATTAAATTGGCTAAACATTAGCAAAACCACTGGCTGCCACTTATTGACTGAAGGTGAGCTGCTTACAAGATCTATACCAAAAAAAAGAGGAAAATGTTCACAAGTATATAAGACAAAGTGCAAACAGCGACACCGGGTGACGAGAAGACCCCCAGGAAAACTGATTTAGTCCTTCAAATAAATACACATGCATTCGTCCTTTGCACAGAATTCTTAAAAGTACTAGAGTAGGCAGATTTGTTTTATAATGGGGGGGGCAGTCGTTGAAGACAAGACGTGGCAAGATAATCCGGGTGTCACAGGTTGGAGGATGAGGAGCGGGATTTCATGTTTAGCTTGACCCAAAGGCATCATGTAAAGAACCGTGGTGGCTGGGGGGATGGAGTAAAATCCATTAAACATTCCATATTTATTTTCTTTATCACTAAAACTGCGAAAGAAATAAGAACAAAAAAAAAGGCATCCGATTGTTTTTGGTTTTAAGGCGGGGCTACGTTAGGCGGGGGAAGGAGCGGGCATTTCCCCAGAATTTAGCTCTGAATCCAATTCTGTGCTCTGTCCGACCTCGTCTCCTCCCAGTCTGTCCATTTATTTGTCCCTCCTCTAATGTGCGGCCTATTTCAAGCGTTCAATGAGTTCCTGTGTGAGGCCCAGGTTGAGCAGCTGCATTGTGGGTAGTGAAGTCAGATGGGGAAAGGACTTGAGGAGCTTCTCCCAGCAGAGCTCCAGCAGGCTGGGCCCAGCCAGCCAGATCTTAAACAGAGAGCCAGTTCTCTTGTTCTCATGGATGTTCACCACACCACCATGGATGTACATACAGCCAGCCTAGGGAGGGAAGGAGAAATATTGTATTCAGATATATATCTAGAGATAATACCTTTAGGTTCTGAGATGCCCCTTCGGAGTGTGACTGACAATTATTTCAGTTCGTTTTGTGCAGTTAAAACATTGAAAAAGTTTAAATATAGGTTCATTAAATACCATCTGATAGAAAGTACAGTATTTCTCAGTCACTCACATTTCCCCGCATTTTGCTTTGATTACAGAACTTAAAATACTTTATCTAGTAGGAAGTTTGACTAACATTAAGGGATTTGTTCTCAGCATTTAAAGGAATTTCATGGCTAACATTACTTTTATCAATGTGTATGTATCACACTTCGTCTAAATGAAGAGGATTGAGTAACCGAGTTCCCCTCAAACTGCGGCTCATTATTTGAACAGGAATGCGTAGACTAAAGACTGGTGTACTAACTGGAGTGACAGCAGCACAGTGGAAGTAGGCGGGCTCAGGCATCACAGCTGGTAGTTTACTCCACTCGAAAGTCTGCAGGTTGATCTTCCACAGATCAGATAATATCAATTCCCCATTGTAGCCTCCACAGATAAATACATCTACAACAGAGAAAAAATAACTGTCAGACACTGTTGTACTACCAAAACATTTACACATACGCGGATGTGATATCAAATGTCAGGATGATGGCGGAATAACAGAAGTAGGATTTTTATCAGATGATGTTGGTTGCAGAGCTGCTCACCGTTTCGAATTTGTACACAGCTATGGCATCTCCTGGGAGCAGGATACCCTGTCAGAAGCACAGACACTTTTAGAATGGCTTTGTGAGAGAACAAAATCAGGCTCAGTTTATGGTACGGAATACAGACCTATTTTGTCGTGAGGTTTAGTTGTAATCTCCTCCCAGGAATTTGTCTCCAGATTGTAAGCATGTATCTATTAAACAGACACAATAATTACTGTGAGGCAAAGGGAGTGTTAACATGGATTTGTGTACAAAATGAAATGGTAACATAAACAGTGATAAGCATTTTGAATTCTGGCTGGCACACAGTGAAATGTGTTTGGTAAGTTATACCCTTATTGATGTTGTACCTTGTCCAGAGGGTAAGATGTCCAGGAAGTTCCTCCTCCTAGAATGTAGATCCTCTGTCCGTCATGTGCTATTTCATGCCTGTACCTGTAACACATACAACAGCGTGACATGGAGATTTACTTCCATCTCTAGCTATGTTTGATCCTTCAGCACATTCAGGGGTCATGTAGACTTACCGTTCCTCAGGCAGGTCGTCTGGAGGGTTGTTGGGCTTGAGATGAATCCACTCCCTGGTGGTCAGGTCCAGCCTGTGCAGGTCTGTGCTGTAGATGTAGCCCGTTGTCCCCCCAAATACGTACAGAAAGCCATTTATAATAACCATTGCCTGAAGAAGGAAAGATATAAACAAACCTCAGTCTCTACAATATTTCAAATCCCTACTTTTAATTTGAACCAGAGTTAATCACATGGCAGGGTGATTTATGAGGTTACCTGTCCATATATTCTGTTGGGCTTCTTTCCCCGACAGTTGAGCAGTGACCACCGCTTGTACTTCACGTTACAAACATGGACGTCGTTGCCATTATTTTCACCAAAGGGGATCCCGGTGCCGCCAAACACCAGGAGGTTGTTTCCGTGCAAAACAGCTAAAGCAACACAGGAACACCAATCTCAATTTGAAACATTTTGCAACAGAAAACTTGATTGTTTTTGTGTAATGTTCAAACAATGTTTCACCTGACATGGACGCCAGCTCTGTTGGCATATAGCCGTCTGTTTGGATCTGCTGCCAGCAGCCCGTGGCAAAGTGGTACCTCCACAGCTCCCTGAACAGGGGGTAGTCTTCATTCTCTGAGCCTCCTGACTCATCGTAGTCAGGGTTGTACCCTCCAAACACATAAAGGTTTGTGTTGTCTGCAACACAGCGATGCCCACTGCGGGCAGGGGGAGTACGGTGGCCTGGAGAGGGAGGAACATATTTTAATGAGGAGAGAGAGCATAGTGACAGAGGTACCAGACAGTTGGCTAAACATCTGCACAAAAAGATACGAGAAAAGAACTGAAATACAAGTTAGTTTGACTGAGTTAATATCTCTATTTGCACTAACTAAATAACATAAAATGACCTGAGGAATGTTTAGTGGAGGCATGTTCGAAAGCACAGATACAAATCTAACACAACAAAAGTTATACTTAGTTTTCTTATTTATATCTGAAACCTAATAAAATATTCCTGAATCGCAGCAGACCATGATTAACTGCAACACTTCTATCATTACATTACATTTGATTGGCAGATGGTTTTGTCCAAAAGACAACAAGAGCAACAAACTCTAGAGCGAAATCTGTTCAGAAATCTTAAGCACAACTGTTCAAAATAAACAGCTAAGTGTTCAGACAGCTATACATGACTACATACCTAGAGTTAGTGTTTCATTCACTTCTGACATGTGAGACGAGCACAAACCTCTACCAACGTAGCTGGAAGGCAGAGGAGGGGAAAGGCTGCTCCTTTGGGCCACATTTGTCAGTGGTTAGAGGTCTGTTAGAACTATTCATTTCTAGAACTGCTCCTCTGTAAAAACTAATAACCTAGGTCATTTCATATCTTGATACAATACATCTCACAAAACGGCATGTTTTCTGGGAAAGCGTCAAATAAAAGACAGAGCATTTTGAGTTAGTATGTGCTTGTTATAATGCCAATCAAAATATGAATGTATCACAATCCATAGAAAGACAATTAATAATCATATACAATTATTGGCCAACCATAGTAATCAGTTAGTTGAATTCATATTATCAAAGAAAAGCAAAACAATACATTATACATGTAGGCAGTTTATGGTGACTAAGTATTTCACGTCATTTAATAT